CTGCACGCCTTGAAACTGGTCGAATCAGAGATGCCGAACCACGTCTGAACACGCTGAACCAAGGCTTTGGGCTTTGGATTGGTTTTGGATCCGTGGCCACCAGATAGACGGATAGTAAAAACTACGATGCTGCCGTGGACGGTACCCATCGCCCTCTTGTGGCACTGCAAAGTACCGCCGGCAACAACTTTACAAAAACAAATGTTAAAAAAAATAATATAATTTGAAGCAAGATTTGTAAAATCGTAAAATTAGTCTCAATTCATACATTTTACGAAAAACTCTGAAGAGTTGGCAGGTATGTTCATGTCTCTTCCAAATCGGATGTGCTGACCACGTCGAGAGGAAGCGCGGCCTGCTCGATTTCGACGCAGGGACCACAGACGACCCAGAGCCGACAGAGGCTCCCGTTGAAAAGCCCGTGGACGGCTATTGGCTCCTCAATGTATCCGCCGTGCAAACTCTTGTTGCGATTTTACTCTGCCCCAAGTACCACGGAGAACTACCGAGCTTGCGAGAAGAAGGAATTGGCATCAATCTTCGGTTTGTTGTTAGCTGCTCGACTTGCGGAGACATTGTCGCGACACAGCACTCACCATCAATCGGCAAGTCTTGACAGAACGAACTCGCGGTGAGTCTCCGCATCGTTGTAAGGGACTGTGGCATCAGTTTCACAAAGCTCATTAATCTTTTCGGGGGCCTCATTGCTCTGCCCCTGATGCTCATGTAGTTGAAGGTGCCACCAATAACTTGGGTAGATCTCAAAATTCTGGCATCATCCGAAAGTAAAAAAAAAAAAAACAGAAGTTGAAACTTCAAACACATTTTTCTCGGTTTCACTTTTTGGCAGGAAGTGCGAGAACCGTAGCATACTGTAAAGCTGACCAATAATGCTAAAACTTTGCAGATTATTCTTCCTCATAGTGCTTAAGGGGGCACTTGGGTTTGTAGGCTAACTTCAAAAGTTCTAAAGCTAGGCTAATGAAATTTACAGCACTTTCTTGCTTTGTTAAGAAGGTAAACTGTAGAAATTTTGGAGCCTTTCTGATCATTAGTTTGTCAAATATGTTAATATGCATATTGATGGTTTGTGCAGGCTCCACAAATCTAATAACATTCTGCATCATGATGAATTTTTGTGTCTACCACCCCAAGACATGACTCCAGGGGGTGAAACTATTGGCATATTTTTCAGGTGCATAGAAAAAAATTTTTGTCATGAAAGAAATATTAGCACTGTACTCTCGAATTTCACCAAAAGTTTGTACAACTATGGTAAAAGCTAGAGGTCGTAAACTAATTATCTAATAGTTTCACCCCCTGCACATTTTATTTAGGAACAAATCACAGTAAACAGAACTAAATTCGAATCAATAGTTTTCGAGATATCCCATGCACAAGCGAACCAGGTGGCGGAAAAACGCGTGTCGAGAAAAACGACAAAGAAGACGAAAGTCTACAGTTTAGAGTCAAATCATGTAATATTGCCTTAAAATTTATTCTGGTTGTTTAACAGTCATATTTACAGAAGGAGAGAATAGTAGAAGTTATTTAGGCACATTAAAAAATATTTTAAAAAGTTTGTTTCTGTGCAAGTTTTGCCATTGAAAGTAAAAAATATATAATTTTCTTTTGAAAAAAAAAAAAAAAAAAAAGAAGACAATTGACCACAAATTCAGGCTAGCTTCGTATTAGGAGACAGGTCCTAGAAATTCTCCGCAGAAAACAATAAAATTGGACGAGCAGTGTTCAAGTTGACAAACACCAAATTGTGAAAAAGTGTGTCTCGAGAAAACAAAATTTGAAGATCCAAGCCCCACATTTCTCACTTCCACCTCAGAAGCCCCCTGGGCAATAGTCTCGACTGTCTGCTCTGGCTGCATTCTTCCTGGTACCTGTTTGCAGCGATCTCTTTCTTTTTTGTGCGTTCTTCAGCCTTAGTCTGTCTTTCTCTTGGGCCCTTTGCATAGTAAGTTTACCTCGCTTGAGATCCAGCTCCTCAGACAGTTCCTGTGCACTTCTCGCACAACCAGTGTTGAAGCGGCAAACAGCGTCTGCGACTCCGGTTTCCACTGTGAACAGCGATGCATGTTCTTCTTTTTCGAGGAGCGACCAGATTACTGAATGAAGAGATTCTGCCGAGTTTTGGGTCTTGGCTCCTGTGCATCTTTGCAGCAGTTCAGGATCGGACAGTCTCCTGTAAACAGGGAACATAGCTGTGGTCACATGTGGAGGGAGCTTGTACTTGTGCGGTGGAGGTGCTTTTCCTTCAGCTTCAGCCCTGCGGTGTGCACACCAAGAGTCCTTGCCAGAAGGGCAAAGGTCATGCTGAGGGTCCTCGTCGGTTGATGCGACGTGGTGGAAGGTAGCCATAATTGCTTGCTGCATGTCTTCCACTTTGCTTGCATTGCTTTTCAAGGCCCAAGAATAATAGTTAGTCAGGCGCTTGATCAGGTCTTGTGTGAGACGCCCTTTTCCACCCATTGGTTGTTGAGTTTTGTTCTTTTCCACAAGCCCCCGGAGTGCTGAACCCATGCGCTTAGCAACATGGTTCACACATTCCTCTTTGGTGATTGGGAACAACCCGTACACGTTGTCCTGGCAAAGAGCCTGGTGCGTTCTGCAATCCCCATCCGAGACGATCGTCGTGTATCTCAGCTCGTGGAGACTGAGAGACCTCCGGAAGAGAAGCAGTGCGGCTTCTACCTCCATTCTTCCGGACTTCACGGTGGTGTTCTGTTGACACTCATGTTCCTCCTTCCAATCTTGGTATGTAGCGTCACCAGGCTTGGGGCCAGTCTCGCACCCAAGACAGAAGTTTGAAAGAACGGCAGAGTCAAGTACGAGACCTGTGTAATACTCTATAACAGTTCCCACACCAATACGAGAAGAGTGCCCTCGCTTCTTCCACGACCCATCATAAACAACAGTAATGTTCCCAGTGAAGGTAGGATCAAGCTCCTTGTACACGTCCTTCACAATGGCAGCAGCTTCTGCACAGATGGTTGCCGACATGGCCTTTGCTGCCTGCAGAAAATACTTCTTGAGGTGCTCTTGATAGGTTTTTTGATGCAGCCCCCTGTGTGAAACGTTCAGTGTGGCGAAGAAATCATTTAGAGCAGTTTGGCCTTTGCCAATTCCCTTGATCGCTTGCATGGCTCTAATGTTGACATCAAACGCTTTTGAACTTTCCAGCCGGGGTGAGGACCAGAAAGAATTGCTTTCTCCACATGCAGAGCAGCTAACAATAAACTTCACAGCCAGGCCGTGCTCTGTTGACGTTTTTATAGTTAGGCCGGCTTCCTTGCATTGGCTACAGACAGACGCAGTCGCAAGCATGCTGCTAATTGTGTCCACATCTGTGACTACATACCGAGATGCAGTCTCATTAGTGACGGACACCTCGTCGTGTTTGGAAGTCAGTGAAAACTTGCGCTCGGTGGCCGCCGTTGTCGTCAGCTTTTCGCGGCCTTTCGCGACTCGGTCAGCAATTGCCCGCGCCTCATCTGGCTCCATGTAGCTCGTTTGCAAATGGGCAATCACTGTTCCACCTCCCACTCTGTCGCAAGAGGTGCTACATCCACTCTCTTGAGTCGAAATCACGTCTTGCGAAGGCAGAATCGCTGAACTCGGCGCACTTTCGGTGGTTTCAGATTGGCCGCTGTTGCACAAAGAGTTTCGTTTTTGAAGATCGGCGTTCCACCATTTCCGTTTTTTCGAGCCGAATTGTTCACGCGTTTTGCGTTTCTTCTTGAAAGGTCGGTTCGGCATGGCGAAAAATCACCTGCGAGCCCACGAATGAGATCGCACAAACTTTTCACAGCCGCGGTAACGCAAACGAAAGTGTGAAACAAGCGCGCGCGACGGCAGACGACAACAGGAGCGGCGAGCGGCGGAGGAGCGCACGCGGCGCGCGCGCCGAAGCGGCGGGCGAGAGGGAGCCGGTTGCCGTGGCAACGGCCAACGGAGGCGCGTTCTATTGTCACGTGCTCAAACGAGCCAATGAGCGCGGGTGCAAGGCGTCGCGCATTTCGACACTTCGTACTCTTCCCAGACAACCCAGGATCACCGGAGTGACTCCGCCGGAAAGCGAAGAATGCGCTCTTTCGAACGCGCCCAAGATGGAGGCGATCAGTCGCGCCGTTCGCGCTCGAGCGTTTTTTTAAATTTGCGCATTTTTCCGTGATTTTCATGCTCACCCAGTAAGTTTATTGTTAATTTTACATTACTTAGCGACTTTGTGAAGCCATGAAACTTTTGTACTGGTTTCATAACACCGAAAATGATATGAAAAAAATACTTTTACAAAATCGATAATTTGCCGATTTTTTGGTCCCCCAAACCCGCGTGCCCCCTTAAATAACCCTCAAAATTTGAACCAAATCGGATGAAGGGTTCAAAAGCTGACCCTCCCAGGCCATAACTCCCCCCCAAGGCCCGCTTCAAAAGGGAGATTTTGTAGAACTGTTATCCTCATCTCCTAGCAGAAATAGACGCTACTATTGAGCATGTGCACCCCTAGCTTTGTCCGCAGAATTCCAGGGATCATTTCTGGTTGTTCGCAGAATTCCAGGGATCATTTCTGGTCGCTGTAAGCTAGCGGGATGGCAAGTGTGGCTGCAGCTCTCACTACCTGGTCACATGCCGTAGTAAAGTAGTGATTTGAGCCAGCTGATAATTTGACACGGTAAAACAATGCACAGAACACGGAGAAAAAAAGGACAGGTAGAACGAAGGAGCGCCGACTCCCAACTGATGTACCCCGAAAGAGGAGAAAAAAGAAGCTTCAGAAATTAACTCGTGAAAGCAAAGGAGTAAAGGAAAAAGTTAACAAAGGCTAGGCATGACAGATTTGAGTGAGAAAGGGAAGAATCCCTAGAAAGAGGATAACCGCCTGCCCCAGGGGTGTCTGCCATTGCATTACACACTCCCTCCAGAGTCAGAGTTTCTCCTCTTCTCCTGTCTTGGCTCTCTACACGCGACGAGCAAGGGGTCCTCACCTTAGCCTTGAGCGACTCGTGGTGCTCGAGCATGTGGAGCAGTTCCGAGTTGTCGATTTCCAGCAGCATGCCGGTGATCTTGCCGGCCAGGTCTGGGTACATGCGGTGGATGAGGGGGAACAGCCGCTCCCCGAGCATCTGCTTCTGGTCGTGGGGGGTGGCCTCGGCGAGCATTGAGGCCGTCAGGGGCTCCTGGCCCTGGATGTGCACCGCCGCCTGCTGGGAGGCCTGCTGTTGGGCCGCCGCCTGGGCCGCCGCCACCTGGTGCTGCTGTTGCTGCTGCTGGGCCGCAACCTGCCAAGGAACGGGCAGAGGTTGGCTCTCGCGCTTGCCGGAGCCCAAGCTGCTCAAACCACAAACCTCGGACGGGCAACTTGCCGGTCCGGAAACTTCGGCAATTTCCGCCCCAGTAAACTTTGTCACCGTCGGCGGCGTCTCTCCGTGTAGGAGCGAAACAAATTTGACAATTCTTTTAGATCACCGTTCACCCTAACCTAGTGCGGCGGAAGCTATTCTCTCGCCAAACCAATCGACAGCCTTCCTTTCACTACCTGACCTCCGCATGTGCGTATGGGCAGGATCGTGATCATGAGGTGGAAGGCAGATGTTCTGGTCCAACGTACGACCGGTCTACCACGCTGTCGGCTTGGGGTTCTACGGAGCACTACACTTTGCATGGCATTTAAATCCTTCCGAAATAGTATTGCTTCTATCAATCCGAGCCAGGTTAAGAATTTTGGGGGAAGCTCCTTTTACTTCTTTCCACCTTAGCAGAGTGAAAGTGGAAAGAGGTGGGAGGAGCTTTCCCCGATCTCTATGTAGATCATCCATCTTTTCAACAAATCCACAGGGCTGTTTTTACGGAAGGGTAGACAGATCTAGCGACTTTCTCCATGGTCGCTACTCCAAACCAACACCCACCCACTCAATATAGCTATCTTTCGGTTGACTACAAATGTCGGCAGATCTGGTGCTTCTATTTGTCCAGAGGGAAATTTTCCCCATAGCATGTCAAAAAGATTGTAGATCTAGGCGCATCAAAAAGTGACCTACGTAACTAAGGCTAAGCATCTAAATCCTGATGCGACATAAAAAAGACATGAGAATTGTATGCCAACAGCAACTAGGAATGTACACCCAGATTCTTAAGGCAGCAAAACACTGAAAAGGCTGGTTTTAAGAACTGCAACAATCATGCAATACTCTCCATTTAAACAACTTTACAGGGGTAGAGAAAGTCTGCTCTATTGGAGAGAAGGCAGCATTGACAGATGTGTAACCAATGGAAAGTCAAAAACAATGTTAGTGCCGCGCAAATCACTACCTCACATAACACTATGGCATGCTTACGTCAATTTCTTCTTCCTGGAAAGAAACAAAGGCATCCCAACGTCTAAAAACACTCAGAAACTGCCTCAATCGTTTGTACTCAAGCAATAATGGCACCCTACAAACTTGCAGCTTATTGCCTGCATCAAACAACCAGAAGTAAGTTCATTTGGAGGTGAAGAAAACTCTTCTGTACTGAATCCCAAATAGACCAGAGCCTTCGCATGTAGCGATTGTATAAGAAATAAGGAGTTGAAACAGAACTTCCAAAAATAACATTTGCCCATAGATTTGTGCTGCCCTCCAGACCCCATCTCTGCTATGGTTGCCAATCATGGCGCTCGAAGCTGAAGGCACCGACAGGAATTCATCCTGCCAGCTGCCACTAAATAAATATTAGCAGGTGGCAGCAAATCATGAATTCTTTGGTCCAGTGCTATCAGCAGTAGCCATTCTTGTGACCCCACTGGCATCAAGCTCACATCAAAGGAATACCAATCAGATATGTTGCTGCTTTGAACTAACCTCAACAAACCGCAACGTAAAAATGCTAGCTAAGTATTGCAAACCACCGCCTATTCAAAAGGCTCAGCCCATAAGCATCTATCCACCCTCACGACACCCACCTGGAAAGGTGCGGCCACCGGCGCAGACACGGCCGTCACCTGGGGCGGGTTCCGCATGGCCTGGGTGTACTTGTAGGTTGGGCGGGGCCCCGCAGCCGCCTGGGATGCCATTCCCGTCGGCCTTGGACCCATCACCCTCGGCGGCGCCTGTTGTGGTCCCCCGGCCCCCTGCTGCTGCTGGGGTGGGGCCTGCTGTCCCCCCGTGATGGGCCTCGCTGCCCCCAAGGAGCCCCTCTGGGGCTGCGCGGCCAGGGACGGGCGCGGCTGCCGCTGGTAGGGCATGGCCGTCGGGAAGCCCGCCCCCTGGGGTTGGGCCCCCGCACCCGCCCCCTGCGGGCCCGCTCCCCGCAGCTGGGGCTGCTGGCCTGTCCAGCGGGGGGTGGCTCGCATCTGGGCGGGTCCGAGCGCGGCCGGGAAGTAGCTGCGCTGGCCCGTCTGGTGGTGGGGCATGGTGGGCACGAAGTAGTTGGCCACACCGGTGCCGCCCGGCGGGAACATCTGTCCCATCTGCATGCGCATGCCCGCGATGCGGTGCATGTACTGCGACGCCAGGTGGGCCTTGCGGTCCTCCTTGCGCTGGGCCAGCGCCACGTAGAGCGGCTTGGACACCACGATGCGGCCATTCATCTCAGTCACCGCCTTGGTCGCCTCCTCGGGGGAGCTGAAGCAGACGAAGCCGAAGCCCTTGGACCGGCCGTTGGCGTCTGTCATCACCTTGGCGCTCGTGATGTTGCCGAAGGGCCCGAACTCCTTGCGGAGCCGTTCGTCGTCCAGGGCGTCGTCCAGGTTCTTGACGTAGAGGTTGACCCCCTGGTAGCGGTTCAGGCGCTCTTGCTTGAGCTGCTCAAAGTGCCGCTTCAGCTCCGACTGCCGCTCCGCCTTCTTCTGGGCGCGCCCCACGTACAGTGGCCGGCCTCCCATGTCCTTGCCGTTGAGCTCCTCCACGGCCCGTTCGGCGCTGTCGGGCTCCTCGAACGAGACGAACCCGAAGCCGCGGTTCTTGCCACTGTCGTCAGTCATAACCTTGGCGCTCGTGATCTTGCCATACTTCTCGAAGATCACCAGCAGCTTGTCGTCGTCAAGCTCGTCACCAAAGTTCTTGATGTAGACATTGGTGAAGCAGCGCGCCTTGTCGCCCAGCATCTTCTCGCGCTCCTTGCGAGGGATGAACTTGCCCACGTACACCTTCTTGTTGTTGAGCAGCATGCCGTTCACCTTGCTGATGGCCTTGTTGGCCGCCTCCTCAGTCTCGAAGTGCACGAAGCCGTAGCCCTTGGACGCCGCCTCCTCGTCAGTCGCCACGCGACACGACAAGATGTTGCCGAAGGCCGAGAACGTGTCGTACATTGCCTTGTTGTCGATGGTCTTGTCCAGGTTCTTGATGAACACGTTGCCCACGCCGGATTTGCGCAGCGACGGGTCCCGCTGGGACCACATGATGCGGATCGGCTTGTTCTTGATGGCATCGAAGTTCATCGTGTCCAGGGCACGTTCAGCTGCACAGACGGTAGAGCAACATGTTACACCAGGACCTAGAGGTCAGTTGGGACTCAAGTTAAAGGGGTACAGAAGCGAAATTTTAGTACTCATTTCTTTGTGTACAAGTGGTCCCATAAACAGCACCTCAGAAACACCAGTGTTTCGCTCGTAAACGCTAGAAAAGCAATTTGAAAATGAATAAAACGATTTCGCAATACCAACTGGTAGTCGACGGGCCGAGCTTTGTTGGAATGTCCCGGAACAAGCTGTGCTTGGCACACTTCTCAGTTCTAGTGCACCATGTCTCGGGTGTTCCCACTTAGTGGGATTGTAACGCGTTGACGACAAAGCTGGTGCCCGCAGGTGACAATGATCATAATTACGGTACCCTGGGCCGTTGATTGGTTCGTAATGTGCGAGCGCGGCGTTGCAGGCAAATATCCCAAGACGCATTGCGCCACCTCTATGGCAGATTTTGAAGCACTTGCCGGAATCAGTCGATTGGAACAAAATAGGGAGGCTCTAGTCAGGGTGGGCACAACTAAAATCCTGGAGAACGTTTGCAATTTAATGGCGGCACTTGAGAGAAAGAATTGGGTAAGGATATGCGCCAATGCTGCCTGCACGAGAGCAGACTCCCGCTCTGTTGCAACTCTGTTGTCCCATGCGCCTTTCCTCCTCTCGCCTCCCATTGCAAGCAACGAACGCCTTGGTGCAGCCTTTCTCGCTTTGGGGATGGCAAACGTCGAAAGAAGAAAGCAGGGTTGCCAGACAAGCAGCAGCGTTTAAGATGGTGGAATTTACCATTTTCCGCGTTAAAAAAATACTTAACCTATCAGAACAAAATTGGTAGCTATAGAAAAGTACTCATATATAGCTTGCGTAAATTATTCATGCACATTAATGGGCTCTTATGACGTGAGTTGGGAAATAAAACAACCCTTTGCCCCGTAGACTCCCAGGAAAATTTAACAATTAAATGGTGTCCATATCCCATGATCCCAGATCTAGCACTTGCGACCACCCTCACTAGAGCCTTTCTAAACGAAAATATAGCCACAAGCTAAAAATACAAGCATCTGATTATCATTTACAGATATCATGAATCCTATTTCACTTGTTTCAAGGATATTTCAAGTTTCGATTCTGTACCAGTTTAAAGATGTCAGCTAGGACATTGAGAAGTCCTAGCTAACCCAGTCATCAGGAGACTACAATAGTTCATTACCATAGACACCAAAAGCAGCCACCATTGACGTTGGCTACTTTCGAGACTGAGGCTGAAGAGGTGAGCTGGGACATCACAGAGGCTGGCCCAGTCCTGAGCAGTAGCTATGTCAGCACACTGGCTTAGCAAGACTTGATGATGAGCTAGCTGAGGAAACTTGTAGGTACAGACAGACACAAAGGCGACAAAAATATAAGTAGTACTTGTCTCGGTCCATTCTTCACGCTTGTCTCTTTTTGCACTCGCAATTTTCCTGGACGGCGCAGTGCCTCAGAAAGACAACGTTGCATCATCGGGTGTAAACAAAAATTATCAGCTAACTAGAAATGACCACCATACATGCCTTGTAGATGAAGTCAATCTCACCATTCTAATGGTCATTCCTACTTTGACCTTGCTGAGAAAAACAAGATCAGTGGGCAAAAACCTTGCGCTGAGAAAGGTGTGCGCTCAGCAGCAAGAACATCGCAATGGCAGCTGATGCAACATCAATGCAAGCCATGTATGGATATGCCTGAAGCACAGGCGTTGGAACCTCTGCTGCTAAGAATGAAACATTGTCATGCCCATTCAAGCCTCATTTTAACTGGCTTGTCATTGCACAGAACCTGGGCAACTAGAACTCTAAAATTGTTTTACGCAGGAGTTACACATAAAGGATGGACCACGAACAGCCCATCTTCCAGCTTTCAACACACACATTTGCCACAGGCAGCGGACCTCTAAACTATCAGCCGGGATGGGAGAAGGAGGGCTTCCCCCCCCCCCCCCCCTTCCTTCCTTTCCCCATCCCAGCCGCAAATTTGGAGGACCGCTGCCTGTGGAAAATGAATATACATGTTGAAAATCTGGAGATGTGCCAACCTTGTTCCGTCCTTTATGTGTAACTCTTTCGTAAAAAATGTATGCAATACCAACGTGCTGCCTAAAAGCAGGACTTTCAGATTTAATTCGAGACATGAAAGACACTTGAAAATTCTGAAACAGAGCCAACAGTGTGGCTATGCCAAAGCAATCAATCCTGTAGAGTTTGAAGAGTAAGGCTATACGCACGACGTCGTGCACCTTGACCGGAAATGGCTATGCGCACGACACGGAGAGATCGTGCCATTCAGGTCACCCTTTTCAAACGATGCGTATGCACGTGAGCGTGTTAATCCACCCCCTTGTGGCAACAGTCTGCAGCTGCTCATTCATTACAAAACTATTAACCCACTTGGACCACCCCCCCCTCATACATGCCGCTTCGCGAACCAAGCCCCGCTGTGATAGATTAAAGCCACTGAGATAGATTAAAGCAACTAGCAGAACTGGGGGCAGGGAGGACAGAGAGGACAGAGAAAAATTTGGGACTCCCTCCCCCGCAGCTCCAGCCCGAAGTCTCAGCCCTGTCTCCCAGAGGGTCTGGTTTGGGAGTACCGCCAAATAGGTTGACTAACGGAAAATTGGCCGATTTTCTTGCCGAGAGGTGAAGGCGGGGGTATGTTTTCTATTTTTCTTTTTCCCGTTTTGCCCGATCACTCCAAGGTCAGCCTGGTGGTTATTTACACCGGCCCGGTGATGGTTGCAGAAATACAGAGGAAAGGAAATTGAAGAGAAAAGGGGAGGGGCTATAAAGATAGTTTAGGCTAGGTGGTGCAAGCTACTGCCCGATACAAAGGGTAGAGCCAACGTCCATCCATTGCACCACTGGAAAGGGAGTCCCATACTTTTTTAGATCAGCGAAGTTTCATCGACAACATTCCTTTTTTTCAGTGATAATTGTAAGAAAGAAATGTAAATATTGCGACATTGCACACCAGTCATCTAACTGTGTTTTGAGATTGGAGTTTGTCCTTTGTCCCTCTAGTTTCCCTTCTCCAGCAATTATTTTCGTCATTCTTCTCCACTTGCATTTACCTGCATTATAATCACAAAATAATAAGTAAGCCCTCTTTCTGGATTGAACCTGGGTCCGCTCTGTACGAAGCGGACACTTTTCCAATAAGCTACGCTACAACCTGAGATGTTTGTTTTTACTTGTTTAATACGAGACCCAATTAGTTTCGCGTCGTGCGTATAGCCATTTCCGGTCAAGGTGCACGACGTCGTGCGTATAACATTTTTGTGAACTATCAAGCTTCACGCAGTCACATTTGAACTGACAAACAAAACAGCCCATTTGGTGTCAGTTCCTTCACCCATGAAGCCAATGGCATATGTCAGAATAACCACTTTGGAAATTTATGCAAGACAAGTAGAAACGGATCTGTACTCCTGCGGAACCCTTTCCGCGGCGCGATTCCACCAGAGACGTCTATTTTTCCCTCCAACATTAACGAAAGCTTCCACAGGTGACAATATGGCAGAATGACGTCACACACGAAAAAAAAAAAAAAATTATAATATCGATTTGAGCGCAGCAAAGCAATTGCTGCGTGGATCCAATACGACAAGGCCTGCAACGAAGCGCCATATGACAACTTTCATCAGCTCTGTTCGAAATCTACGAACCCCAGACGAGGACACATGGGTCTGACAAGTAGTCCTACCAAACCCTCCCCCCCCCCCCCCCCCCTTTTTTTTTTTTTTTTTGTCTAAGTGCTTTTGTGGGGAGTTTTTAGACTAGCCAGCGAACTTGTTAAAATTGCATCATGCAACCACGATCTGACATGAGCCCCACTGGCAAATTAGGTCAACTCCAATGGAATGGCGCGCGCGAAGCGCACATGCGGATGTCAGTTCCATATGGAGTTGGCCGTCCGCCGACGTTTATTTCAGAGGCAATCACGGTCGACTTACCGTCTGCCGGCTGCTGGAAGTTAACGTAGGCGTAGCCCAGGGATCGGCGAGTGATCATGTCCCTGCAGACCCGGATCGAGAGAACGGGTCCGGCCGTCGAGAATTTTTCGAACAGCATTGCCTCGGTGACCTCCGGATGCAGGTCTCCGACGTACAGGGAAGCCATCGGGTAGTTGGGGCCGCTGGGGTTCATCTTTTTCCAGGTTTTGGCCGATGTGGTACAGGAAACTTACTCGTCGTCGTCCGCTGGTGGCGAAGTCTCACTCAAGGAAGGCCGAACTAACCCTAACTCTGTCGCCCGTCGCTGCTGGTTGTGGTTGCGGAATTTTTTCGACTGAACCTAGACAAGTTCAGGGTTTTTTCTCCTAGAAGTTTTGCACTTTTTTTGTACGTTTTAAGGTTTTATAGATTTTTTTTGTATTTTTTTGTACTTACGCGTAGCGTACACAAAATTTAACTATTTTCCCCCACGTGAACGTCCTTCCATGAATCATGCGGGAAAAGAAATGGCGGAGATCGTGGGGGCGAGTTATATGACTGCGTGTTTGGTGTTCGTGCGCGAACCAATTTTGCATATATGCAAAGGTTCGTGGCTGAAACTGTCGTATTAATTTCTTAAATGTAATGTACAATGCTTTATTTGCATATATATTTGCGTTAAAATATTCCCTTTGCGATTCGATAACATTCTTTGCGCACTATTTTCATCGCGGAAGGTTCGAACGTATAAACAGATACGTCATCAAATTTGGGGCTCGAGTTTGTGGCTGCACGGAATTCTACGAATCCGCTACATTAGTTAGCGCTGCAATCGGTCGCGATATCGGTGATGCTACAAATTCGAAAACTTCATCGGTAACCTTACGATTTGGCTTTGTGCACGTCGGAGGTCATATGCTGTTCAAGACATAGCTATATAAAGCTGTATAATACTGGGTGTCTCAGGGAGCGGCCAGGCTCTTTAAATCGACCCTGCAATCATATTTAAGCGTCTACCTTTTTTGCGGTTTCCACGTCTCTTGGGGTTCGGGCACGGAGAGAGTAACTAAATATCAGTGAGTCATATTTTAACCGGACGACGCGGAAACCTCCACCTACGAGGGCGACCCGCGTTGCCGAAAACGCGCAATATGTGACGTCTTTGGTCCTGGGCATACTACTGGTGAGAGCCGCTAAAAGCTTTTTTTTAGTCGAAATACAAAATATAAGTGTCGCGAACCGTTTCAATTATGTATGAATGTAGTTTTTATTTTTGTGCGGTATTTTAGATCAGAAAAGAAACAAATGCAGTTTATAAAGTACGGAAACAAGAAAAGACCTGTCGACAAACATGCCACCAAGCGGCAGAAAAAACGGCGCATACTAGAAAAGGCTAATGGGATGAGGCTTCAACGAACAGCGAGCGTAGAAAGGTCCCGGATATATGCGGCGGCGCTGCGGATGTATACCGGCTCTATGATCCGACCGGTTTCGAGCGTTCCGAAGGCTTTTGGCACGGGCTTGGCTGGCGATTTTGCCATTTGGCGGTATGGCAGCGCGAAGTGGCTCCCGTTCTGAACTGATCTTTACCCCGTGTTTGCTGTCATTTGTGGCCAATGAAGTGTTATGCCGAATTAGACTTTAATCGCTCAGCAAATGCAATGCGAGCCACCCTGGCCACCCGCTTCATACAGCCTATCCAACACGTGCTTTAGTGGCGCCCTCTCGAGCCGTCGACACGGAGTGCGGCAGCCGTGAGCGCTCGATGAGCTCACTACTCCTCCTCTAGTTCTCACTCAAGTCTAGCCTAGGGTGCCTCAATGTCCTTCTGTTTAGGGTGATGCCACCCTTTGTAGTACCCGATGCCGACAGCACGCGCTCGCAGGGAAAATAGAAAGAAATCGCAGGAAACAAAATGTCGCCGTAGCACAGTCAGCGCCATGAGCGCGTGCAGGGACACGCCCTTTCACGAGCTTAAGAACAAAAAATAAAAACAAACGTTAGAAACAAAATGGCCAGATGTCATCACCCCAAGCAAAGCGCACATGAAGCCACCCTAGTCTAGCCACTCAAGCCAGGACATACGACGTCATGAAGGAGGTTATTTTTTGCTTGTTTTTTGTAATTCTAATTTGCCTATAACTTTTAAAATAAAGCGAAATTTGAGGAAAGAAAAGTTTCTTTAAGTTGCTACGTTCAGTGCGCTCAGGTTCGGTGCAAATTAAAAACCAGTCAAAAAGTTGTTGCAGGGCCCCTTTAACATATTGCACTGCGACTTTGTGCAGCGTTGCCCACAGATGGTGCATTTTTTTTTTTTTTTTTGTAAAACTTACAAAGCACGAATTTACCTGAGGAAAAAGTAAAGAGAGAAAAAGACTTAGCTCCTATGGAAACGCAGCGAAGCCACCGGTCTTCAAACAATACAGCGCCGTTTCGAACGGAAGACAAGGGATGGCTCAAGCGGTCGCTACGCCAACTGCCGCCAACGAACGAGCATACGGTGCCCAGAGCGGCGCGAGCTTTTCTGATATCAGTTGCCAATGCATTATTTTATAATCCTTACTAATAAAACATAATGAATGGACACATAATCAATTAAAAAATGGTTTGTCAGGATATTTTTACTGTTTTTTTTCGGGGTACTGATGTTGTCGGCTTTGTAGTTCCTTTTTACAGCCGAGCCACTGATCTCTATGCCTATTCGCTGGATCGCGTTTGACCAGCTCTGCCTAGGATGGGAATGCGGCCACGGTCGGCCATCTTTTTGGTAGAGTTATATTATTTCTAGCCATCATAGTAATATGGCGGACAGCGCAATGGCAGCAGGCTGCCATAAAATAGCCGTGGATCTAGCACACCGTACCGTGGGTGATATTTCGTGCTTGATTGAAGTTGTTCGAAGAAGCAAATCCTTGAAAACTGGCATGAATGGTAGCCTCATCTTTGAGGACCCGGCGAAAGTTCTATGAAAGCACAGCACCGAGGGAAAGCAGTGCAGCTCGCTTTGAAAGCAGACTCCGTACCGGTGTCTGCTTTCAATGCGACTTCCGATGCGTGCTGTGCTGCTTTTCTCCGGAGCTGCAATTTCGTGAAACTTTCACTGGGTCCTCAAAGATCGGGCTACCATTCACGCCGGGTTTCAAAAGTATGTTTGGTCAAACAATTTCAACCAAGCATGAAATATCACCTACGCTATTTTGATGGCAGCCTGCCACCACAACTGCCACAACGCTGCCCGCCATGGATGGACGATAGTGTACACGGATGGATGATAGCTGTACCTTGGCTAGAGGTAATATAACTCTACCAAAAAGATGGCTGCCAGTGGCTGCATTCGCAAAGCGGGCAAACGCGACCCAGCAATTGTCATAGGGATCAGTGAGCGGAGCTGTTAAGGGCTAGGTTGCCCAGGATCGTGTCCGTGTACGTCGACACAAACCTACCTGGATAGCTACCGCCATCATTAAGCGACGGTGGCAAGCACACAATGGTTTCCGCCGTCGCTCGTAGATGGCGGTAACCTTTCCAGCTATAATAGAAGAATGGATAGTTGGGCGCGTTGGTAGGTATTCATCGTAGGAAACGGCGCGAAAAACAGACGACGACGAAGAAGAAGCACACAGAGTATCGAGTACAGCTCCCCTCGTCTTCCTTCTTCACGGGAGTGGAAAGGCTGAACGATCTTTGTTACCGCATGTCTTTGGTTCTGTCTTCACCTGCAGAACGCGTGCCTTTTTTGAGTGAAAAAGATTGTCTGCTAATGACGCCAGCTCTCGGCACTATATGCTTGTTCGTTGGCAGCAGTTGGTGTCGCAAACGCTTGGGCCATCTCTTGCCTCCTATGCGAAGCGGCGCCGTATTGTTAGAAGACTGGTGGCTTCGCTGCGTTTCCATAGGAGCTAAGCTTTTTTCTTTCTTTACTTTTTCCTCAGGTAAATCTGCTCTATGCAAATTTTACAAAAAAAATGCACTATCTGTGGGCAACGCTGCACAATGTCGTAGCGCGATAGGTTAAGAAACCAAATTTTGCTGTCAATTTAAAGAGCCTGGCCGCTCCTTCGGACACCCAGTAGTTTTATGGTTCAAAATAACCCACCTTAGAGCTTGAACAAATCCATCCTAGAGATAGATGGCAAGTATGCCCGATACCCTGACCTGATAAATCCACTGATGTTTGAATAAATCTATGAAAGGTCTTAAAATATTAGTAGCCATATATGTTGATGGACTGGGACTCTGGGTTAAGCATCACAAATAGTTTGCATGAAAGACAAAGTGCTTGTCCTGCCCAGTCTACTTGCCCTTTTTGTGCTATCACAAACATTTTTTTTTAATTGATTTGGGCTGGGCGAAAGCAACTAAAAATTGTGTTCACACAATATACATAAATAAAAGATGCTAACCATGTTGAATAAACCTGAGATTGGGGCAGAAACGAACACATAGTCGAAGGAACAGAAAAGGAGAGGACGACGACGTCCTGCCCTTTTCTGCTCCTTCGACTTGTTTGTTCATTTCTGCCCAGTCTCAGGTTTATTCAACATGGTTAACAGTCACCAGCTCTCCTGCACCCATACGTATTATATAAGATGTTATTTTTACCTTTGTTTCGGTTTACCCAAAAACTAAAAGGAACCTCTACCTCTGTCACCCCATCCAGGTTTTCAGCCTTTCAGTTGTTTATTGATGTTGCTGTTTTTCTTTGTCCAGTAAAAACAACATTACAAAGCACCTGAGCATAGAAAACTCCTTTATTACATACACCTGCCACAGCTCTTTTTGGAAATGTATAACACTGCAGTGCTCAATTGGTTCCCTACGCAGCCACTATTTCCAAGTACATTTCTCATTGCACCATTATACCTTTCTTTTGCCTTCCAGCACTGCTAGAGGTGATATAAAAAAAAAAATATACAAGTCAAAGCCAGCCACGAAAAAAAATTGCTGCATCAGGAACACACAGAAGCAAAGCTTGCTCGATGAAAAGGCCATGACGATGCAGTGACAGGTGGCTTCAAAGCATGTGCCGGGAAGAACTGAGCTCTCCGGAGAGCACAGCCTGCAACAGTCCGCAACAGTCTGCTCACATGCACGTGGTAGATGGGTGGTGCAACAGTCGATAAAAACGACGCACCTGGGGAGAAGGTTTGTCTCACAGGCACTTCCTGCATTTCTGTTGTTGCCATTTTGATTTACTTTTTCCCCCAGCCTGACAAAGCAGCGAGGGAAAAAGACGAGAAGAAAAAGTGGGGGTCCGCGTCTTCTGAAACGGGACGCCATCTTAGTAGACTATTTCTTCTGTGGTCCTCTTGCGTTTTGATAGCTTCAGGTAGAGGTAGTCGCCTGCCTTGTCGATGACGCTCAAAGCCTGCGGGAAATTGAAATTCTTTTTTTTTAATTTGGTACTGTCTCCAGATCAAAAACAGCACCCAAGTCTGGGGAAACAATTAATGTGGAGCGCAAGTTCGTCTGCTTCTTGCACAGGGATTGCAATGATGTCAGAATGCAAAGCTCTTATTGACTGATTGAAAAAAGTAATAGGTAGACCCCAAGGCATCTAGCATTGAGGTCTGTCCACTATCCTTCCGATCAAAGCCAATCAAAACTCGGCGTCGTTCTGACGTCACCGCAATCCCTGCGCAAAAAGCAGATGACTTCCTCTCCGCATAGTCGGTGACAGGTTTAGGGTCCAAGGGAAACTCCTCCTACCTCTTCATGCTTTAGCAGAGTAGAGTTGGCAGAAGCTTCACCTGACCTCTTAACCTGTCAGCAAGTATAGTGTTCTTTCCACAGCAAATACAAACCATGGTTCGCCGAATACTCAGCCTTCGCCCTCTCCGGAAATTTTCAGTGAAAAAATGGCGGTTGGCGAAGCCTTCAAGCCTTCAAATACATGGGTATCAACGGCGTCGGTTACCGGGAACGAGTCCCATTTTCTTGTTAAAAATGTCCGAAAATCGTGTAACTTTTTAATCCCACAACGGCAAGCTCGGAAACTCTGGCATCTGGCCCAGATCGCTAGTGCTATATCTGGGCGGAAAATGACCATTTGGCGACACATAGTTTATTTTGGTGATGGAAAAAATGCTACCCTTTCTTTCCCCGGGCACCCAATAGAACAAAAAGTTAAAATCTCGTCAACCATTTTTTGGAGGCCAACTGCCAACACGAAAAAGCTAATGCCCAAGTTTTTCTTTTCTTTTTTTCGAATGCAATCTGCGAGCACTGAGAGATTGTTCGAAGTTGCAGATTTTATTATTATTATTATTATTATTATTTATTGATACTGTCAGCCCTAGACAAGGCTTTTACAGGAGTGGGTAATACAATGCAGTAAATCACATACATGCAAACAACAATGCACAATAAGGAAAAAAAAAAAGAGAGAACGGCGGCAGAGAATACTAATACCTGCTGCGACAAAAAGCACAAAAAGAAAAAAAAAAAAAAAAAAGATGCTGTTATTATATGACTTGCTCACTAGACAGGCAATGATACAGCATTCGAAGTGCTCAAGTACTTATACAGATTAACGCCAACACAACAAGTGAAAAAAAAAATGATGGGAATGGACTCTGAGGGTAAGAGTAGAACACTAGATAGGCATCGTGATTAATCAGCATTTACGACGCTTTATAGTTTGAAGCATTAGAGAATGCTTCTAGCTACAAACTCACACTTTCTATATCTCTGGTTTAATGCGGACATTACTAGTTCTATTGTCCACTGTGCATAGGTACCTTTTATATTCGGTCTAGTAGACCCCCACTGTGTCTCCTCACCAGAACGACATCCAACAAATTAGGCTTCGATGTCATGGCACTGGCTTTTGTTGTGCAACGAGCAAAAAATTAACAGGGTCCAAAACTACAATATGCGGAGCGCAAGTTCGTCTGCTCCCTTTGCAGGTTTTGTGCTGACGTCAGAATGCCGAGCTCTGATTGAAGGACCTTAAGGCAAGCTGCCTTGAAGTCTACCCACTATCCTTCAATCAGAGTCCGGCGTTCTGACATTGCCATAACCCCTGCAAAAGAATCAAACGAACTTGCGCTTCTCACAGGTTTCAGGATGTCATTCTTGGCACATTGTTCCCGTAAAAATGCCATGAAGGGAAACTAAATGTGGCTAAGATAGCTCCTAGCAACTCGTCATCTTTGCCTTTAAAATAAGAAATTACTTTCTCAAGGAAACAAAAAAAAACATTTGATATAGGCACTTAAAGGGGCACTGACACCCCAAAGGTCGTATTTATTTTTATTGTCTAAAACGATGCAAGTTGCAGTCATAGACACGCAAAAAAAAACGCATCGCGAAAAAAAATGTTCCCGCGCGCACGCGCGCCTTTTTATTTTTGGCGTTTTATTTTCCCGCCTCTCGCCTCCTCGCTTCTTTTGATCGGTGACGTCAAAAATCAGGAAATTTAGAAGCTTTGTAGGCGACATCTCTATAACATTTAATAACGGCAATCGTAAAACATGTTTTTTAACGCAATTGCGAACGCACTACGGCCCTTCTTTTTGAAATACCAAGAATCGGGAGTTTGTTGTGGTGCCGTCTCCTGGATTTGTATCCTCCAACGGAAAACAGGCAGCACCGCTCAAAACCGGTCCGCCGTAACGCCGCCGCTCACTCCTTTCCTCCTCGCTTTGGGTCGCCATGGCAACAGCAGGGAGTGGTGAAAGAAAGTCGACTCTCAGGTCTCCGCGATTTTTGACGTCAAGGCACCGGCGCCAATCGCGCGGGAACTTCGAATTCGGCATTTGGAAATTGTTTTTTTACTTCACAAATACTGAACTCCCAAATTTCAAATTTTGAGGGTAATGTCCCGGCATCGTTTTCAATCGTTTCGGATAATAAAAAAAAATATGATTTTGAAGTGTCAGTGCCCCTTTAAGACTGTTAAAGTGTAGGAATGCAAAAGCATTCCTACATGCAGCGCATTCCTACAAGCAGTGTGCAACGTCTTCCTTTTTCACACGGCACTCTGGCAGTGATATCCAGGTCCCCCACTATGCAGGCGCGGCGAACCCCGCCGGCTTCACGACGGCTTCCGTGACGAAGCATCTGCGTTCTTGTGCTTTTCTTTGTGTTTTATTTCTGAGGCACATGCTTGATGACGTATTGGTGTGACCATCTTTTGGGCACAACGCCGCCGCGTTTTTGCGTAATGGGACAAGCAAGGCTTTCGCTTTAAAAAGCATCTAACATATAGGGACATTGGCATACAAGTACACACCAAGACAAGCTTCGAAAACTTGCACACACTCGTCTGTCCTCGCTCCTGTATGTCCCATGGCTTCGTTCCCTAGAGACCCACATTCCAGCCTGTCCAAACAGGATACTACAAAAATAGTGAGGTGACACGACTCCGTCAAAAATCGTGGAAATTGAAGCGCCCAGCAGTTCGATGTCTGTTTGGACACCAGCCAAGCGTGCATCACGACTTTCCTCCTCGCTTCCTCCACTTTTCGGTGACCTCGGTTCTCATCAGACTTGACGTCACATGCCACCTGCCAATGCTGTCCGCTGTTCTGCAGGGCTAGCCGAGCCCTTGAATCCTTCGCCGTGTTCCAAAATTTATTCAATCTTACTCCAGGATAAGGGTTTTGTGCCCTTGCGTTCAAAAACCTACCCACGTCCAGCATCGCTCTCTGTTATAACGTGACATGACCTGCTGGAGTAGCTTGGATCTATTTGGGTAAGATTTCCCTTCCCCATTTTCGAGACTTGAAGAGCAGTGGAGGCCATGAGCGATTGACCAAGAACCAACAGAGCTTGTTAGTGGCCATCCGGACTCACGTGACGAGCATGTTCACGGCCTTCGTGAAAGGCACAGGCGACCTTAGACGAAAGGAACTCTCCCACCGGCAAAAAAAAAAAAAACGGACGGAAGTGGAGCGCCGCACGATTCGTGCCGGAGTCATATCGCCTAACAATATTTGTAGTATCCTGTTTGGGCAGGCCTTTACAGTGTCTGGAACATGTCTCCAAGCAGTGGGTTTACCGCAACCAAAAGGATGTCGTGCCGTCGCCAACCGCGAACCCGACTGTGCCGCAGCGGCAGTGGTGGCCGAGGCAGACGCCTGTTCCGCTGCGGGTCGCTATCCAGCTCGATAGTCCACGGAAGCTCCAGCAGCCGGGAGTTGAGACACCGTGACGGTGGCGACACTCGCGCTTGCTTGAGTATTTCTCCGGCGTTTCTACGACCGACTGCCGGGTTCGCGGCATCCAACGGCATGACACTCCGGGCTTGGCGACGTCGTCTGTTGCCACTTCAGGACTGCTCTGGACGCACAGGCGGAATGGGACGCCACGCAGACCAGACGAAGACGCGTTCCAGGAGCGGTGTCAACGCCGACACGCTCTTACCGGTACTCGTAAATCCGTCGTTGCGACAAACCGATGCAGCAAGCTGCCGTCTGCTCGAGGCACCCGGCGCACATTGCCAGGATGTTAAGACCTCGCATAATGTTACAACACAGATAAAGGATTGCCTAGTTTTCAATGACCAGTCACCGTTCAATGGCAGAGTGCGACAACACGCTTCGTTCGTAGCACTTTCAGCACGGTGTAAAGGAACGGACGATCCTCTTTACGTTCGCCCGATTTACGCTCCGCGACGTTGCAAGTCGAGAAAGTCACTGGTCGCCGTAATTGTGGCGACGATGACGTGGCAAAAACGAGTGCAGCAGACACCCGTTCCGCTGCAGCCAACCCTTCAACCGATCAGTTAACAGACCGGTCCGGTAGCCACGGACCGGGACGCCGGCGATGTGCACTTCTGCTCTCCATCCGTCGTTCCGCCGCTTCTACGACCCCTTAATCTTTAACATTCTCTCGGCGGCAATACGCTCCTACGTCGTCGTCGGGTAAAAATCGGGGGACTGCATTTTTGGGGTCAGGGTAAGCGTACCGGTCAGAGACACATAACGGGCATCGCACTTTCGGCGGCCCAGTCGGCAGAGAGCGGCCCGAGCACCAACCCACCTGGTCTAGCATTTCTTTGGTGTGCGACGCCGACATGCAGAAACGGGCGCGGGCCTCCAGCAGCGGCGTCGCCGGGAAGCCGACGCCCACTGTCGCCACGCCGCGCTTCATCAGGTAGCGCACCAGGCCGCTGCAAAAGAAAGCACCACACGTTTGGCGATCGCGTCAAGACCAAACCACGCTCTCTCGTGAGTAAGAGTGCGGCATCAAACTCCAGCATCAATCGTATCAAGTGGAGCAAGACGGAACAACCTCTTGCAATGCACAGCAACTGTCAACAACTTCTGGCAAACTGTGTGCTGCTAGACACACTCTCGGCTAGGTCAGGATCCATTCTCAAACCTTTCACTCACAAGGAATGCCCACCCCCGTCGATCTGTAGCTGGAGAACCCGTCCCCATCATGGTGCTAATGCAACAAAGCGGTGGAAAAGACTACGAGCCTTTGCAACAATAATGCAAATACTAGGTAGCATTAGGTTTGCAGCCACACAATAATGGGTTGCTCAGACGTGCTAAAATAGTGTTCAAACTGAAAAGACCCTTTACTTGGGGGCATGGACAGGTAAAGAAACTTGGGAGCGTGGGAAACCCATAAGACTACTATTAGGAACCCGGTTACCCCATAAACAAGGTAATTAACAGAGCTCATCTAGACTTGTCTTGGTACAGATTCGCAAAACTCACTCCTGGATGACCGGCAGTAACAAAACGTCCGGGTAGTGCATGCCAGCCATTTCGTTGAAAGCGAGGCAAAATTTGAGCCTACGGTTCCTGGGCGGGCGAGTTTGAGTCCCAGATGAGTAGCCTGAAACGCGACGGAAGGCTTGCAGCGGAACTGCATAACTAGCATTCCGGCTGCACACCAAGGGTTCAGTTCCACGACTAAAAAGACAGCGGAGTGATTTTCAACTTCGGCTATTCGGAACTTACGAAACATACTGACCGGGAATCGGTTTATGTTTGCACGTGCCAGTTTTCACGTAGAGTGCACTTAAGTTCACATTGCTCTTCACTCTCAACTGCTCGTTCTTCTCCTCTTCTTCGCCGACGGCCGAGACTCCACTGGTGAGGAGGTGGGGTTCGACCGAGCGCCGACGCAGCACTCGCATGCACTCATTTTTCATGGCAACGCACGGGAAGTTCGTTGCAGAAATCTGCTACGAGCCAGTAATGTAACTATACTTCGTTTCAGCTTAAGTCCAGACGCAGCCGGCGCTACGAGTTAATGGGACCAATCAAGCAGCGTCAAAAGCGCAAGTCACTCAGCTTTTTCTGTGTACGACTGGTTCGACGATGATGGAACACGCCCAGGAACATGACAAATACCATGACCTTAAGAAAAATAGCAATGCAGACAGATGAAAGTCTTGGGTAAAATGAAGCCGTAAATGGAGATTGCTTTTTCGCGAGTCTTGGGTTTTTCTCATTCAAGGGTGGCTCCAATATGGGGTCGTCCGGGTTTCCCAAGTTTCGAGAAAACCGGCCCGGGGATTAATTTTTGAAGTTTATCAGTGTATAACGAAAACGTGGAGTGCTACGTGCAGAGTTGGCACTAACGCGCTACAAGTAAAGACGTTGCCAGTAACGTGTCACTTCTTCCGATAATGTTGCAACATACTTGTCACATTTTCAGAGCAGTAGCGGATAACATACTTTTGTTACTTATTTCGAGTAACGGGTAACATAGGAATGTTACCTGTTACATCTTCTCAAGGCTTCAAAATAAAGTACACTTAATTTTTTTTGTGTGTTTCTAGGTGCCGAGTTGCATGAATTCCAGACCTTACCAATTTTTCCTCTCTTTTCCCCGTGCTAACACTTCAACTCTAGCAAAACCCCGACACCCAATGCCATTGTCCCAGTGTCGAAAGAAAAGCAATGCAAAGGGAATGTGCATTATTTCTTATCGGTAATGGTAACGTAGATGGGTAAAGCATTCTTTTATTTGCAAGTACTAACGAGTAACATATTTTGTTTTTTCGGTAATGCCTACAACACTGCCTACACATAATTAGGGCCCTTCGTTTTTGAGTTTTCTCATTTTTCAAAATCGGGGGGGGGGGGGGGGGGGGGGAGCACTTTGTTCTAAGCTGTTAATCGGGAAGAAATTGGGTTTTAAATAAATTGTCCCTGAATTAGAGTTTTTTCAGATTATATCTATACATATAAATACTGTAAAATACCAAGGAATTGCTCACCCCACTTTCACTGAAAACTGGGTTAATCTAGACAAGGGTGCATGTCTGGTCAAACGAGGCACTTAGCATGTAATTTGCAAAATTCACAAGTTTGGAAAATGTTAATAGTGGGTGCTCGAACAAAGTGGGCACTTCTGCTGTATTTTACGGTAAAAATAATGAACAATCAGGAGCATAAATCAGTTTAAATACATAATTTTTTTTTTTTTTTTCACAGTCAAGTCATAAACTGTGTAAATTGGAACATGGTACAAAAGCTGACTTGGGCTTTTCAAATTTTCGTAAATCCTTGTTGCTTACATAATCATTGGCATGTGCAGCATCTCTGTCTCCATCCGAGACCTGACCAACCTCAACATCTCAACTTGCAGGCAATTGCAATGCACAACTCGTCCTTCTTTTTTAATTTTTTTTGTTTTTTGCACTGGTTGAAACAAAAGGGTAGGACAAATTATACTACTTCACAACTTCACAACTGCAGTTCACTGAAACAAACAGAATCTACCGTAAAATACCGCGGAAGCACCCACTCTGTTCAAGCGCCCACCAGTAATATTCCCAAAACTTGGGAATTCTGCAGATTATATGTTGAGAGCCCGAATTGACCAAACAAGTACCCACGTCTAGATTAACCCAGGTTTTGGCAAAAGTGGGGTAGCAGCTTCCCAGGGATTTTACAGTAGTGCGCTTGGCGTTCAAAGAAGATTCGAGGGCCTTACGCTATCTTGGAAGGCAGGTACAGCATGAGGGGCACCACGGGCGAGTCCTCGTTGCCGTAGATGATGAAGCCCATCTGCTTCAGCCGCCGCCGGAAGTAGTGCGTGTTGCGGGCCAGCCGCTCGATGCGCCGCTGCCCGTCCCCGGACCCCACCTCCCCCATGATGACGCGGCACGTCGAGATGATCTGCTGGGCCACGGGTGCCGGCATGCTCGCCGCATAGCAGAAGCTGTACGACTCTGCCCGGAGGTGGTCCACCACCGCCTGCAGGCCAAGAGGAGACGCGAGAAACGTTTGCTGGGACGCCCAAACGGTACGGCGGAATGCCACTCGAACAAAACGAGGGTTGCTCGACTAACTAGGGTAGAACACGGTCCTTAGATTAGCTCGTCTGGAACCGTATCGTCATACTGCGCCGCCCGAAGCACCTCTCTCGTTTCATCGCGTCCTCAAAACTGGTCCCTCCATTTCCGTCCGACGACGCCGCGAGAGTGTCACGCCGTCGACTGCCGCGATTCCGGCAGTGTCAGGGCGGCGGAGGTGGGTGCAGCAGACGCCTCTTCTGCCGTAAGGCTGGCTGCAAAGTTGCCTTCTCCGCCGGCATCCGGACAACCGACTGCGAGCATGGCGACGTCTAAGGGCAGGACCCGCCGGCTCCTGTGGCACGACCTACTGCCACTTTGAGGCCACTTTCGACGAGGAAGTGGGACGGGACGGTAGATGCAACGGTCCGAGACGCACTCCAAGCACCCCACTGGCGTCGCAGAAAACGTTTGAGGGGGTTTCGCATGCCTATATTTATTCCTTTGTCACCGGCAAAGGGCAAAGAGTGTCCCCGTTAAAGAAGCGGCATACTAAGAGTATGGCGTAGTCGCTGGCAAGATAAGAACGGCAGGGAGGTCATTCAATTCGTGGCTCTACGAATATTGCGACATCGGCAGTTGGCAGCGAGGCCATTAGAGTCGTCCTTATTTGTGAGAACGTTGAGCGTAGCAGAGCGGAAACCTACGCGTTTCTTCTCGACGGTTGTACCGTCATCACCGCGTTTGTAGACAAAGGCTATTCGTTAAAAATGACGGCGTACAGATGGGAGTGGAGTTTGGCAAATCATAAACGCCGACATCGGTGGTGCCAAGACAGTGAGTGAGAAAGAAAGCGATAGAAATAAGGAAAAAGAAAGCAGACGACACATGTTTGTTTTGCCGTAACGCTCTGCAAGTTGCGCAAATGTTTTTCCTTTTACACAACATCCATTGCCCAGATTTTCTCGCTAAATGAGTTACAGCTGCTGGCAGATTCAAGACTAGTTCCGGGAAACCTGTTTGCATAACTACCTGCACCAGTGACCTACCATTCGAGCGGAAGAAAAACGCTACCTAATGATATCTGGAGCTCTCGACGCACTAGGAAAGGACACTGGGCGAAACTATCACAGAGAATACAGCAACACCTTCCATTCCAGACGCTTCACACAAACTCTACGACAAAAAGGCCCGCAGATTCACACCTTGGAGCCTGCGATGTATCCGCCGGCCGCCCCGAAGCTCTTGGTGAACGTCCCCATGTGCAGGTCCACGTCACGGGGGTCCAGGCCAAAGTAGTCCACGACTCCGCGCCCGGTGGGGCCCATGGCTCCTATGCTGTGCGCCTCGTCCACGTACAGGTATGCCTTGTACTTCTTCTTTAGGGCCACAATCTCCGGAAGCTTCACTATCGAGCCCTCCATGCTGGACGAGCGCAAAACGGCAAAGTAATCGTGATGTGTGTATGTTTAGACAGCAGTAAGTTAACGCTGGTTCACGCACAATGTTCTAAACAACCATTTCTCATAGATAGTGTATACAGCTTTTCCCCAGAAATACCGCAAAAACTTCGCCCTAGCGAAGTGCAGTTCCAGGCCCACCTTGTAGATAGTGCCAGCCTGTTCTCTCGTCATAAGAGATCATAAGAACTCAGTCCTAGGCAAACGCGAGTGCGAACGGGCCTTCAGTCGGCCCCAATGGGTGTCTGGTGCCACCGCTGCAGACGACAAACTTAGCCGGTGCAGCACCCCGGCTAACCCAGGGTCATTATGGGGCATCACGCGATAGAGAGTACGATTGCACGCCAGTATGACGCTCATCCAAATCGAAACGGGCCGGGGCGGGGATCGAACTAGGGATCCTTCAGCTCTGAATAGACGTTTTGCTGAATTACCGAAGCATCGAAAACAATGCCGAGAACGTAGGTACACGCGCTGCACGTGCTGGCGTCTTCCGCACTAACTGTTCGAAAGCAAAAATCTAAAACAAATGGCACTTCGCACGCACGTTCCATGGACGCTTTATGTTGGTCATTTACTTCTGATCATTTCTATAGGAAATGCGAGCACATGCAGCCAGATGTACCAGCGTTCCCAACGTTCCCTTTGATGCCTGAATAATTTAGCGAAAGGTCTATTGTGAGCCTTTGTTTCATGAGCTCCGAGCTCCTGTGCACTAACACGCTCAGCCACAAATCCTCCCAAACAGCTACTATATTAGAGTCGCCGACAGGATGAAAACAGCAAGGAGTTGTGCCGCTTCCAGCGCGAACTTCCTACTTTCGACGATACATCGGAAGGCGAAGGAGCTCGCAATGGGGTCAGGGCACCGGAAAAAGATTCTCTGCCATTCCGATCTTGCCAGGGGCCACGTTTTTCGCGGCGTGGAAAGCACAAAACGAAGTTACAGTACGCCGCAGAGCTGGGAACGCTTTCGCGACACTAACAAAACCGTTTCATGGTTTTCGGTCCGACACGGCATCAGGGAAAGAATTGCGACCTCTTTGCGCCGTTCGCGCCTCGTTCTTTTCTCACCTGTATACTCCCTCAACTATGATCACGATCTTCTTCCAGGGCCGGTGGGTGCGGGGCTGCCCTCCCACGATGGCGTCCCTCAGCTTCCTCTCCAGGTCCGCTATGTCTGCAAACCCGTACAGACTCTCGGTACAAGTCTCAACGTGAGGGTCCCCGCCGCTCTGCCATATCTCGCCACGTAACTTACCGACGATAGTTAGAGGCTACGACTTACCGAAGGCAGTAGTAAGTCGGGTGTTTCGGCGAAGGATTTCAAAACTCCCCAAATATAGGGTGTTTGAGAAAAGAGAAAGTCCTTCTGGGAACAAACTGCCAGCGACGGCAGACATCAAGGATAGCAGAAAACATTCAAATTAGCTAAACAATTAACTAAGTTTTAGTAAATAGCTTCGTAATTAATGAAAATGAACATAGGGTCCCAATGAGTGAGTTGTTAAGCATCATCCAAAAGCACTTCATCAACTTATTGTAGAAATATATAAGGCAAGGCGGCAATTTACGGCGTTTTGAAAAAACGCTAGAGTTTTTCGGTTTTGGTTTTTTGTCAGAGTGCATCTTTGCACCAGCAATCCTGTCCCCTGGTGGCCAAAGTGCGAAGCTACCGCCTTGCCTTCCTCTTAGGATGGAGGGAAGTAGGGTGCACATGTGTTGTACATCTCGGCCACAGGGGAGCAGGACCGCTGGCACAAAGATGTGTTCCAATACGAAACCAAAACCTAAAAATGCACCCAAATTGAGCGGGTTTTTTTTCCTTTTTTTTTTGTTGTGAAATGCTGCCCTGTCATGAATCTTTCTAAAATGAGTTGATATAGTGGTTTTTAAAGGTGCTTAGCAAGCTTCTCATTGGAACCATACCGTAAAATCCAGCCCAGCCAAAATCAAGAGATAAATCGTGACAAACATGAGGTGGCTATCTTCGCGGATGAGACAGCAAAACTTAATCAAAAATTAATGATAAACACAAGGGACACCCGCCACAAACCACGTGACACAGGAACCGATACCGCAGATTGCGGAAGCTGGAAATTTGCGTTTCACACTGCGATAAACACGCGGGAATCAGCTTCTAGCGCTCGTGTCATGAAAAAGGATGCCGCAGACTGTGGATGCGGCGCTCGTGTTGCACGGTGCGATAAACACACAGAAACCGGCTAAACTTGCACTCCACGGGAACCGGTATCATGCATGTAGATCGCGGACAAAAAAGCGCGGGAACTCCTATGTTGCGGGAATGAATTATGCATGTGCAGGTTGAAGACAAAAACATGGGAACCCGCAGCGAACCCGCTTGTTGCACGTACCGGTACCGCAGATTGCACATTTGATGCAATTCCTTTCGGACATTGCGCAATGTCAGACGGGAATGGGCGGAGGGCGATGTTTCGGGACTAGTACGTTACAAACATTTAGCCAGAAAAACGGCATGGGATATCTCTCGGGGGAGTGTGCTCTTACAGTACTTTACAGTATCTATTTCTTCACTACTCAAAAAGTGCATTCGTAAATTTCATTCGATCGTTTAGCTACTAATTAGCATGTCTTCTTTCAATCCTCGACATCCGCCGTGGCTGGCAGTTTGTTCCCGGAAAGAGTTCCGTTTTTTTTGTTTTTTTTTTTTCTCCTAACACCTTTGTTTTAGGTGTGTTCAAAAGCTTTCGCTGAAACACCCTGTAGGGCAGAGCTCCTCAGACTTTTCAATCTTGAGGAATGTTTATATGCGCAGAATGGTAGATAAACATTGTTTATCTGCCATCCAAGAGGCAGACGATACCCTGTAAACAATAATGCACACACTACAGTCACTGACAAGATGAGAATGGCAGGGAGGTTCTGCGATTGTCCCACCTCCAGTGCAAACCTCCTACCTTCAACGACGCTTCGGAGCCGCGCGAGCATCGAGCGGTCACGCGCAGCCCCAGCACAATAAAAGGCAACGAGCGCGTGCTGAAGGCCGGACGTCGGAAAGAGACGCCCCGCCGTTCGAATCCCAGTAGGTGACAAAAATTAACTGAACAAGCGAAGGGAACCCGCTCACTGTTGTGCTTGAAGACACGTATGGTGGCCCCGGACAGGCGGCAGCCCAAGATGAGGGAGGCATGGTTAAGCTCGTCGCTCAGGATGAGGCAGCCCTTCTGGGCCAAGCCCGGGATGTTGGTCGAGTTGGTGGCAAAGCCCATGCCCACTGTCATGCAGGCCTCCACCCCGAGGAAGCGGGCCACCAGGTCCTCCAGCTCCTGGTGGATCGCCAGTGTGCCTGCGAACGGCCAGTCGCAACGTTACCTTGAGGATGACGACTTCTTTGTTGAGGTGGGGTGCCTGAAATGCGTCTCTGACTGACGACTTGAACCCCGTCCATGCATCGAAAGTGGTCCCAGAGTGGCAACATACAACAGAAAATTAGGTCACAGGAGCCACATGGAATGTGCCAGACAGACACGTGCATGATACAACGTCATCTCGAGGACGACGACTTCTTTGTAGAGGTATGGTGCCTCGAACGCAAAGTCAATTGGCGTACTCGGCGCCCTATACCGTCCACCAGAGGTTTGAACTCACTCACTCATAATCAGCCCAAAACCAAACATATTATTTCCCTCACCTTTAAACACACGTCAAGAAACAAAGTCAAACCTCGCTCACCCTCACGGCCACACTCGCATTCAATCCCTCACTGCCAAACTCGCAAACTTGCCAAATTCACAAACTCCCCAAGCTCACCAAATCGCACCCCACACCAAACTCACACAAGTCACTCGACTTCAAACTCACCAAGTTTTCGAGGCTTACGAACTTGGCAACCCTCGGCTAACGCCCGAGGGTGAGGCTAACCGAGGCGAGCGAATATGCCAATGAATTAGTTTTTCCAAGGTATGCCACCCATGTGACGAAAGTGATCCAAACGTGGAAACAAATTATACCGCGAGAGCCGGTATCCTGCCGTCGGATGCCACGTTCCTGGCACTTGGTCACAAAAGTTCCGACTAAGCCGCCGTCACAGCGTCCCAACTCATTTCTGCTGGAGCATTCGCGGATTATCAAGCCAGAGAGCAACATAAAGCAAAACAGTCATCTGCTGCATCTACCTCTGCAGCCTCGCCACCGCCAGGATCGCGGCAGACGAAGGCACGACAATTCCATGATCTTGTCGGGTGGAAGTCGACAGACCTCATTTGAGGACGCAATAAACATGCCAATTGCAAAACTAAAAAAAAAAAAAAAGGAAAAAAAAAATGCCTTTAATATGCTTGGTTTAAGTTTTCAGCCTGAAAACACAGTGTTTGGCAGCCACTTTTGGAGTTTGGATGCTTCCAGGGTCACGAAAATGGCAATTTTCACGTTTCCGACTCAATCACGACCCTCACCCAGCTCGTGTCGGCTGCTGCAGGTGCCGCTGCCATACCGGCGGATGGCCTTCTCCACCTCGTCCACAACAGGACCGGAGTTCTCAGCGAAGCCCAGGTAGTTGTAAGAGCCCATGTTGATCGCCTTCGTCACCGTGCCAGGCATCCTATGCGGAGGAAGGGGAGACGACAAGCGACATCAACCCAAACCTGCTTCACACAAGTACCAGTGCAACTACCGCCGCCTAGAGCAGGGGTCCTCAATTTCGTCTACCTTGAGCAACCTCTCCTGGCCTAGGCACTAATGCAATACAGTAAAGCAGCACAGGAGTCTACAAGCCTTGTAAGCAATAATGTGCACACTAGACAGTGTTGGGCACATAGTAATGCCTAAGTAAATAGTATCCATCTGCTAAATAAGTGCTCAAACTAGAAAACCTCTTTAGTTAGGGGCAAGGTTGGTTGAGAAATTTCGTGAGCTCTGGGGAAACCTCAGAGGTACTCTGGGAAGCCCCTGAAGGTACTTGGGGAACTCCTGAAGGTACTCTGGGGAACCCCTGAATGTTCTCTGGGGTACACCAGAGTTCCTAGGGAAACAGCTCAGGAACCTACGACCTGGAGTAATCAAGGACAGTAGAATCTTGACGCCATCACAGCGAGACCGAGCACAGACACAAAGTGGACATGGGTACTGTGTCAGCAATCGGCTGGGCCTCGTGTTCAATCAGTGCTTGAAGGACGCTAGGTGTCGAACTGGAGCCCAATTGCCGAGTTGGCACTGTCCTAGACTTCGTTTCACCTCGTGATGGACTGCAGCAGACGGTACGAGGTAACCCAGCCAATTCAGCACTTTGAACGCATCACGTGACTATGTGCCCGATGCGTTGCTGCATCCCTCCCAAAATGTGGCGCTCGCTCGGCGCTGGTCTGACTCCAATGGCTTACAGTGTCCAGTGCAGTCCATTGTAGAATGAAACAAAGTATAGTGTAAGAATGTTTCATAGAGGAAAAGGAGGCTGTTTTTAGGTAGTTTTATAGGTCCAACCGACGTCAGGAGCCGCGTAAGCATGAAATGTGAAAATTGGACAACCAATAACCGCAAAAAGATTTTTGAAAAAAAAAAAAAGGCAGTTGATGTTAGGGATTGAATTCGTCACCAGCGTGGAAGCTGTGTGCGGTGCTGAATGAGCTACAGATCCAACACGCAGGATTGGGAGGACCAGAAGCAGGTGGCGTGAGAAAGCGCACAGAGCAAAGAGGGGTGGAAAGGGCATGAAAGAGAGGAGCAGAAACAGGTGGTGTAGAAAGAGTGCACAGAACAAGTATTGGAAAAGGCAGGAATGTGCGCTTCCCTTTCCTTGCTGACCCGAAAAATTCAGTGCAAGGGCTTTGTATCCAGATGGTGCTGAAGGGAAGCAAGCACAGTATCACAAAAGGACAATGGTGTGACGTAATCCGTTTTCATTCAAAATCCTGCCCTAGGCACCACCCGAACTAAGAGTGCCACCCACCCTATAAAGCTACTGCATATAAACACGTTTAACAGAATGGCCAAACATGCAGCCAATTTTCCAGGTGGTGTTGGTCTAACGCAGCAGTGAACGCAATGGCCAACCATCACTATACGGTACAAAGTTTGATCCTCGATCCCAACCATCCTAATTCGGATGAGCATCACACTAGTGTGCGTTCGTGTAATCGCAAGCTATAGACCCAAATTAGTAGTTGTAGTGCGCTGACTAAATTTCTCATCACTGGCGTGAACGAGCGTTGCCACGTTTTGAGTGAAGGTCAACCTCACGTGCCTAATTTTCTTTTCTTGCTGAAGTCAAGTTTCATTTGTTGAGCTCTCCTATCTGCCCCCCAGTCTCGGGTAAGACATAGCTTCAACCAGAGCATAAAGAGGTCGCAGCCCTCTAATACCAATGCTAATCCGACACTCACGCATTACGACCAAACTTGGAGAGCGTCAGATTCTGTCCGTTTAAATTATAAGCAAAACAGAAAATGAAGAGTGTTCGTCAACACATGGTGGAAACTGATGAAGAGCGCGGCCCACTCACGTGAACGTCCAGTTGTTGTCGTCGGTGACGCGATCGACCAGGTCTATGACAGCTCCGGGAACGCTGCAGATCGGCTGGTTGAAGCAGTCGCGGATCGGCCGGTACACGTTCCGCGTGTAGAAGCTCTCGAAACTCTGGTAGAGTGGAACATAACCCTGCGCCCGAGACAAAGAGACCGAGCAAGGTTGCAAACAAATTATCTGGCACAAATATGGGACGTTACGAAACCAAGCAAAACCGAGCAGAGCTCGAGTTCAAGAGAAAACGTGAGACAAGCTGGAACAAAACACACTAGAATCGCTGATGGCTCAAAAAGAAACCAAGCCGTTCTGTATTCGAGAACAAACACTAAATCGTCTTCATTTGGCCTCCAGGATCACAAATATCAAAATTATATTTTCGACTGATGTGCCAAGTAGCCACAACGGCACTTTCAAAATAGCGCCGAAGCCCTTCCTTCTTGTCGCATTCAGTGGAAGGAAGATGATCCCGACATTTCCACACCTTTCACCAGCCTTACCCGAACAGTCAGAAATGCTGCATGCATTCCCTCACAAGCAACAAGTGCGAGGCAGTTGAAACCTTCGGGTACGACGTTACACCTGGCGGCTGGTTTTCCTGTTTTCTGTGTGTCTATTGATACGCTCGGGTCAAATGCTCGTGATATTCGAATTCACGGGACAAAAGTATGTAACAGTTCACCTCTAACTCGTCTTGTCTTTTTTTTTTATTTATTCAAGAACCTCGCAGTTTTTCTTAAGAAACACAAGGCACGGTGTGAGTCTCAGGCATCATCTTATCGCTAAGCGGCCAATGAGATTGCATTATTATTGGATAAGAATGCCAAACAATAAATTACAATGCAAGAAGCATAAAGATAAGGAGTCATGCCCCACGTTTCTTAAGATGTCAATGATTATACAAAGAATAGCTTACAGACATTAAATTAGAAGGGCAGAATCGGAACAGTTGTGGTAATCAATCAGAAATTACTGATATTTCAGTTAAGGGGCTACTGACAAGGCTTTTACGCGTGCCCAAATTTTGAAGAAAACACCATCCAGATAACGCAATAATAATAAAAAAAATATTTGTAACTTTTGTAACTTAAAATATGTACTGTCCTTCCCTGCTTCAATTCAGTTCTACTTCAACACATCTGATATTATTGTGCGACATTGACAGGGTGACAGGCCGGAGTGACACTGACAAGCCTCCGGCGCTTTTGTCCCAATCCGTTCCGCGTTATTGGTGGCAGGCTGAAGGGTTTTCCTGTTTTGTTTTTCGTTGTGTTTTGTATTGCTCGTGTAATGTCGGTGCTTCCTATGTCCTGTCAAAACGTTTCCTCGTTTTATTTTATTCAACCTTTTAGTTCTAATGCCCTTTCTGAACAGGACAAACAAAGAATAATGACAATAATGTTAATGGTAGTGTATCATTAATGTCATTATAAGGAGTATTCACTGGGCGCCATATTTGTGGGTGCTGTCCAGAGCACATGCTCAGAACGAGCTCACATTAATAGGTTGCTAAGACCGGCACTCTTGATGGTGTGGAATGCACATTGCAAAAGAACCGTGGAAGCTCGCCGTGAGTAGGGTGCATCAATGTCCTTCTGTTTAGGGTGATGCCACCCTTTGTAGTACCCGATGCCGACAGCACGCGCTCACGGGGAAAATACAAAGAAATCAACGAAAACAAAATTCGCTATAGCACAGTCAGCGCCACAAACGCGTGCGGGGACATGCTCTTTCACGCGCTTCTCAACAAAAAATACAAATAAATGATGGCACAAAATGGCGAGATGCCACCACCCTAAGCAAAGCGCACATAAAGGCACCCTAGCCGTGAGCACGCGCTCAGCAGTCGTACACACAACTATGGCCACCAGTGAATACTTCCTAGTGTGATTAATTGCGAAGTCCCACAAGCCTTTTGATAAACTTTCGCGGGCCCGCAAATCTCTCATCTGGTGATGTTTGTAAGCGAATAAAGTTGTAATTAGTGTTATTATTATTATTACTATACCTTTGTGATTTCTTTTATTTTTGGATTGCAACAACTCAAGTGAACATCTCCTCGAGTCTTCTGGCGTTCTTGTGATGTTGCTTTTTTCTACTAAACAATCTTGTCACCAGTGCTTCCCTGGTTCAGTTGCAAAAGCCCTTGTCACATTTGACAAACCAGCCTTGTGTCATCTTTGCGTTCCTCCTGTATAAAATTATTGTTATTAATATTATTATCATTATTGTGGCTAAGACATATGCAACATTTGTAGCTTTGAATTACTGACACTTACATAATGTGTCAAATCACGTTGTGTTGAGGTTCCAGCTTTCACTGGCGACTGGGTTTCAGTCAGACAAGCAAACAAACTTTGGCTTGGACTGACCCGGTACCGTGACTCTCACAATAATAGGTCAATTTTGTATTATTATTATGAATATTATTACTGCAACCGATTACAAACCGATAAGATCTGCCCTGAGCAAGATAGAGTACAAATGACCCATTTAGGCTGAACCCCTCACAAAGCAATGCCGGTTTCAGAGCCAACATGAGCGAAATCCGCGACCCCAAAGGTGGGCGGAGGGGGGGGGGGGGGTCGCCACCCACCTCCCGGTCTTTCTCCGTGGCCGTGCGAATCTCCTCCAGGCCGACGGAGCGCATGAAGTCCCGGATGTGTCCGAAGATGCCCAGAATGACGTAGCTCAGGTAGGTGCTCAGTGCCATGAGCAGCGGCGTCTCCTCAAAGTCGTCCTTCCCTTTCCGCCGGGCCTGCTTCCCATCCTGAAAGAAAGAGAGCCTCGTTTCAAACTCAAATGCAGCCTACAGTTGTGACGTAGGCCTTTTCAAAAAACACTAAACCTAAAAAAACTGTAGAGCCCTTCCACCTCACGTGAGGATGGAGGAACAGCGAAGCTGTTATTTTTCCGTCTAGGCAATGCCTAGAGGACACTGTCTAGGATGACCTCAAGGACAAGTTCTAGGACGACTTCGAGGGTGACTTCTAGGATGACCTCGAGGACGACTTCTAGGACGACGCCTAGGACGACTTCTAAGACGACCTCAAGGACGACTTCTAGGACGACCTCGGGGACAACCCCTAGGACGACCTCAAGGACGACTTCTACGACGACCTCGAGGACAGCCCCTAGGACGACCTCAAGGATGACTTCTAGGACGACCTCGAGGACGATACCTGATGATAACAAGGAATCAGGACCTCACTTACTAATAATGCCAAGGAAGGCTGACTCACGCTGGTTGCCCCCTCTTTTTATTTGTATTTATTCATACTTGCCACGACCAATGGGGAGTTTGCTATCAACATCCACGGATGCATTTTTTCCCAGATTCTAGCGCATAACAGCTTTGCTGTAAAAAAAATGCATTTTTACCCAATATGTATGTTACAATACAAAGTTTTAGATTTGCAGGCAAAACCAAAACTATACCCCTGTGGGATGATGACGATAGTGTTTGTAGCTAACCAGTGTGCGCATCGAGGTCCAGCAAACCCAGAGAGCACACAGAGGTTCGATACAAATGCTATCACCGTCATCCCACAGTGGTACAACTTCGGTTTCACCCGCAAATCGACAAATTTGTATCGTGACAAATACTGAGAAAAAAAAATTGTTTTTTTTTTTTTTGTTTGACAGATTTTTATTTTGAGACGAGCCTGTCGTAACCAGGTAGAAAAACCCTTTTTCTTTTTTTAGGTCCATTGCCTTTGTTAAGCTGGCATGCAAGAAACGCTATGCTCAGAGGCAAGGTGAGAATGGAAGGTAGTTGCTTCGGTTGTCCTACCTCCAGCGCAAGCTTACTACCTCCGACAACGCTTCAGCGTCTCATGCCCCTCGAGCGTGCGCACATGGTCAAAGCACGGCGGAAGGCACGAAGCTTCCAAAGACATGCCTTGCCCATCTCATTCTGCCAGCGGCTATGCACAGTGCAGGGTTTGGCTGCTTCTCGAACGGGCATTGCGGGTACGTCACAACGCCGAGCTCCGATTGGATCCAATTGAAGGATAGTGGGTAGTAAAATAGTTTGCTGTTGGGCGAGTTGGTGAAAGTTTGGATTCATGGTTTTGCGCAAAAAAGACAGACACAAGAGAGAGAAACAAACACGAGCGATTGGCCTTTAAAGGTGGCTTGTTGACCACGAAATGGGGTTGATTGGCCTGTAAATGTGACTGATTGCCAGGATAGGAGGCTGATACCCCTGTAGAGGAGGCTGACTTGCCTGTAAAGCTAGATGATTGGTTTGTAAAGGAGGCTGATTAGCCTGTAAAGGTGTCTGATTAGCCTGTAAAGGTGTCTGATTGTACAGTAGAGGATGATGATTGACCAGGAAAGGTGACTGATTTGCCTGTGAATGATGCTGATTGGCCAGGAAAAAGGGGCTGATTGACCTGTAAGGGAGGCTGATTGGCCAGGAAAAGAAGTAGATTGACCTGCGCTCGTGTTTGTTTCTCTCTCTTGTGTCCGTCTTTTTTGCGCAAAACCATGAATCCAGATAGTAAGTATACCTCAAAATAGCCAGCACTGAGGCCTACACGCTATCCCTCCGTCGGAGTCAATCGGAACTTGGCTTTCCGACGTCGGTGCAGCCCCAAACAAACACTCTTTCTTCTTTTTTTCTTTTTTTTTTTTTACTTTGCAATTGCATTTAGTTTGATGTTGCATCACCTTTTGCGTTATCACTCACTGCCTTTGCCACAGTAGTGGCGGAAAGGACCATTTTTTTTTTTTTTTTTTTTTTTTTTTCATTGGAGGGAGTACAGGTTGTAAGCACCATCTGTGACACATGCCACATTTCGAAGCAGCTGCAGCAAGACAGAACTTCGCTTTTTATTAATTTTCTATTTCACCTAGAGAGTACCTCATGCGCTCGTTAGAGCATTGAGTAAGGGGGTCGGTGGCCGAGTGGACTAGCGCACACCAGCTCGGAACACGCAAAGCGAAAGCTCGCGCTGCAGAACCCAGGATCCAGGGGCTCGACCCCACCCCTGCCCGTTTCGATCTGGATGAGCATCGTACCGGCGTGCGGTCGTGTATCACTACTGCGTGGTGTACGTTAAAGACCCCAGGCTAGCGGTTGTACTGCACTGGCTAAATTTCTCATCTACAGCGAGTGACTCGTTACATCTTTAAAATGGCTGACCAACTACACGCTGTATGAATATCCACACAACCCCCAATTATTATTAGAAAGGGCAGATAATAAAATACATAAATTCAAGATTTAAAAAAAACAAAACAGGTAATACAATAGTGCACAAAATCAATGAAACGAGTATCACTTAGCTTTGAACAAAGGAAATGTTTCAACAATACTATGCATAAAAAATAATAAATACTATCTCACTGTTCCTGCTTTCGCTTGGCTGGATTAGACGGCACCGCAAGGGCTGCCTGCAAATGGCTGTGGAACGTTTCACGCCACACAGAAACTGGAATCTGAGATAATCGTGCAAGCTTAGAATCTATCACATCCGACTGTATTAGTATTTCCCAAACCGAATAAACACTGAAAGATAAACTCGACTTATCCACCTTGCTGCAGTGTGGGGGGCCACTCACCCCCACCAAGCGCCACGGGACCACGTTTGAAACTGTCAACAACGCTGTCTGCCAGTTTCCTGTCGCATGCTTGCCTCCTCCGCTTTTTGTCTCGCCAAAAACCAGTGCATGGAATATGCGGACGAAACGTGGATATGAAGGCTAGCTATGGATAATTAGCCAGGAAAAGAAGTTGGAAAAGAATGTCCTGGGAGCCTCAGAGCTGCTGTTGACATTCCACTAGAAACTTGGCTTCTTCAGGGCCAATTGTCTTCATTTCCTGGCCAATCAACCTCCTTTACAGGTCAATTAGAATTTGTTGTTTTTTGCATGTAACCCACTCTCCTCTGCAATGCAATAATGGCACTGAGGGTATTTGAAATAAATATATTAGCCTCCTTTCTTGACCAATCAATAATCTTTACAGGCCAGTCAGCCTCCTTTACTTGTAAACTAGCCTCCATTCATGGCCAATCAGTCAACTTTACAGGTCAATCTACCTCTTTTCCTGGCCAATCAGCATCATTCATGAGCAAATCAGTCACCTTCCCTGGTCAATCAACATCCTCTACTGGACAATCAGACACCTTTACAGGCCAATCAGACACTTTTACAGGCTAATCAGCCACCTTTACAAGATGATCATCTACCTTTACAGGCAAGTCAGCCTCCTCTACAGGGGTATCAGCCTCCTTTCCTGGCAATCAGTCACATTTACAGGCCAATCAACCCCATTTCCTGGTCAACAAGCCACCTTTAAAGGCCAACCAGCCACCATTTGGGCCAATCAGCTGCCCTTACTGGCCGATCAGCCAGACTTAAAGGCCGATCAGCCTCATTTCCTGGCCAATCAGACACCTTAACTGTCTAATCACCCTGTAAAGGTTGACTAGCTCTGAAGGCCCTGGATACTAAAGGAACCATGCTGGACAGGCTTCATTTTTACAGAGCCGTATATGTAGAGAGTTTGGCCATTCGTTGGGAAGTATAGGGGACAAATGAGGAGGCGCCATTGGCCGAAAGCGGGCTCGGCGTGTTCCAGGTCGTCTTCAGAAATTCGAATGTGACCAACCAGAAGCCGGAAATAATACCCTGGCGGTGGTCGCGAGAAACAAACCTGATAACTGCATTGGAGTAACTCTCGATGACTGAAAATATGGTACACGTGATGTTTTAATCACGCTCATCGAAACTGATGGTGGAAGAGTGCGACAACCGGAACGATCGACATAATCTGTACGCCAAACGCCGAGGGCCGGGAATTTGCCGTCCGAGCGGTCACACTCTGTCCGTGCAAAACAGAGTTGAGCGGCGCATTCGTTTTTTACATCTTTCTGCATGATGATGATCGAAACAACACGTGGACCCTATTTTCAAACACAAAGGGTTACTACACTTCACTCTTACGCACTTATTAAAACCATATACGAACATAGACCTTCGATCAGAACTGTTTCTCGCTACCACCGCTAGGGGATTCTTTTCGGCTTCTGGTTGGTCGAAAGAGCATGCCAAGCCCTCTTTCTGAGTCTGGTGCACGCCCTGGCTCTGCCCGCGCCTCCCATTGACCAAACTCTCTGCATATACGGCTCCGCATTTTTATGGCGCTACCATCCAACCAGTAGGCTCCGACGCCATCTTACGACACCCAAATTTCGGTACAGCAGAGCACCGAGGTTCGTGCAGAAAGGATATTGCGAGTGAAGAGAGGGAGAGAAAAAGAGAGGGGAAAGGGGACAGAAAAACAGCTAGGCATCGCAATATGGCTGCACAAGCAGTGTCACCGTGCACAAAATATGCTCTCATTATTTCCCTAATTAACTTTTTAAAAATTATATGAGCAAGCACTAACTAGTTTTAAAATGTCATTTAGTGCTATTTAGGCCGCTAATTGTCCCATTCTGCACGTGCTCTGGCTTCCACCCAAGTGGATAGCATTTGAGTACCCCTATTTTTTTATTGTTATCATTTCCAGTCTAAAGAAAAACACCCTGCAATGTATGGGATGTCACAAAAAAAAATTACATGGCTTTTTTTCATTACAAGAATTAACTATGCATCACTGAATGCTCATTCTCTGGCCAAATGTAGCGCTAGTGGTCCAAACCAGAAGCCAAAGTTTCAGAATGAACCGTCACCTTCTTCAAAAGACACAAGCGACTTTCTGAAATTTTAAATGGGAGAATGGCGGCCGACATCGCTCTCAAATATATGGAGCACAATGGCACCAGTTACCGAAAACGGGGAAAAAAAGGGCCCTATTGTCCCGTTGAACTTTCCGGAAAATCACCTGCAACTTTTTATTGAGATAACAGTTTGTTGTGAACTTTTGGCATCTGGTTCGCTATACTCTGTCTCATCCTACGATGGACTAAAGGCCAAAGCCACGGGCCGCCAAATCCAATCACGTTCCACGCTATACTATGGCACGCTTAACATTGACTAGGGGTCGACGAATAATGCTCGAATCCAAAAGCGCCGCATCATTTCTATGGCCTCGACTCTGCAAAGAGCCTGTATGTCCTGGCTCTCTTTGCGATGTAAAATTGTTGAATCACTCAGTGCTCTTCGATTCGAACCACTGTCCACCCGTCCCCCCATCAGTGATTTGAGACGCGGGCACCGATACGGTCATCGAAGCGAAATACCGCACAATTTCTAAAAGGATTGTGATTGAATCTGGCGGTCCGTAGCTTTGGCCTCTAGTCCATCGTAGGGTGAAACGAAGTATGGCGTTACATTTGAGCAAAGAATGAGCGTTCGGCGTATTTTAACGGCGAAAAAAACCCCGTGAATTTTTTGGGGGAACACCCTGTGGGCCACGCAGACACAGCAACGAGAATGCTCGTCACCTTCCAACAGCAGTAGTGGAACAACAATCCTTTGTACTCTTCACTGATACCGTACAAAAGCTATCTGGTCGGAAGTTTTGTGTTTAGATTACCTCCGATAACAGTACCGTTCGACTCTATTCATTGCTACCAAAGAAAGGCTATCTGCTCCAAATTTCGGGTTCAACGCGTCTCGTGTCTTCATGCTGTCCCGCTCGGGTAACGCCACTTTCAAAGCGGATCAGAACACCCTTAACGGAATTCCAGAGATTAATCTGATTTGGACAGTCCTCCTTAGATTTCACGTCTGTCGGATATCAGAGAGGGAAAAACCTCCCAATGCCGGCTTCCGTGGTCAGTCGTGCACTCCAGTCCACAAACCCGATAAGCCATTGAAAGGTGATGCTCGGGCAGTGGACTATCTGCCAAGCCCAAGCTCCAAGCTCACTGCCAAGAACGTTCCCCGTTTTTTTGTGATAACCGTTCTCGCGTGCTGTCGTGGGACAGAACCCCCAAGGCAAGCTGGCGGCCCCCCATCTATGAGCTGGATTACGAGGACTAAGCTCGTAAATATTAACGAGCGGGAAAAAAGTATTTTTTCAAAGTCCTTCGTGGAGGGCTCTGCGTATACTGAGGAAGTGTGTCGGTCTGTTTAGCAATGGTAAAACGAAAAGCAGATAAAATCGGGCTTATCGAGAAAAGAGGGGAGGGGGGAGAAAGAGGGGAGTCCTTTCTTGTGTTGTTTTTTTTCTCGATCTATTTTGGGTTATCGAAACACTGTCGCGCGCCTTGGCATGAGCGCACCGGATGTGCCACTATGGAATAGAAGCGGCAAGCTCGCGATCACCACGACGGCTTCACGAGGTGCGGTGCAGGACGGAGGGGGGTCATATTACCAGGACGTGACACGTCGGTATAGCCGCTCGCTCGCCACACAAAAAGACGACGACACTCGCCGCTTTTGTCAAACTCGCACTTTTTTTTTCTTCTTCTTTTTTTTCCAACTTTTTTAGCACGTCGTGCAATTGCCGTTGCTACGACCGGCGCTCAGACACCCCAGGGCGTTCCGTCACTGCATCATTTCATTCATCGCCCACCGACGATACCGGAGACCGAAGTAATGCGGTCACGAATCAAACGGGACATCTGTCCAGTGACCACGTTGAGCCGACGGCCGTCACCACGCCGAAATTGCGACGGAGGTGCCAATATCCGCACACCTACACTTTATCTGCAGGCCAGAGGGGTATGCGAGGTCAAGAGTGTCATACCTGCAATACGTTTACGGACTCCGACCTAACCCAGATATTTTTTATATATATATATATATATATATATTTCTATAGTGGCAGGGCGACGAGTACCTACCTTGCTGTCGCCGGTCTTGGGCGATCCGGTGTGCGAAACTCCGTTGCAGCAGTTGGGCGCCTTGTCCAGGATCGCAGTGTCTTCTACTTTGAGTCCCATGGTCGCCGCCGATCGTGCAGTTTCTTCAAGGTTGATTTGCTTTAAATTTCTAATGAAAGTGTGATTTTTTTTTTTCTCGTCAAACTGGGAGGAGACCGAAGACGGCAGGCGGGCGCGACGGAACCTGACCTAGCCGCTCATATCTCCGTTTCTCCGTCTGGCGCGCTGACGCAAGTGATGGTCGATGTCTACCGCGCGCGCGCCAGCCTGCAAACCTAGAGGCACGCTGGAGTTTCAGCGGCTTATACACGGTGCTCAGAAGGTAAAAGTGTGTACTTCCTTGGGCAGTTTGAAATAGCACTGTATATGCTCATTTTATTATTTTATTCTATTATTATCTTTATAAGCTACCCAAAACTTTGGGAATTTAGGTTGTGAGATTACAGAGGCATAAAAACATTAAACTATGCTCCGTGTCACTAGTTGTGTGCAGTGGAGGACAAGCGAGGCCAGGCGAAGAGAAAAGGCCAGAGGGGAGAGGAGGGCAGTGGAGAAAGGGAAAGCACTAGGAACGTTAGAGAGCAAAGGAGGTTTCTCTGCTCCTCCTCAGCCCTTGTAGTGCTTCTTCTTTCTCCCCTCGCTTGGCGTTGCCTTCGCCTGTACTGCACGCAACTAGTGGCAATGAGTATATTTTGTGAAAGTAGGTTTTTAATAAAAAATTAAAGAAACCTGTTTTTTATGCTCGGGTGGAAAACAAACAAACGGCCGAGTTGATGCTGCTGCTCCCATATGTCACCGGTAGATCTCAAACGTATGCAGTAAAAACTAAAGTACAGGCGCGTGAGCCAAGCTCAGTAGACTGTCTTTTATATGAGAACTCGTGCATAGGACTCACGTTCTAAAGCCAAGCGCTCGTGCTAGTGGCGTCAACCCGACGGTACCGACGGTTTGTTTCTGTTTTACTCCCGCTCACCAATAATATAAAAACAGTAAGTTTTTTTTTTTTTTTTTTTTTTTGCATTTTTTAAATATGAGTATGATCAATGCACCACTTAAAAATATTTTTGTGAAAAGTTCCATGGCACTTAGTTCACATGTAATCACGACATCTCCCACTTTCTTGCTTTAATTCCCCCTCAAAAAAAAAAAGGTATTAGTTGATGCCTGAAGGTAAATTACATTAAATTAATCACATGACGGTAAAGTCTGGCACTTCATATGGTCACAAACACTTCGTAAGGAAAACGCGCTTCCCTTTTCTACCAAACACCCGGTATAATGAGATGTGATTAAAATGTATAGATTTACTATAGTCGGTTACAAACAAGAATGTAGGAGAAGCTCCTCCCACAAGCGTGATGCGCCCGTTTCAAATTTCTCCGCAGTCGAAAGAAGAGTTCGCTGGAAACGCTCCTTGTTCCGCTTCAATGGATTCCAACTTGTCTCCGATCCCACTTTTTAAGAACGCGACCTTTGTATTCTTCGGGGAGGGAACCGAGCCCCTGAAAGCAGCCTTTGTATCCATCGGGGGGGAAGCTAATCCCCGAAAGTCGTTAATCATGTCGTATTACACCTGAGACTGCGGTGGAAGAAATCGGAAGAACTTTCAGTAGAAGGAACAGACACAGAGAACGTCTCAAGATTAGATACCACCAGCTCGCCTGCACTCTCACCGTCTTTTCACCGAAAGTCGTATTTGTTTCCGTCGGTGGGGGAGAACTCTAATCTCCCCCTCGTGGCTTCCACTATGCTAAGTCGAAGTCGAAAGATAAAGCAAATATGTACAGAAAGGCAAGACCCTCCTCGCGCGTTGGCCGCGACGTCACGGAAACGATGGGACGCTATACACGTTTGCAAGTCCGGTCTCAGGGCTCCGCCATCTTCCTCAGTGGGGTGCGCTCTCGGGAGCGGCCATAATCCGATTACGACGCCTTAGCAAGGCTTCGTAATAGGATTATGACTGGTCCAAGCGCACCCCAGACAGGCAAGATGGCAGCGCCCTGAAGCCGGACTTGCAAACGTGTATTGGATGCGGAGGTGGCGGAGGGATATATACCTTTTCATTTCAGTAGTTGCCTGACCGTCGGGTAGAGGGCGCTGGCGCACTCGCCGCCAGAGACAGCGAAGGGAGAGTGGATTTCAAGACTGTAGAGATTACCAAGCAAAGGTTAAGTGAATGGTGGCAGAAATCGAGAGAAAACTAGGTATTTTCTTAATCACTGATGGCAAGGGGGTTTCATAGCCTCACTTTCTTTGCACTGCGGAGTGAATATAGATTTCACATTTAAATATTCTAAGCTTAAATGGTAAAACAAAATGGCTAGGTGGCGTAAGCTACCGCCCGATCCAAAGGGCTCAGCCGTATTCATCCATCCATCCATCCATCCATGGGGTTGCTTTAATTTGGTTGGTTTCGGTTTAGACGTGCACGCGATTGTGTTGCTGTTTCACGCCATTTTCGCTTAATTTTGTAATACAAATTTCTTTATTGTCGCATACAGTAAATGAAAGAATGGCACTGAGGCGCTTAGGGAACCACAAATTGGTTTCAGCCAAAATCGGCGAGCACTTTCACGAACACCAGATGCGTCTGGTTACGTCAATCGTTAATTTCGACCAGGTTTCCGGGGGTGAAACAACTGCGCTGGTGCACAGGGAGGAGTACCATCGCCCACGGTCGTACCCATAAACACTAGTTTCCAGAAAAATAAATAAGTAAAGGGCAGGACAAGCTTCGCCTCAGCACGCGCTTCTTGCCTGCCGCCGAGCTTTGGCTACCCGTGCACCGAGTGCTGTGGAAGGGCTCGCGCTCAAATCAGATATTCGACCGCTCATTTAAAGGCTGCTTTACACATTGGCTTCGGTTGCGTTCGCATGCAACCGAAACGACCACTACGACAGAGTCACCAAGACAAGTGTTCGCCGTACACAGCGTGGCAAGCAATGCAAGGGGTAGATGGAACAGCGCGGAACATAGGACAGAAAGAACAGGACAACACGAGCGCTGACTTACAACTGACTTGTTCTAAGACTGTCCTGTTCTTTCTGTCCTATGTTCCGTGCTGTTCCATCTAGTCATGAACCAACTAGCCCATCAAAGCACACTGCGCAAGGGGTAGCTTCGTGAAGTAATCCATGAGTCACGGTTGTTCCGGTGTTTTGGTCGCTTTTGTCATTTCGGTTGCATGCGAACGCAACCTTTGCAAATGTGTGAACCAGCCATTATATTAACGAGTTTTAGTAGATAGTTTTCAAATGCCCACTACCGCTACGGGCGCGCGCTTCACAGCATGCATCGAAGTGGCAGCGCGAGCTCACGCTGCAAATAGCGTGGAATTGAAAACACGATCTTCTAAAACTTTCTGTTGTAACGGACTATAATGCATTAGTGCTTAGTGAAGAAGCAGGTCCACAACATGATTGGTAATGCGCTGAATCAGGATTAGCACATGAAGTGACAAGTTTAGTGCTCGATGTCTGGGATTCGTACACCAACTTTTTGTGACTTCGCAGACTGGAAAAGTCTCCTATAATGACGTAAACACAATACATAAAAAAAAAAAAATAAGTGTCATTCTCTCGGTCTGCTTTATTTAATTAAATTAAGTTTCCAAAGAATATTTTAATAGACCAACCCAGGCCGACTAGAGAATTTAATTAACTAATTACTCATTAACAGGATTTCACAATATTGGCCTTATTATTTGTGATTTGGACATTTTCTTACGACGTTCTCAAGGTATGAGGTAAGCGACAGGCTCCTTAAAGGAGCTGTGCAACGATATTCAATTGGAATGTTTTTCTCTTACACGAGCTTACTGGCACACCTGGGACTCAAGGATACTCACACGCAACACCATTGGCCAAGAAATTCCTTTGTTGCGGTGTAATTTCAAGGACAAAAGCGATAATATTCATTCAATCTCTCCTTCGCAAAATTTGATGACGTAACTCGGGGATCGCAGTACACCCGAGTGACGATATTTGAATGCGGTTCTTAGATTGGACCCGAGCATTGCGTGGGCACTCGACTTGGGCTCGTGACAATTGCAAGCTCGAGAAGCATTCGGGTTGTGACCCGTGTCCAATCGCTGCAACGACGACAACAGCCGAGCCATAACAATGTCTGGAACTCAGCGCGTGTCCTGCGCTTTGCCAACCCCAGCGCGTGGCTATGATCAACACTGGCGGCATATAACCGGCTCCAGATCACGTGGCCGCTTGTTCTGGCTGCGAGTTGAGGGGGTGAACGCTGCTCGTTTTTCTTAAATTTTTTTTCTGGGACTTCTATTGCGTGGGGTGAGAAACGAACGCGTGTTTCATAGGTCATTAACGTTAGGGATCCGTTTTAAGCGGTATTTGTGCACAGTACAAAAATTGTTGCATCGCTCCTTTAAATGAAGCCTGACATTCATCTTCCGTAAATTTTGACAGATGAAACTAAAGAGCGCAAAAGAAGTGACCCCCGGTAACTTTGATTGAAGTTGAGTGAGGCACCGCATGGACTTGTGTAGAAAGCTCTTTACTGGTTTGGACCGACGCGCTTTGTAGATTTCGGCGTCGCCAGCTACTAAAAGTGAATCACTATTTGCCGTTGACAACGCTGCACTCGGGCGATTTTCATGCAGACGGTTTATTTTCGGCGTCACGTTTTGTGGACCCCAGGCATTCTCAAGCTGCCTGTGACAGTTTCTTACGCGGGGAGTCCCAACCTTTGTGTTGAAATGAGTTAATTGAATTGGACTGGTTAGCTGATGAATGTCATTTAAGCAATTAAAATACTCTAGACATGGGACTAATTAACGGCATACAGCTTCTTGAAATTCATAAATAGACCGACCAAGGGAATGTTTATATCGCAAAAAAAAAAAAGAAAAACGACTAAGAACGTCAAACAGATGTAGGTGTAATATTGTAAACAAATGAATTGCCTTGATGTTGACGTACCATTATTTCTAGTATTAGAAGAACAAAATTAAAATTGAACGTTTATTTCCTTGTCCAAGAGTTCACCCATATAATCAAAAGCCACTGCTTTCGAACTGTTATGAATACAAAACATGATGCTTTCTCGGGAAACGCACGTGGTTATTTGCACTGAGTATTTTGTCACCGTCCTTGAGATCACAAAAGCGCGATCATAATATACTTACCTACATTGCGCTTCCTATTGCGAATGTTTTGCCACTATTAGTAAGCAAACCTCAGTTCTCGTAAGGTTTGACCTTTGAACCCCTTGTGCTGTCTTAGTCATATATGAGCTGAATGTGCGTGAGCACTAACGCTGATTCATGTGCCCATAGAGCCTCTTCACGCGTAGCCGGCACGCCGACGGCAAAAATAGTAAAATGTGTTACAAAATTAAATGCAGAAGTTGTGCATACAATGATGTAGTGGAATTACGTAGTAAATATAAGTATCGGATAACACTTTACGCAGAAAGGTAAGAAATGCTGTGAAACGCGACGAAAAACGCGAATTCAACGCATCCGCCAAGGCGCGGAGTATCGCGAAGGGGAGAGCGGAGCGACGAGTTGAAGCAACCTCATGGCGGCCGCATCACGTGATGCCAAGATGGCAGCACCCATGCGGCGGAGGGTGAAAAGGTCTATAGGATTCCCTTTGAGGGGCATTTGCCGCTACCTCGCACATTTTTACATTGATCAGAAATACACAAATATGTGCAATGAAGGTCATATGTATAGTAAGAAATGATCTTACTACATTCCCTACACATGCAAAAGCAGGAAACACATGAGCGATTAAAACGGGCGCCGCGCGGCAGTACCCATAGCAACCGGTGCAGGCGTCCCTACGCCGCTGCGGAGTAGGCGACTCGCGGCGCCGCTAGGCCCATGGAGAATAGAAGGATAGGAGAGGGCATGACGTCAGCCGCGTAGCCTCCACAAGCCATGCTCCCTTGACGCCTCGCCTCTTTATTACTTTCCTCCTTACTCTCCTCACTTACCATGCCAACGTGACCACATCACGTAACCGTAGCTAGACTTCGTCTTGCTGTGTGGTACTAGAATACACCACAGTCTAGACTTCGACCTGATAAAACCTACCGGACAGAGCGCACGCAAGCCTGCAAGGAGTCCTTCTACAATCAACCATCCATCTCACACGTGACATGTCACGCGCACCAATCGCCAGAGAGGTCTGCGATCACGCTGGGCACAAAATCGTTTAAACTTTTTATGACTAGGCTTTACCAATATTGCAACGTGCCCCCTCCTAGTACTTCTAACCTCCTTGGCTAGGCCGCACTCGCGGAGCGGGGAAGAGATCAGTGGTATCCATTAATAATTTGGCACTTTTCTGTCTGATACAGCGCGAGCCCGATTTTACATCTCCTGATTACACCAGAGGTAGGTGCCGCAGAAGACCGTCCAATTTTATTAATCATATTTGTATTTTTAATAGCTCAAATAATGTAGACCGCCTGAGAGAGTTTCCAACTGCAATACAAGCAGCGAGGAGGTGACGAGCAGATTGTTGGTCAGATTTGGTCCAACGAGGTAGGTTTGGTCGTAGTAATGAGTCACTAAATAAAGCGAAGCTTATTTAACGGCTCTAGTCGTAGGAGCAGCCTTCATGTGCGCTTTGCTAGGGTGATGCCACCCTTTGTAATGCCGCTCGCCGACAAACCAGCACCCATTTTGTTCCTCGGCGCCGGAAACAAGCACCTTATCTCAGAAGTTCGGAGCAGCGTTGTGGAACCCACGGAGGGAGGAGCATTTTCCCCCTCGGATAGGATTACCGATGGACACAAAGGCCACTTTGCGGCGCACGGGAAAACAATGAGAGAAACAACATGGCGGTGGAAGAGGGTGTGGGAAAGGGAAACAGGCAGTTGGCATCACTCTATGCGAAGCGCACATGAAGGCACTCTATTATACATGGCTCTGGTCGCAGCCAACCTTGTCTAGCTGTTCCGTCCGCTTTCCTCCCCCATTAAAGGGGCACTGACAGGTCAAAATCATATTTTATTTTATTATCTGAAACGATTGAAAACGATGCTTGGTCATTACTCTCGAAATTCAAAACCTGGGAGCTCAGTATTTGTAAAGTAAAAAACCAATCGCCAAAAGCCGAATTTGAAGTTCCCGCGCTATCGAGTCGTCCTGCAACTCGCAAGCCTCCACACCAGGCTCTCTACCAGGGTGTAAGATAGACAGGTGAGGAAACGAGAGCCAAATGAGCGACCGGACTGTGTCCCCCTCGGGTTTCTCTCTTTCTGTGGCGCCATCTATGTGGAGCATCGCGAACTCTCACTCCGGGTGGGCGACCGGTGGCGATCGGCTAAACTGACGGAGATTGTTTATCGTGGATTTTTAATGGAGGACTGTCGTGCTCTCGGCTTATTCTGTGTACTTTCCCACAGAGTTCCATGCAAATCCGATTCCGATTTTTTTCTTCTCTCCGCAGCGCCATCTGTCGCAAGTCGGGAGTACCCGCAAGCAGACGAGTACCCAATCAGGTCACGGGGGTCACGGCGCTGCGGTAGGCTTCTTGGGCCGTTTCCCCACTTACACCTAGAGCACTATATAGCTCCTACGGAGCAGAGTAGCGCAATCCTTTGAACCCCGTGTTTTGTCGACAACATGGCCGACAGAGCGGCTCGGCTCGAGTCACGTCGTGCAGGGTGGTCACGTGGTACTCAGGGTTCCAGGAGGCGGCCCGCCCTATGGCAGAATGGGCAGAATACATGGAGATCGACATAACACGGCTGATTAAAAAACTAACGGCGAGTTCACATTTTTCAAAACTAGCCTGTCGTGAAGTTAGTAAAGCGCTAAACACTTTATCAAAGTTTTAATAATATCGGATGCGTGTGCAAATTTTGAGAAGGCAATTTCCAAGGCAATGGCGTTTGAAGCAGACAATTTTTGCTCGCAGCGGAGATGGGCTTCTCGGGTTGGCCGGAGCGGGTCACGTGAATGGTGTGACGTCGCCGTGTCGTCTGCTGCATGATGCCGCTCAGGCAATTTTTTTAAAAAAAGTTACGTCCTTGTATGGCACAAAACTTATCGCATATTATTCTAAAATGTTTCATTATTATATCAAAAATGATTTCTATTCCGCACATCCCCACAAAACTGAAGAAACAACGATTTTCTCACGTTCTCCTAGCATTTCTGACCGCAGTCGGAACCTCCGGGCGTTCGCCGCTAGTCGCCGAGAGACGGCGTTCTAGATTGCGCTACTCGCGCTACTCCGCGCTACTCACTCTGCTCCGAACTCTCTATGGCTCCGAAGCTGCTCTCTACAACTATGCTCTACAATGACGTCACAACAGGTAGCGCCTGTTGCGCCATCTTTCTTTTGATTTACCAATCGCTTCTCGCTTTCTCGCGCAAGGACGGGAACGGAAAACGGACGGGCCAAATCGACGGAACGGACCGAAGCGGGGGAGCGGGGGCTACGGAACAGCTTGTGCGCGCTCGAGTATCGGGCTTATCGAACCGCAGATGGCGATGTTGTTGCAATAGCCAGCATGTGACTTCAGCGTTTCAGCTAACGGTCGCTACCACAGTGGTCGCTACGTTTCTGTCGCACTACGTTGCTGTACTCGAATATGCGTCCCAGCCGCCCCAATGTCAACGCTATGCATTGTGTGGTCGTTTTGTTCACCTTGATCGCTTTGAGGTAAGCCCACCGAGCATTGATGCCTGCATTGCGCGTTCTTGTCGTCCATCAGCTGTTTTTTGCAATGTCGCCTGTTGGAGCTTACGCTTCCCTTGAGCAAGCTTACATCCGTGGTAGACTGGGGAAGCTTAGTGCGATTTGGTCGGCCGTTTGTATGATGATCACGTAATAATTGCCAGTATCGGTGCAGATTAGAACGCGACTATGTTTGTTTTATTTACTCAAAGTTGGTAATGGAAAGAGGCTTTAAATATTAAATTAACGTGTGTTAAATTGGATATTTGTTTTTAAAAAAGAGTTTTAGGCTGTTGGCGCGGAGATAAATTTAATTTCTATATCCATAATCGGATGATCGCACCACGCGACCCTCGCTGGTTATTAAATTTTCTCCGCGTGATCAATGATCCCCGGAGATCATTTATAACGTGTTGGTGCATCTCTGCATTTTTTACACAATTTTATTTTCGTGGAGGTGCAGACAGCGAACGCTAAGCTGGGATTTAATAATCGATGAGCGTTCGTTCGCCCCGCCTAAAAAAAGAAAAAGTTTGGTTGTTTGTTATAACCGCAATTTTGTTTTGCACTACACGAGTTAAGAACGAAGAAAGGTGTACAAACTTACGCCGTATTCATACGTCATATGACACTGGAGTATGCATATGATTTGGCGAGGACTTCTGTCATTTTGAGCGTCTGCAACGCTTGTCGTCTGCTACGCGAGGTTCTATTCAAATCTAGGTTATATGACCTCCGAGGGGCTGCTCAAGCAAAGACAAACATTACTGTTTGCATTCACACAACAATAGCACGAAAGGCCGAGAAAAACAACTGAATACATTGAGGCTTTTTTAATTTTTCTTTTTTTAATGTTTGATATATTAAAATATTCTTTCTGTTGAGTAATAAAAATTTGTATTTTCATAAAATAATGTTTCTCATCTAAGAGAATCAAGTCATGCAGCTAGGATACAGGCTTGCAGACAAAGTAGAAAGTAGTCAAAAATAATAATAAATAGTGCTTGTCGTGAAGATGTCATGCAGCAACATGTGCCCTTTTGTAGACAGAATGTGCTAAATTCCAAGGCAATGTTTAATCTTTTGTTGTATTGTCAACTACGCGAAGCGCAAGTTCGTCTGCTTGTTTTGCAGGAGTTGTGGTGATGTCAAAACGCCGAGATCTGATTGGCTCTGACTGAATTCCTTCAGTCAGAGCTCGGCGTTCTGACGTCGCCACAACCCCCGGCAAAAGGAGCAGACAAACTTGCTCTCCGCATAGGAGTCATGCAGGATGAGAATTTGCAGACAGATAAGAATAAGAACAATTTTTAATGCTTATTGTGAAGGTGTCAGACAATCCCTTTTTTGGTGGTCTCTGATATGTGGTCTACAACTTCATACACGCAGAAGCAGTAAGACAAACAAAAATACAAAGTTGTAATTGGATGGAAGGATATTGGTAGATTGTTTGAAATATACTCAAATGACAAAAATATCTATTTGCACTGAAGCTAACTTGTAGGGATTCTATGTGCCATTAAAGATCAGGTCGTTAACAATTGTACGTCGACGTGCACAATTTTTAGCGGCGCTCGTATCCAATTTGGACAGAAACGCCGTTGACGGGCTTTTTCGGGCAGAAGGTTCCTCTTTTATTATCAAAGCCTGGTGATAATAAAAAAAAAAGGAAGATTTTCTTTATCACATGACTGAGGCCAGCGTGGGGCACACAATTAGTTGGATGCAAATGCTGCATGCATCGGCTTTCAGCTGGGATTCTGTGTCCTGGATCTTCAAACACGACTCCCAGCCAAATGCTTGCTGATATCCTGTATCTGCCCCAGATAGTGGAGGTAAAAAATCTAGCACTGTATGGACCTGTTATCAGAGAGGTGTCAGTCATATCAGCTATGGTGGAAATAAGGCGATTATCAGACTGTGGAAGATTGGGCCAAGGGGGGAGGAGGAGGAAAAGGACCTGAGCAAAATCTCCAGATTGCCTCTTTAAATTAGGCTGCACAGAGGATACCATCAAATTCCAACACCTTGGGTCATTTGATATGGGAGGCTGCCTGATAAAGTTCAACAAATCCTCCATGTTTTATTTAGATTGTAGATGAGAGAAAAGGAGTACAAAATGACTTTGCATTTGTAAATTTCCTGCCAATGCAAAAAAAAGACAATTTTTAATTTTATTTATAGGTACTGTATGTTGTTTGTTTAAAAGTATAGTATTTTCTACAGTACTTTGATCATAGCTGACAAAATTATCATACATGAAATACGGTTTTGGGTCGGTATACCTCGTAGCAATCGTCTCTGTGTCGAGACTCATACTACTACAACCTCCCACAGCTGTGACAATTTTGCATCTCGCTTTTGTATCTTACATTTTTGTCAAGTCACCCTCGTCAGACTTTTGTTCTACATTAGAATAAGACACGAAGTTTGCCGCTGTGCAACCTGAGAGTCATACTTACGTGTTACTTACTGTACCCCAAAGTCGAGCCAGTCGGTTGCAAAGACACCGAGCAATTGCAGGCGACCCTGCAGTCACCCGATTGCCTCTCTCGGGCTGAAAATTCAGAACGTCTAATCACGTGACCAGGCAGTTGGTGACAAACGGTGCTGTCATATAGACCAACACCTGGCTCCGACGACACGCTCTGCAGTGGCACTGCTGTCGCCACGGCGCATGTGCAGAAGCTTCACCACACGCGAATCTGGTTTCAGCGCTCGTGCAGAGCCCACACCTGGTGTGGGCAAATGCAGGCTTGTTTGTAAACAGTATGTCGGTCTATAGCGACAGTCTTAAACTTGGGAGAACTGGATAATTCAAAATACGAGACGTCTAGAATGGATCTTGGCGCTGTAAAATGAGCCGGAAAAATTGCCATCTGCGTGCAGACAGCGCAAACTCTCGCCAAACGCGCACTTGGGCGGTGCGTTTTACCCGGTGAAATTTGAATGCAAAGCTTTCTTCTTGTGAAAATCGAGACCAACAAACTTTTGGCACCACCTCTTGATAGATGCAGCAAGCATATGAAGTATCTTTTCATCTGCTCGCTGCACCTGTCGGAAGGTGGCGCTACAGGTTACAGCCATCACTAACTCTGTTGTGTGCGAACATATCTGCCATTGACCTTGGCAAGTTTGTTGTTAATTTTCGCAGGAAGGGAGCTGCGCCTTGAAATTTCACAAAGTAAGATCGACCACCTAAATGCACATTCGGCTAAAGTTTGAGTTTTCTGTGTGCCGGTGCCAATTTTTCCGGCTCGTGTAACGGGGCTAAGATACATTGTAGGCACCTTAAATGTGTTCTGCACATACTTGGAGTATCACAGAAGCACTCACTAAAGTATTACCATGTTTGCTGTTATGCCACATAGGTATACCTCTGTGCAGCACTGCGCAGAGAGCTCAAAGTTCTGCTTATTACGCTCATTACAGCACAGTGTCCGTGAATGCCGCACGAGTCGAGAACGTCACTTACTTCATGTTCAGCCAGCAGTGGAGTCCTGGATATTGCAGTGGAGCTCTACAGGACAAGGTATGGCACTTTTTAACTTGAAACATAAAAAGTGTTCTTTACCTCCTTCAAAATTAAAATTCTTGTAGTACGACATAAAAATCACACCCCCCCAGAGGGTGTGCTTCTCCTTGGGCATTGCTGCTGTGCGGGAAAACAGAAGCCGTAGGATACCAATGCCACGGGTGTTGCTCTGCCACAAGACACCCAGATATCAGCGAAGGGCACCCAACAAAGCTAAATAGTTAATTCAGATTTATTAAAAAAATTTTCTATGTCACTATTTAATTCAATTTGAAGGCATTGAATCGACTGAGCCGTTATGTGCAAATGTTTGCAGTTTAGGTGGTGTGTAATCTAATAGGGCACTCTGCAGAATGCTTGGCTACTTGGTGCTAGTGGGTAATCACATGACCCACTAGCACCAACCACCGACAGCTTTAGAATGACGGTGTTTTGTGGACGGGCAGAATTGAGAGTTTGCGCTTGCATCTAAGTTGCCCTACCTAAAGACTGATACCTTTTTATTCCACATGTTGTCGACATTGCCGTTAAAGTCATCGTTGGACCATAAAGCATCTTTACGGAAGATTGCACAGCTTGTGCACTCCTATTAATTGCGTTGATTTCATTTCAGCGCTGCATAACAAAGAATGAGAGGAACTTTTGGACGATACATGGACTATGGTGAGTCATGTGCAGCTAATATTTGAAGGAAGGGATAATTATTGGTGTCTGCAAAATAAGAAGCTCAGTTTCATTGAGGAAGTTTGGGGTTTAGTGTATTCTTCAGAAATCTTCCAAAAATACAATGAAATAGTTAAAAAAAAAAAAAACTATGAAGACAGATTGTGTCAGGTCGTGATTCCCTCAAAAAAGAGCTTGGTGCTTACCCTTTTTTAGGTGTACATGCAGTTAAAGATACAACACATATGGGTATACGTATCTACAGAATTTCTGTGGCTATGTAGTATTCACTGCCCATGGCATGAGATTGTTGGTTTCAATGCATGCTTAGAGAGATTGTCCGCTTGTTGTCTTGCAGCACTCTTGATATTGCTACTGTGAAAATGCAGGTTGCAGAAACATTCTTGCCAGATGTATGTGCTCAGCAGCAGTGAAAGATATGGTATTCATTGTCGTTCTGCTAAAATAGCCAAAAAGAGTGTGGAAAAAAAAATTTTTATGCCGTTGTCTTTTTTCTTAAGACCACCCTATGCCTCTACGTAGTAACTTTCCGATGCTTCCTCCTCAATATTATGCCACAGGCCCTCCTCAAATAAGTCAATCCAGCCGGAATTCTGCAACACGACGATGCGCTACAATGCCACCGTACTCAAGGTAGGTTGCATACTTTCGCAGACCGCCTAGAGAACTCTGTTTCCCGAACAAGTCCCGCAGCACGTTCCTTGGTTTATATTTTACCCTTTGTGAGCTGGCGCCATTGCATAGGATGATTTTTGGCCGAGCGCATTTACGCGTTGTGACTCGGAGCGGGTGGATTGAAAGTTTGCGCTGCAGAACCCATGGATCCTGGGTTAAATCCCCACCCCTGCCTGCTTTGACCTGGAAGAACGTCGCGTCGCTGTGAAGTCACACATCGCTACTGTGTGATGCACGTCAGAGACCCCAAACTAGAAGTCGCACCTTCCTGAAAAAAAAAATTTCGTCTACGGTGGAGACACCGTACGCCCATTTGGGCTGTCCGACTTCCCACAAGCACACAAACAACAGAATGTTTGCGTAGAGGGGAGAAAGGTTTAAATAATACCTTGGGCATCCTGAAGGCATATTATGGGAAGGGGAAATGATAGCAGAAAGTAAAAAATTGGAAGACACTTAAGCACTTCTTACGAGTTGTGAATGCGAAAGCATGAATGTCCAATGGAACGCCGTGGAGTGATCCGCGGAATTTTGTGGCGCGAGTAATGTTCTCGACTTGTGGCAGAAGCACCGGCGACGATGTGGATGCTAAAGGTGGCGCAATGTTCATTGGCGGCGAGACGAGCAGAAGCCTCCGAGCACGCACCAACATGTCCGTTTTAACCGGCGCAGGGCCCGTATTGGCATGGGGTCGATGGGGTTGCAGCGGTTAGTATTATCGGCGTGCTGACGGCACGGACGCGCAGCGTCATCTGGCGGCGGTCGTTGATACTGACGCGCGCAGTAGCCAATAGGCGCCTCGTCACCGCGCACCAGCCAATGGGACCTTTGGGATCAGGGAAACTAAGTGTCGTTTTCGCGCTTCCAACTGATGACGTCGGCTCGCTCCATGGGACCAGTTAATGATTTCGCATTAAAAAACTGACCTGGTAGGCTGTTATAATTACGATGGGAGCCACCAATGCACCCTGCATGTTTCCTCGAATGCTAGATTATTTTAGACAATATCCCGAGAGAGAAATATTTATTTTCCAGCCCATCGAAGAACAGATGAACCTTTACTGGCCGTCCGTCACCGTCAGCAACTTCAACATTTTCTGGTATGTTTGTCTTTTCCAAGTGCCGTACCGTGCTGGGCTGACGTCGTTGTTCTCCTTTTCCCAGGAAGCACGAATGGCAGAAGCACGGTACTTGTGCCACCGTGGTCCCTCAGCTCAATGGCCTCCTCAACTTCTTCAACGGCACACTCAACCTCTACCTCCACCACAACATCACGGGGTGAGGGCCGCTGGCAGTTTTTCATAGTTTTCATATAGCTGTACTAGATATTCAGCCTTACCAATAAATTTGTAATTTTAATTGGGTCCTCCTTAGGTTGGCGTAACCTCCTTCGTAACATATCCGAAATATTTATAGATCACATTTGCCGAGACAAGCTCTGTGTGGTGATGATATATCTTAAGCCTAATATAATTATACATGTTATGTTGGTAAAAACATTTGTGACCAAGTTGCACAAAAAAGGAGAAGCTACATCTTTCGAGGTCCAATTAAAATTATTGTACTATGACATAAAAAGCAAGGAGAATTTAGCATTGCCACACAAGGCATGTCTTGCTGAATGCAAATCTATATAAAAAAATTTTGACATATTCCAAAAGTTTTTACGCCAACAACCCACAAAGAGGGCTAACCTAATTGAAATTGCAAATTTCTCTGTAAGTCAGTATCTAGTATGGCTATATGAAAACTACTTGCATATTTGAAATCGCCACCGAGACATACGTCGGTATACTAAAATTCAGCACAATATATGGATAAACAAATAAACAAAGATTGAAGCCAAAGCCACTAAAAACAGCTACGCTTCAAAGTGAAGACGCGTCGGCCATCTTGGCACTGAAAATCAATATGGCCAGTCATAGTCACCGACAGGGTAATAACACGGAGGTCCTCTGGTTGCCCTGCCTCTGCCTGCAATACGAGCTCTCTGCCTCCAATAACACTTTTATGTCTCATGACTCGCATGCGCAACCAAAGCACGGCAGAAGGCCAACGAACCCGTGCTGGAGGCCAGGCACCGAAAAGAGGCACCTTGCCATTCTCCTCAAGTCAGTGGTCATCAGCACCGGTATAATTAAAAAAAAATTATAGCGAATTGCTAGGCAATCGTGTTGGATACGTAAAACATCCTTGCATCACAAACGTTTAGCGATACGACTCCGAGTTTCCAGACGCCTACGTCCACGGCGCTCTTCGTCGGAATGCGTACCACTTGTAGGCTTGATAGTTGTGCCTAGAATGAAGCGATACTGCCACTAATGGAGCTGATAAACCTGGCAATCATCCAGATCCTTTCATACTCGCGGTGCCACTCCCTCACTGCACAACGGGTGGTTGAGCTGCTGCTCGCAAGAAACCAAGTTCAAAGGTTCCAGCTTAGACAAAATCAATGTTCCGCTTTTCAGATACCTTCTCAACAGCGGTGTGGTCCCCTCTTCGACGAAACCCTACAAGGTAGGATCTCTATCACTTCGCTTATCCACAGCGATGCTTCCTGGTGAAGTACAAGGTGTGCTGGAGAAAGTGAAGCCCGTTTTTCGGTCCGCACAAATAAACTATGCGCATTGCAGAAAAGCTGAAACTCCATGCGAGTGCGACACTATAGTGGCGGTGACAGAATGCGAAAGCTTGAGTATGGGACGTTAACATTAATCGAGAAATTAAACAAAAAGAAATGGAATGTCTCCATGAGCCAACCAACGTCCACCTAGGCCTAATATTAGTCATAGCAAGAAATGGCTTTCTGGGTGCCTGCAGCATTTATTTCGGTGAGAAAAAGCCTGTTAGCAAGAAAGAAAACGATACTGTCTTTCTTGCCGACAAGCGTTTTTCACTGGAATCAATGCCACTGGCGCCCACGATACAGCTTCTCGGTCTGACGAATATTATGCCTAAGTGGACGTCGGACCGTAGGAAAATTTCGTTTTTATCTCTTCTTTTGATTCAGGTAATGTCATGTTCTCAAACTTTGACGTCCTATCCCCATCGTGTTCAGATGGAGTTTCAGCCTTTTGCACTGCATACATTATTTATGCGTTCCCCCCAAAGTTGTTTCATTTTCTCTCACAGACCCGGCATAGTAATAATAGAGTGAGCATTGTGAACCCAAATTTTTGGGAATGTTAATTTTTCATTGATCTCAGCTCCAAGACATCAGGGAGGCCCTTTTAGACGATGTCAAGGAAGCGGTCAACTTCGTTTGCTACAACAATAAGGTGAGGCAACAGTGTGTGATGTCTAGGTCATGCGAGTGACCCCTTTGCATGGCCATTATTCATTCAAGTGCAGCTAAACGAAGCTTGTGCATTGCCTGGGCTGGGCACTTGTTGTCGCAGTTCCTGCACTGAAGTTATTAAGGCCCGTTCACATTCTTGCAACCGAGTACGACCGAGAGAGACGAGATCTGTTAAAACTTCTTAAAATTTTTAGGACGAGGAAACAGACTGGCATTCTGGCGCCATCTATGCGGTGACTCTGGAACTGCATTTCACAACAGCGACGGTTTTGTGGGATTTTCGAGGTCAAATGTGTGTAATACCTATAAGAAAGGCTCGTTTATAACGTTTACAAAAGATTTTAGAGTAAAGAAAAAAAGGATAATGCGCGGGGGAAATAGAAAATAGGCCAAACCACCAAGTTTACACTGCAACCCAATAGATGGCACCACTGTATCCTCTCATTGTAAGAGGTTTTAAGGCACCAAGTTCAAAGAGGTTGCAACAGTGTGAACGGGCTTTTACTGCTTGGTGCAGAAAATGGAGGGAACCTCAAAGTCACCATCTCAAAAGGACAACCACATTCCTATTTTCTCTTCTTGATTTCAAGCAATAGATGGAAGGAAAAGCAGGGTTTATCAAAGTTTAGCTCGAGTGAGATCTGACAAAATTGTCAACTAAGGCTCGGTTGAGATGTTTATTATATCATATCATAAATTGATTGCTCGTTCGAGGGCGGTTCATGCGTTTGAATTTTTCTGCCTGTATCTAATGCTTGCAGTGGTGCTTTTAGACCCAAAATATACGGTTCTATTTTTTTTTCTGGGTTTTGTTCAGCTTGCGTTTCTACAGCAATGTCGTTGAACATAGTCTGGAAACAAGTCAGGTGCATTGCAATTTCTCTAAATTTTCTACAAAATTCCAAACAGCCAGCGAAGGCTCTATGCTGGGGAAGTGGGAAAATGGCAAAACGGACCTGCATCAACTTCAAACCCAATAGTCTTCAATACAAAACTGCCCACATTTATGACATAGTACTGTTGGGGCCGGTTTGTGAAAGGAGAATCGTTCCACGGGTCACCGTCGAGTGTTCATGAATCGAATTGCAAAACAAGTTCCAGAAGTGGGGTGAAAACAGTGGTAGAGGCACTAGCAGGGTAGTATGTTTCATTGGATTGAAATCGGAAAGATTAGGTAACCAAAGAAACTGCAAACCTCAACTGTACTAGCTACCTTCAATATTGTAGCTTCTAGTATTTCGGTTTTCAAACTGGGTTTCCAAGGAACACCGGGGTCGCCCAGAGTTCCCTAAGTTCCAAAGTTTTCCTCATCGTCCCCATCTCCGAGTAGTTCCTCGAGTGCACTAGTTTAGCAGCGGTTCATTGAGATAGAAAAGTTTGAAAACCCTTCTACACTCTGTTTCAGCTAACTTCAAATGCCACTCCCCATTTATTGTAGAATAAAACTTTCTTCACAAACTTTGATTCTGAAGAAGATTTTCCCTAAAAACTATCTTGACAAACTTTTGTTGCCAGACATGGGGTATAGAATTCCGCTAAAATTGTTAAAATGACTCAAAAGGCAATATATTCTAGAAAAAAAAAGCAAGGGTTTTAGATGTACACATAGCATTTGAAAGGTTTCAAAATAGACACAGCCAAAGCTACGAGCTATGGGACCAACCGGACAGCATCAAAAGCGCATCATCATGGCGTTCGCCATGTTTCTGCGCATGTTCTATCATCACCCAACCAATCGAACAGAAAAGGCCCAGTGACCTGCGCTTTTGACGCCGCTCGATTGATCCAATTAGCTTGTAGCGTCGGCTACAACTGGACTCAAGCCGAAACAAAGTAATATGGTAGAAGCGCGTCGATCGGTTGATCCTGCTGTGCGCAGAACTACACGGCTCCGGTGCTGGCAGAGATCCGGCTCTGCATGGACCGCGAGCTGCAGCCGATCAACTGCACGTACCGCAGTTCCGGCTGCGGCAAGGGAGACGTGTACTACATTCCGCACGACAAGGACGTCGCCAGCCCCCTGCTGCCTCCGAGCGCCTGGCTCCTCAACATCTCCTGGATACTCGCCCTGAGCGCCATTCCCGTTCCTCTACGCAGGCTCCTTCTTTGATCCGGTGGGCGCACTCGAACCGGTTGTGCCGGCAGTCTTGAACACGAGGGTCGTCGTCTTTCGAAAACCGCCCCGTATACAAACGACACCCGTCGGTGCCGCATGCAACCCGGGCCCTGTCAACACCACCTAGAGTAATGTCAACACCACCTAGAGTAATGAAAGGCCCGTGAAAGGCCTATGCAGAGCGCCAGTTCGTCTGCTTCTTGCGCCGGTGTTGCGGCGACCTCGGAGTGCCGAGCTCAGATTGGCTTCAATTGGAAGGATGGGGGTAGACCTCAATGCTAGCTTCCTCGAGGTCTACCCACTTTCTTTTCGAGCAGAGCCAATCGGAGCGCAATGTCCCGACGTCACCGCAACCCTCGCTCAAGAGGCAGACGAACTTGCGCTCCGCAATACTTTGTGTCGCGCGTAAGCCTGACCGCAGTCGATGCTATGGTTCGACGGAGCTGATCAAGTGGCGCCGAAAGCGCATCATCATGCCGCCCCTCGTCTTTGTGCGTTTGCCATCCACCGGCGGCACACACGTCCCGATCCTGCGATTTGTTTCTGTGCACGATTGATTTAACCGGCAATGGCAGACGCACCAAGACGATGATCGCTACGACGATGCAGTTTTGGAGCTATACTCGATTGGCTGCGTCGGCTGTGGCCAGACTTAAGTGTGAAACAGAGTGTAGCAAGGTGCGAACTCGCCGGTTGGACCCAATGCATTGACTCGAACATGTGGCCCAGGCAAACATTGACACGGCACTTGTGTTCATTCTGCGCTTCATCTCGCTGCTATGATGTTGAAATGATAGTGCACGGGCTTTGATCATTTTATGTGGTGTTGGCCCTGTGCTCGGATGCAACGCTGTTTCGACTATCGAGCGAAAATTGCGTCAAAGTCAGGGGTCGAATTTGTTGCATGGATGTCTGCACGGCGAGGAGTTGGTCAAGTTTCAAGTATGGCGATTGCTGTAGGCCCCCAGCAAGGGGCAAGCAATTTGATTGGCAGTGTGTGACCTTTCGAAGTTCTCTTCATTCTCGAATAGGAACTTCGACGGATTATGTCTTCCGTTATGTGTCTTGCATCACGACGTATCATCCTCGTAGCCTTCGATTTATGGCCCCCAGTTAAAAATGTGTTGATTTTTAAATCTTAATCTGTGCCCCGAGAAATCTGTTTTGTGGATGGCAACCTCAAGAAGCATACACTACAGAGGCCAAGATTAAATGGTAGCTGGCAGATGGCATTAACAGTCTCAAATTAGGATTGCCGTCTGCCTTCATCAAACGTTCTTCCAATAGCAAACGTCGGCTGTTGTCTTTCAGTCTTGTCTCGACTTGTCAGTAGGCTATTAGTACTCCTGCAACAGTTGGACCTCGTTCATCTGCTTTTAGCTTCCGTGGCAAAACAAGAAGCATTTTTAGAACATGTAACTTTCTATGACAAATGATTTTATTGACAAACATTTTAGTGCACTCCCTTGTGGCACAAGACATCCAAGTTTATATTTTCCACAGTGAAATAAGGGCAGTGTTGTCATACTGCAGCATTGTTCTTTTTCCTTTGAGCATTAACTTCAAGATTGACTCCAATTTCTGCAGAAAACTAGGTAACTCTCCATTCAAGAACTTTCTGTCAAGTCCCCCTTGAACATTTATTGTGGATTTTGTACTGCAATGGAAGGGGGCTTCTACACTTTCCCATTCACAGATGCAAAGAGAGAAAGGGTTTCAGCCCAGCTGAAAAGTTTTTGCAGGTCAGCCTTTGAGACCTACCTGTCGTTAGTGCCTGGAATATCTGAGCAGTCGCACGTCAGTGTGCTGAGGCTTATTTGGGTTGAGATTGCAAGTAAATATAATTAACTTGTGTCGAGTGTTTCACTCAGTATAGATTCTATTTACTACAGCTATTGTCTGGAGAGATGTGGACAAAAGAACAGATCAATGGGATAATCTAGTCACAGTGAATGTTTGTGAATGTTTGGTAGAAGCGGCTGCCAGTGTCGTAACGTCCATCGCAGGATCTTTGCAGCATTATTTAATCGGCGTTCTTGTCTGTGTTAGATCTCCCAGTATGCTGCTGACTGAAAACTTGAGGTATGAGGCCAACTAACTAGTCAGAGAGTCACTCCAAGTACATAACTCTGAGCGACTCTCCGAGGCATGCACTTAATTCCAAACTCTCTTCAGGGGATCCGAGAAATTTTACTGTGTAGCCCGTAAAGCATCAAGTTATATATACCGTAATATCCCAAGAGATACCCCACCCCCAAAAGATAACCCACCCCTATTTTTAGCTTGATTTGCTATTTCCTTTTAAACACCGAAAGATAGCCCATCCCAGTAATCATATTGTTTGGGTCAATGATGACTTTTTCATAAATACGGCTAGCTAGCTATGGCGGAATATAGGCAAACATTGCTGACTGGCGAGTACAGTCATCTTTGTTTCATTGTCCCTCGCCGCAATAACAAGTTTGGCAGGAAAACATAATGTAAAAATAGCATGTTTTTTTTAACTTTTCTTGGTTGTACACTGAAAGTTAGCCCACTGCTTATTTTCTCCCGACTTGCTCTTGATTTGAGGTGGGCTATATCTTGGAATATTACAATGATATATATATATATATATATATATATATATATATATATATATATATATATATATTTTGTTTTTACAGAACAAAACATGTAATATGTTGCAAGGCACACCAGGATCAGCTCCTCCCTAATCTGAGCTATGCATCAGACCTAGTTTTACATTTTTCTTGCGACATAAACAGTATCAGGGCTCGAAACCTCCCTGCCTGTTGTGATTGAAAGGTCACCGTTTTGTTCTAATTTAGTGCTCCACTTGCTTGCTACTTCTTGTTAATCTTAAAAAAAAAATCTGTACCGCACCACCACTAATACTTTTGCTGCATGTCAGAATTTGGATGTAAAGCTGGATGCACTGGTGCCCTCAAGAGGAGGGATACTGATTGTAAAAAATGAAAATCGCAGGAATTTGTTATTTTTTTATATTTAAGTTGTAGACTATTTATTTTTCAATTACATTCAGGATGTGCACATTTTGGTTAAATATGTTGGTTTGAAGTTTCACATCCAGGCTGTCCACAAGCATCTTTTATAAGGTCTTTGCGCATGTTTTCTCAGAATTCATTTGTCACGTTTTCCCCAAGTATTTTTCGATCTGAATTGGGACCTGAATACTTTTTTGGTGCTTGGACACCTCATTAATAAGAGTGCAACAAGACTAAGGATTTATAGATTTTTAATTGGGAATAACTTTAATGACTTATTTCCAATTATCTGGGAGAGAACTTCAAAATACAATAACTTTTTTTTAGCATGATGCTATAATTACAGGAATAGTTTTGTTGCACTGTAGAATGTGCCGACATACATTCTTCCTTTTTTTTTATGGGCATATTTAAAGAAGTCAGGCAGAAACGTTTTTGATGAATTTCAAATTTTCTTAAAAACTAATGAATAGAGGAAAAAAAAACCAAAAAACCTAGGGTTGTGCGATTATTTAAAGATTTATAGCAGTTTCGAATAAAAAGCTATTCGATACTCACTTTGCAATGCATCACAATATTCATATTTTTCTCGTGATGCAGTAGTGAAAGGCTAGGAGAAACTATTCGGTATTCGATGTGAAAATATTCGGCCCAAACCACTTTGAGTTCCACGTATTCGCTTTGAACTCAAAATCCATTATTCGCACATGTCTAAAAAGAAACATCTTATATTTGTGCTCAGCACCTAGAATTATAGGTTTGAGAATTTAATACTATAAATTAGATGCCAAATGACAAAGAAATGTTCAAGACAAGTGTCTCCTCTTATTTAGCTTTACCTTAGTTGGATGTATTTTAATTTTTCTGTTAATTTATTTTACAGTACCTCCGGCACTACCGATTTTCTTTCATTGAATGTCGGAATATTTTTGTATGCAACTCGTATAATCTGTACAGTTTTACCTTGGTTGACTTCTTTATTGCTTTTTCTTGTTTATCTGTTACTACCTTCAAAGGTCTCTGTAATGAATTTAATTTACACCACTGATTTTTCTTAGGTTGTTGTTTTCCCCACTTTGATCATGCCTTTGGTCCGACGGATCAGTGCAAAGTTGCACAGTTGCTCCTCCATATTTTCTTGTATGGTCGGATCAGTCTTATTGTGTGCCACTTCCACGCCTGCCAAACTCTGTTGGTAGCTGCAATTTTTAGTTCGACTATGGACGCAAGCATCTACAATACAACCAAGATCTGTTTTCTCTGCGCTTTGGGAATTCTGTAAACAGAAGTAAAAAAAACAGTGGTGACTATCTTTTTATCTCGAACACTATCTGCCTCAAAGACAGACGCTTGAATAAAAACCATATATATTTTGACACCGTGCCTTCTCTCGTCTGTTTTGGTAAGCCACGCCAACCGGACAATTTTGCTGGTGACCCAATCGAAGCGGACTTCGTTGAAACTGCATCTTGGAATTTTCAGTCTTGGGGGGTACATTGTACTCAACTCTTTCCTGACCACGGGAAAAGTAGCAATTTTCAAAGGATCCAAGCAAACTCTTATTTTCACAACAAATTTGCATATCTGCCAATATGATACATTAAAATATGGCCAATTAGTTGTTCTTTCAAAAGAAACGAAGGTATAATGTAAAAACAAAAAAAAAAGATTTTAAAATTTTATTTCTTGAAAGTACAATGTATGTGCCGAAGGCATATAAATGCAAACAATTTCTACAGCTATGTCAAATTAAACGACAAACAAATGAATATACAAAATCTGCCTCACACCCAGGGCCATTACTTCTGAAAGCTAGTGTATTCCGACGTCTATTTTTGGTTCGTCAGAGAGTTAGCCTCCGTAGCACGTGTGCCTTTCAACAGAGGAATGCTCCTATTGGTGAAGCACAGATAGTACACCTCACATCCCCAGCAAGATGCTTTCTTTGTGTTCTACCTTGGTCTTGCCATAGCCTTGATGGTAGTTCCTTCATATTTAGCATTTCTGTCTGCCTTGATGGGGACATAAAACGTGCATGCCGGCTCAGGACAGCATTTGAAATTAGTGAATCTGGAAGGATGATCGCTTATTACAGGGGTTCTCAAACTTTTTGGCATCACGGAATCCCAGGAAGCCTCAAAAACTGCCGCGGAACCCTCCCCCCCTTCCTCCATATTTGCCGACCGAGAAGCAACAGATGCACCATTGTAGGCAATTTTGCTAGTGTTGCTTCCCATATATCCCCACTATATCAATCGCAATGTCAGTACAAAGTGAGATGAAGGTGCTTTGCACGGTACTGCCGCGCAACCTGCGGCATGGGGAGGGGTTGCAATTTGGGTGTTCGCGGAACCCACGAGACCAGCTCGTGGAACCCGTGTTCCTCGGAACCCAGTTTGAGAACCCCTGGCTTATTATATAAATGTGATGAAACAGAATACGATAAAATTATTCACCGTATTCAGACAAAAAGAGTTCTTTGTATGAAGGTAAGCAGACGGCTAATATAATACTATCCAGAAGCCTTTTTCTATTTTTTATTTATTTATTTATGTTTGATTTTATGATGGAAAATAAATGTGTGAATGGAGGGTCAGATGCGGTTCCAAATTTTGCGGATGTGGTTCGGATGCGGATACAAAGTCTGCGGATGGAGATCGGATGGTCAAACTGTTATCTGCGCAAGGCTCTACTTACTACTTGCCGTACATAACCTAGCTCTCGTATACTTTGTACTTTACTTCGAGTAATTTTTAGATGCACTTTACCCAACACCGGGAATTTCGTGTGGTACGATTCTGTAGTTGGCGACAGACTGGGCAATGCAGAAGCTCTGCCTACAGCATCCACTCGTTGTCTTTCACTGTGCTTTGCATGTGACAAAGTATTATCAAAGGCAGAATCCTTGCACTGGAGGCGGAGCAAGCATGTAAACTTCACAAAGTGCGACCCTGCCGCATTTTCGGGACAATCGTCTTGGTCACACGAAAGGTGCCACAGTAATTTCAGAAGTAAATTTCGGTAGTTCATGTGCCAAGTGCAGGACTTCGGGATTATTTTGGACAACTTAGGGATCCCTGTCTGCAGTAGACCTCCGTCGCATTGGAGGTACCTCTACAGAGATTCAAATCCGCCAACCGAAGATCCGTAGGCCGGCGCCTTTCCTCGGATCCAGCGAGCACGCGACTGCGAACTGTCCATTCTGCAAGAAATTATGCAGCAAACAAGTTAGCCTGCTCCCTGTTCAGAGGGTAAACGAAGACGTCGCAGCACCGGTCTGCAATGGACCTTTTTCCAGTAAGCTTCTGCGCGTGCGTACAATCCCACTGTCGCCGGTTTCGCGACAGCAACATTGTCAGCATCTATCGTCGCGAGTATTTAGCTTCTTTTGACACTTCGTTTCTTAGCATCAGTAGTATGGGGTATAAAAAGTACTGAAAACTGATACAACAGCACAATGCCAATGTGTTTTGACGGGCGGAGGCATATTGGGATGCTCTTCATTTGTAGTTAGCAGACAACTCACCAGACGACGCTCGTTACTCGAAAAAGGTCCACTGGAGGTTGCATACAAAGTAGTCTGCTAGTCACAGTAATGGCTGCATTTCCTTGCCTGTGACTGTCACAAAACTACTGGCTCTTTATAGTAAAAAAAGGATGCGGCTTTCGAGAAAGGGGAGACGAGATGCAGTTTAAAGACTACATCCTTTTTGTCAATTAGCAATACCAAAGAACTTCCAGCAAAGATGTTTGTTTACTAACCTGAGAGAACTCGAGTCTGCTGGATCTTAGTTTACGCACGTGATCAAAACCTCCCATCTTTCTTTTTTTTTTTTTCGGCCTCCTCTTGCGCATGAAGAGCCAATTTTGTGGACTTGTTCGACATATTGAATGAAGAGTTGAGCACTGTCACCATATTTTTGAAAGATGGGTATAAACAAAACAAAAGACAACACAGCAACACTTTTTGAACCTTGAAAAACATTTAATAGACGACGCTCAAGACCACTTACAGATCCACAAATGGGTTTGCCCGGTTTGTTGTGGCTTGGGTGCGAGCTGCACACTTCTCAACGAACGACACTCCAAATAAATAAGCAACCGAAACTTTGGTAATTGTCTGCTCTTCGAAATAGGAAAAACGTTACATATACTTCCAAATTGGGAGACACAAACGCACTCCAACATGCCACGCAAACAAAATTGCACACACATTTAATCGGAATCAAAAAAGAGATAACAAAATGGCCACCTACGGCCTTATAAACGTCAGTCCGTAGACGAAACAAACGCAAGGTTACCTTCTAGTGCTTTGGCAAAAATGTGAGGGGGGGGGTTGCTCTTTGTACTACACCAACGGACGACACCAACTACTCTACATCACCGTAAAAATTGCTGTGCTTACAAGCATGTCTCGCTTCGCCGCTCTTATACGAAATTTTCTTTTCGCGAATCAACCGCTGACCAAGCAGCAGTTTATCCACTAGGTGGAGCCTTTTCCTCTACAACAACGCGCAACTTCTGGAGTGACCGCCTCGACTTTGAGCTGGTGAAATCGCGTGTCGCTTGCCGTGCGCGGCAAACTGCCGAAGCGTTTTTCTTTATTTCGCGTACGTAGTGTGCACCCGACTTCCCGGGTGCCTCTTGAAACTACAAAGCTGGGAGCGACTCCACCCATGACACTGTGTGCAAGAGGGTGTGGGGTGTACTCGCAGGGTGGTGCACAAAAAACGCGTCCCCCGTCTGCGGCTTCGGACCGCCGAAGCAATGACGAACTGCAGAACGAACAACCTTAACTCCGTCTCGAGCTTGCAATAAAGGCACGGTGGAATTCAATTACATCCAAGTGGCCACATCAGCTTAACCTACGACAAGCCCCAAATGTATACAGAAACCACGACGTTCGGTAACACGAAGCAACATATGGCACTCTACTCGCAAGCGGTACATTTGGAAACCTAAAGTGGCGTACGACAAACTCGAAAAGATGCTCCTAAGTGACGACGACCGGAGACGTCCCGCTACGTATAACGCCCGCAGAAAATTTCGGACCACCCGGTTAAAGACTAAAACCAGCGAGCTAAATGTTCCGATCGACGAACCCGACAAAATTGCGTCGAGCGCGGCAATCGTAAAAAGAAGAAATACACTCTAACATTCTCGCAACAACTTAGCATTCACGCACACAAACTCTCCCACAAGAACAAACAAAACTCTGCTCTAAACTAAGCAATTAAAAATTTTTCTCCGCAAAGGGGAAAAAAAATGTGACTAAGCATTTGGCAAACTGCTGACTGGGGGGGAAGGGTACACAATGACTAGCGGGCGTGCCAGGCGCGACGACTAGGATAATTACTACTGTTTGTCCAAATTCTTGTACAATTCTTTAGGAACATAAGACTAGGGTACACGGTGCAAACGTCAAAACAAGTGAACAACACACCCAAGTGGAGAAACCTCTGTAGTTCAACGACAGACGAAGATATTACACTTACAAACGTGCCTTAAAAGGGTTTTCGCTGCACATAATACTACTAAGTGCAACATGGAGGGAAAGAACCTAAGGAAGGGCACAAGGAATAGTGACTACGCGTCACGAAATCCAAGAAACACATCTTACGAATGGTGGGCTCTCCGATCCCGGCAGTCGTTAAAACGTGTACAAACGAGTGCCGGGCGTGAAAAGATTAAGAGGGTGAGATACGAGCCGCAGCTCGTAACTCTGGTGTAACGCCTTGGGAAAACTTTGGTATACAAACGAAAATTGAGAGACAGGAAACGACCGTCGTCTGCTTCCGGACAGGTCAGCTCAAAAATATAGATGCTGGCATATAAATAGTACTATCGTGCTACCGAAGGAAGTGGGAATGCTTGCAGTCAACGAAAAGACTGTACATCGAACGTTCACAAGCAACAAAAACATTCTCCTTGGGTCCCGTACACGTTCGAGCACGACTTCGTGATCCAACTACTCGCAGCATTCCGTCCACTACGCAGGGTTGCTATTACAGAGTTTTCGGCCACGAGAAGTTGCAACTCTCAACCCCATGGAGACACTAATCTAGTAAAAGAAAAACACAAATTCAGCTTGGTCACGAATCAAAACTGGCGTCGTCGAACACACCAATGAGACTTCCTGCGATGACTGCGCATTGTCTCGTCCAAAAGACGCTCTGCCACAAAAAAATTATTCCCAGCCCTTGTGACAAGGTGAGTGTGACACGGTTACAGTCCTACAGAAGAATGTCAGACATCATATTACACTCTCGTAAGAAACAGAACTACACCGACCAGTCAGGCCAGCACAGGCAGCAACGAGGATCATTCTCTTAACGGAGAAAATGGCTGGCTGTTGTAATGGGATGCCCACTTAACGAGTCACGTCGTCGCTTTCATTAAAGTGACGTTCTGATGACGACGACTGTGCTTGGAGTCGCCGACCAAATGCTGCGGAACCAGCCGAAGTGGCGAAAGGTCGAATGCCCTAAAAACCCGAGACTACGACGGCAAGACGAGGTGGCTGTGTAAAGCGAGAGGTTGAAGTTAGAAGCAAATTATTGCATTGCTGCACCAAATTGAGAGGCAGGAACCACGCAGCTAGAAGGCTTAGCAATTTAGGGTCTAAAATGTACAATCTATGTCCGATTGACTAGAAATCTCAATGGCACTCACGTCGCTGACACTTTGCCCATTTGTCTTAATATTCCGAGGCATTTACAAGATCGTATTGTTTCTACTTTTGTAGCGGACGTGCGTGGAAATGCATTTCGATTGCTTCAACTTTGATAAAAACAATAAAGAGCACATTGTTCGAAAGCGACTAAAGAACGCAAAAGTTTGCACAACCTCATGCAAATAAATAAAATGACCGCCTTTAGTTTTTTTTTTTTTTTTTTTTTTCTCATTTTGCCGAAGTGTCGGGTTTTCGCGGTTTCATGGGTCGGAACTATCGGGACATCACAAACCTGCCGTGATTCGAGTTCGACTAGGTTACACTTTTCTGAATTTTAAACGCAAAGTTCGACGAATGTTCGACCGAAGTTTGACTATTATCTAAACGCGCGAAAATCGAAAACAAGCTCGTGCAACCTGGCAGAGAGGGGGTGCAATGTTTTTTATGTGTATTGCTTGTACTGTTTCACATTAACGAGCAAACTAAATCATTAAATGGGTTTGCTTTTATAGCGCATAAACTTTAAAACAAACCACTGCACATAAATTATTCTTCCCAAACAATTGAAATTTTTGTTAAGAAGTCGAGCAATGCTGGGCTCGTTCGTTTTACCCGCACCGGCCTACACCGGTGCAGAAAGGTGCAAGGCAGTGTACATCCAACGTGTCTTTAAATAAGCTGCACTCTTAAATTGAATGTGGCAGCGTGCACCGAGCGTATCTGGTGTACAAGGTGAAGTAGGACGAACAGTCTACTACTCGGAAGCCAAACTTCGTAGAAATTTGCGGAAAGTTGAAACGTTCGCCGAACCGGTCACAACTCGAGGTTAAAGAAAAGTTTGTGACGTCCCTAATTGCAACTGGCAAGAGGGCGGACTTGCCTTTGGCCCCCCGACTCTCATGGACTGTCTGGCAATTCCTTTTCCTTTCACCCACTCTCGCAGGCAGTCTGGCGACTCCGTTTCCGGTGGGTACTAGTGAGCAAACCAAAGCGCGACAAGCACGCCCCAAAAAATAGACCCTTTTCAAGAGTGCGTTCACCCGCCGTGTCCAGAGCCAAATCCGACTCTCTAACTTCTTTGCACTGGAAAAAACGAACAACTTTGAAAGCATAGAGCAGAAAGCGGTCAATGTGAAGTGCAAGTTCGTCCGCTTCTTTTGCGGGTGTTGTGGTGACGTCAGAATGCCGAGCTCCGATTGGCTCCGATTGAAGGATAGTGGGTAGACCTCAAAGCAAGCTGCCTTGAGGTCTACCCACAATCCTTCCAATCAAAACCAATCGGAGCTCGGCATTCTGACATCACCACAACCCCAGCAAAAGAAGCAGACAAACTTGCGCTCTGCATCGATTCCGACAAGTCGGTCATTCTACGTCGCCTTCGACTCACAAAGTCGAGGGTGCTCGATGTTAGGCCATCTTGTTCTTTTATCCCCGCCATTAGTGCAGATATATTAGAGCTCTTACTGCTGCCACTAGATGGCCCCGACTTTCGAAAAGGGTCTATAACTGGAGAAAACTGGGCTTTAGAGAACGAGCGAGTGGGTGATCGTGGGCGGCGGCTGGTGCTACCTCGAGGTGGTGCGCGAGCTGTTCATGCAGAGCTGGTGGTCCCTCACGTCACCCCAGCCTCCGTTGCCCTTGGGGGGCTTCAGATTGCGCTGCACGCCCCGCTTCACCTGAAAGGGCAAGGGACGGTGCACCAATCAGAAACAACAAGTTGCATTATGAAAGGGCGGGTAAGCAGTTGAGTCAATGCGAACAAAAGCCCGTCCACGCACTTGCGACTCCTTGGGACCGTGTGCCTTAAAACCTTTTACAGGCTCAAGACCAGTTCACATTTTCCACTTTTCCCTCTCTTCTTCCTCTCCCTCCTCCTACCCTTTCCACTGTTTCCTTCTCCACCCTGCCCCCTGTCTCTACCCCCTCATCCACTGCCCCTGCTCCGCTAAGCCCACAGTGGCTAAGCCATAGACTCCAACTAGAAGAAAAAGGGGGGTAACAAGAGCAGCTCCAAGAGCAGCCTTGAGTCTGCGAGCTGCAACGCCGTTGATGTCGGTGTAGGTTTTTAGTCAGCGTGCCCGTGCACTGGTATTTCTTTATGTGCTCCCCTTGGAGTTTTCTTTTTTGGGGGGCGACGTTGCTAAATATAACCGGAAGCAGTTCTTGGTTTTGATATGAGTCTTTTTTTTTTTGTTGAGATATTTATGATTTTGGAAAACATCCTCTGCACATGCACAGCCCCACACAGACGCTAGTTCGAAATGTATGAGCGTGAAAACATGTGACTGTGTTCTAGCAGAATAAGCGAAAGCCTTCAGATAAAGGGAGATAGATCCTCTGTCGTAGATGCAGTGACTTGTGAGTAATTGAGTTCCTACCGCCGTATCCTTTGTACACATTGTGGTTTATCTGCAGCGTATCTTTTGCCCTGAAGTTCGTACAAAGAAGCTTCTTTACTCTTCCTTTCTTGTGGCCCTGACATTTTCATACAATGCATTCTGATGCAGGCTTCCAACAGGGGATAGCCGTATTTCAGAAAAAGAAAAAAACAAATTCACATTGATCAACAAATGTGGTGATCAAAGCAGCAAGCACCCAGTGAAGTCGTATCGGGCAGTGCAAGAAACAAACTCGGTTCTCGTTTCCTGGTCCTGGAAGGTTCCATCGCTAATCCTTTGGCGCATGAATTGTGACGCATCCATTGAGGGGGCACCCTTTCTGTAGGCTTACCTCGAGCCTTGCATATCCGCAGATTACCCGCGGATCATTCGCAGATATCTGCACTAAACTGGCGGAGGCGGACAAAAATGAATCAGATTAGGCGGATTGCAGATTGGATGCGAATATCTGCGGGTTCGGATCTACACTTGTGCCGAGGTGGCCCATAATCATGTGCGACCGCCTAGTATAGAGTGAATAAGTGAATGATACTATAAAGTGCATGATTGAATGTATTGTGGGAGCAAACTACTCTCTTAGATAAAAGGTACCAATCGGGGAGAACACTGTTCTTTACGTCAAGAAAGGTCCAATTCTCACCAAAGATCACTTTAGAACGTTCTACCTCGCCAATAACGCTGTCCCTAGAAAAAGTAAAGAACCAATCGGAGAGAACACTGTTCTTTACGTCAAGAAAGGTCCAATTCTCACCGAAGATCACTTTAGAACGTTCTACCTCGCCAATAACGCTGTCCCTAGAAAAAGTAAAGAACCAATCGGGGAGAACACTGTTCTTTACGTCAAGAAAGGTCCAATTCTCACCAAAGATCACTTTAGAACGTTCTACCTCGCCAATAACGCTGTCCCTAGAAAAAGTAAAGAATGCTGGAGCATCAGTCGTCCCGGGAAAGCGTGTTCTCCTTTGTCAGGGAGAGAGAGGAAAACATTCTTTGGGCAAAGGAAACCCAAAACGTACACGCCACAAGAAACAAGAAAAAGCCTGGAAGTGGCTTCTTCGCCTACAAGTAGATTGAGGAGATTCAATTTGATCCTCTCAAGTGGTGGAACTTGCACCAGCACGAGTTTCCGTACCACACTCTCGTAGCGCACTTTGCACATGCCATCGTAGCATTAAGTGCACCAACGGAGAGAAACTTTTCAATAGCAGTTATTAATTTAAAAGAGGCAAACCAGTCTGAATGCGTCCTCATTGTTGGTATTCCGTTTCTTCTACACAGCAACCTCAACAAATAAAACGTTGCATCTGTGTGCATTTTTTTTTTTTATATTGACAGGTGGCATTGAGTTGTCCAAGCATGTAGTTTAGGTTTCGTGTTTAAAAGTTAAACCGATAGGGGGTGTTTCCATAATTAAATATTGTGATATTTTCCCAGTGGTGTACTCGTGCATACTTTGCTTTTTGCTTTACTGCGGTGAGTGAGCGCCTTTCCTCTCCCACTTTTTTAGAGCGCAGCTCTTAGGCGCCTGTTTCCGGCTCGAGCGGCATTGGCGTCGGTGTAATCGCACATTGCATTATGGGACATTTCCCAAAATGATGTCACACGTGACGTCACAAGGGTCACGAGTGACGTCACAAGGGTCACTTGTGAGGTTCACGACCTTCACGAGTGATAACACAGGGGTCACGAGGGAGGAGAGAGGGAGGGGGACGAGGAGAGGAGTAAGGAGGAGAAGGTACGGAGGAGCAGGAGGGGCTACCCTCTCTGCACCCTCCTCCTCCTCCTCCTCAAGAGCTGTGCTCTAATTTGGCATTACAGGGAATTGTAAACGACTCATTTTTTAGTGTTTGGCCTAAATAAAATGACGCAGTGCTATTAGTCTGTCCTATGTTAATTTTTATGTTTATAAAATATGTGTCTGCTTGAAGTGGGTTGTACAAAAAGAAAAAGGAAATATTAAAATTCTTTTTCTTTTGAGCGCATGTTCTGGACAGAGTGTCAGTGTCATGGACTTTCAAGACAATCTCATAACTGATCATCTTCCCAGCGATGCAAAGTGTCTCCGGAAGGATGATTGCTTATCATATAAAGATGATAAAATAGAACACAATAAAATTACTTTCACCGTATTCTGACACAGAGTTCTTTGTACAAAGGTAAGCAGACGGCTAATATAATACTATCCAGATGATTTTGAAATTTTTTTTTTCATGCTTGACTTTATGATGTAAAATGAATGTGCCAATTGAGGGTCAGATGCAGTTCCTAATTTTGCGGATGCGGTTTGGATGCGGTACAAAGTCTGCAGATGCGGATCGGATGCAGATACAAAGTCTGTGGGTCCGAATCAAATGCAGATAGTACAATTATTTAAGAATATTGAGGATGCGGATACAAAGTCTGCGAGGCGGATCGAATGATCAAACTGTTATCCGTGCTGGGCTCTACTTATCTCCATTCATGTGCTCGCACAATAGATGCTCACTTGCTTGACCTTGAACCACCCCACCATCCGAAGGTGCCCGCAGACCTATGCCCGCCTTTCTTAGTCCATTCTTTCCCTCCTTCAAAAACATGGAGAGGAGAGGACCCTTGCAGAATCTCCAGTCTGGTCATCTGCCCTTAAAATCTCTTACAAGAGAATACATTGGGGCCGTCCGCCGGCTAGCTGTGGAACGCTTTCAATGTCTGCATATTTCCTTTTTTTTTGTTCATGCAACATTTTTCTTTTATGGCTCGAAAAATCTTTTGACAATGTTATACACGATAATGTCTTGTAGATGATACGTACGTCTGATCTCGCAAATACCGCAGAAACATTGGTCTAACGAAATGAAGTACCGGGGTCACCTCGCAAATGGCGCCAGCGTGTTCTTTAGAGAGCCTACATTACAGAGAGCTTCCAACCGCTTGATCGGGATCAGGTGGTTTAAGGGCTGCGTTTGTAACACGAGCTGCGAGGAGGTGTCAAATGCATCGATCTTCTGCGAGCGTCTCTGCCTTTCCGCCCGCTTTTCTCCTTGCCGCACGAGAATGCGGCACAAGCGGACTTCTGACCGATCCCTGCCGAAGGAGTCCGCCAAACTGCAAACGCTCGCCATGGTTTGAGATAGACCCTCAACAATCTATGCTCTCTGGCGTTCTCGTTCTCTTATTCTAAGAGATTTTAAGAGGCACAAGGCACAAGGTCCCAAGAAAGTGGAAGTGTGTGAATGCTTATGTACTCTAAAACCAGACACAAAAACAAATACTGTACGTATTTTCCGGTGTATAAGTCGCGTTTTTTTTACGAACGTTTTTCTTAACGCATCTTATCTGCCTTCTCATTTTTCATGTTTTATGTCCTTTTGCCGCGAAACACTCGATTGCCCTCGCCAGACCGCACCGTGCTATGGGCATTTCTCACGAGTCGAAGCGTCAAAGTTGTGTCAAATGGTATGTGCGATCCAGCCGTTTGAGCGAAACTACGATTTCGCGATACCAGTTCGTGTAAAACGAGAAATCTCATCACATGAACTGTGCAAAGAAGTGTGACTTATACAAAGGTGTGACTTATATACTAACATTTCAGCGAAAATGGCTGAATATACGGATGTGCAACTTATATGAGGGTGCGACTTATAGTCCGGAATATAGTACCCATAAAAAAAAGGTTTTATGGATGAATGCGGTGGGTGAATTTGGCCCTCAGTGGCGCCGAATGTGTCGGCCAGCCCTCATGCCCTCCATCCTTGAGCACTCACCTGCAGACTCTTGGGAAAGAGATAAGATCGGGCAGAGCCGATCACGTTGCGTGCCTGTTGGGCCATCTTCTGGCTGGAGCAGTTCTTGCTTCTGTGATGCACACCGCTGCGAGAGCATGCAGAAGCGCTCGGGGTAAGAGAAAGGAGTGCTGCAGATTTCACTGTTTCCTTTCTTTTGATGCACATTCAGGCACGTAAATAGGATTTTGTTTCGGGGGGGGGGGGCGCCCATGACAAAGTGCTGTATGAGGGGGAGGGGGGTAGAGGAGGTCCCAGCAAAATGGAGGATTTCGGGGGGGGGGCCGGGCATCATGCCCCCCCCCCCCCCCCCCCCCTGGCTACGTGCCTGCACGCATTGTAGGGCCGATCACCACGCCTAGAGCGTTAGCGAGTGTCATAATGAAGATATGATAACAAGGCCGGTTGTCTTTACAAAATAATGCATCCCCCGGCAGGAATCAAAACTATTACTGACCACCCCCTCAGTAATCCCATGCAGTCGTGTCTTAATGTAGACTCTTAATTAATATGAACAAGCCGCTATATAGACAACATTTCTGGGGACGAACTGGGTAAAGACTAAGTGCATTTTAGTTTTGCTACTACGGACGACTCGCATTGTAGACGCTTTTTTGTTTTTTGGGGAAATGAAGGTGTCCGTATCAGCGAGGCATCACTGCACCCATGCCCCCGCACCAGCTGAGTCGCCTCAGTTAGCACGGTTGTAGCTGTGCATGTTTTCGGGATGCCGCAAAAAGCTCCGCCCAATCATGATGGGAGGAGCTCTAGACAGTCTACACGTTCCGTGTCTCCAAACTATCCGGGGGATTAAGATGCACCTTATCTGGGAAAAAATTCAATAACCTAGTGCAGATATCCCGTAACATTTTTTTTTTAGCAAAGTACAACTTAAAGGAGCTGTGCAACAATTTTAACGTTGAAAGAATTTGCATCTTCTACTCTTGACAATGTTTATCTTGTCAGAGAAAACAGAAAACACATCTCCCTCCTTCGAAATGTTGCAATTCCGCCGCGTAATCGCGAGGCAAAAATTAGAATATTTCCCGACCTGCAGCCGCAAGCGGCGGCCATGAGAACCACGAGGCACGACGTGAATCGGGATCTTTTAAAAAGATAGGAAGTTGTGCAAATACCTGCTCGATAAAAGGTAATTTTTCTATACGTCTTGTCGTTCGAACATAAATATAAATGCGTCAAAAACTTCGTACCATTGACAAAACTTTTATTATATAGAGTTTAGTGGTGCCATCTATCCGAAGTCAACAAAATCGTCAGCTCTATCTACTACCGTGAACAGCCGCCAGAAGCTGGAGGGGGACGGGGGCAGAGTTGGACGGGGGTGGCCGGACGCGGATGAGACTTTCCTCCTTTCACCATATTGTTCACGCAGCGCCAGAACGCGGTCATGTGGTCGTGAGCGGATGCGCTTCACCAGAACCCCGCGCGTTCCCCATTGACGTCACAGCGCACGTAACTCGGAAGATGGTGAAGAAGTAGAGAGGTGCCGAAAACCTTCATCTTTGTCCATTTTTAAAATAAAAACTAGGACGTGCCAGCAAGAACATTCCTGTGTTCTTTACTTCAGAAGGGTCGGGACACCAACTCCCTAACTATTTAAGCAAAGCATTGAAATTGTTTTACAGTTCCTTTAAGAGAACAATCTTTTTTTGAACCTATTTAGGAATGCCAGACACTTCTAGAGGGACAAGCTTCACAGTTTGCAGAAACAGTTTGATTGCAAGTTCAAAATCACCAAAGTGGTTGACCGTTTGATTCGTATTCGATTCAACCCTAAAATTCGCTATTCGCATAAGCCTGCAAATTTTGGAGGGCGTTCACTTTTCGTACCCCGGTTCACAGATTTGCATCTGACTGTGATCCACTGCACTGCGACCGCCTGTGACGGCTTGTGACAAGATAACATGTAGACATCATCTATTGAGCAGTTATGAATGTTACAGTTATGATACAATAGTGCTTAGATTTTATGTCGTCCCAAGTGGTCTTAGTGCAGTCGATCCGTCGGACGCAAATCTGAAACCAGCCTCGAGACGCATCTCTAAAACACGCACGATAAAGAAAGGAAAAAAGAGGAGTACGCACCACTCTCCGATATGAAAGACACGTGTGGACTTGACCACCATCACGTGAATGGGCGCCGAGAGGCAGATCATGCTCAGCCGGTACAGGGACCAGTCCCAGTTGTAGTCGTCGAAGCGGCAGAACATCTGCGGAAAACGAGCACGGGCGCAGTTGGCGGACGGCCTTTCGTTTCACGGGTTGCACGCGCGACAAATCCGAGGTTATTGGGAGGTCACGAGCATTTCTGGACACCACCCTACAATTCATTTCGCTAGTTGCGTAACCGAAGCAGCTGAGGAAGAGGAGAAGAACAAACTCCCCTCTTAGCCGGAGCCACTTGCATGGGTCCCAGACGTCACTTATCTCCCGCTCGGAGATTAGCCCGTTGCTTGAAATTTGGACAAAAGTGGCTTTCCTCTCTGCCCCTTTAAAAGCACTGTGCGCAACTGGCGAGACAGAATATAGACTGGCCTCCTCAACAGATCCATTCTAAAAGTCAGTGCCAGCTAGTCTAAATTTGAGCAAAGCGGTGGCTCGTGGCAGTTGGTTTTTCGTGCACGAGAAAACAGTGTCGAAATAAAGACGAGGACGAAAATAGGCCCAGATGGGACAAACCACCTCGTCTTGTTTTGGTCAATCTTTGCCTTGGTGTTGATTTGGCGTTGTCTTCTTGTACAATTTCCATTTCGCCATACTAATGACAGTAATGATATTGCTATCGGAGTATTTCGTCGGACACCGTCCCCGTATGCGTCATCTGCTCGGGTGCACGTCTTCAACATCTTCCTCCGTCGGTCATCCATAGCTGCCATTAGTGTGGCCATCCACTCTAATGAGGATAGGGATTTAAATTGCCAGACTGAATTTCGGAAAGGGTCTACAGTACCAGAGTCGAAACGGCTTGCAAAGTAGAATCGAATTTCGTCAGTAAAAAGTAAAAAAAAACTTCATCCACATACGAATGATTTGATCGAAATTAAAACGGTTGATCGAGGTGTGGGATAAAATTTTGCTTGCAGGGGGAAACAGGAGGAAGGGAATCGAATGTGCCGACAGCGTTCGATCACTCACGTTGGAGCAGTTGTTTTTGATCGCAGACCAAAGGTTCCGGTAGAGGACCATTCCCATGTTGTGCTTGCTTGATTCCCACTTTGCGATCTCCACCTGTCGAGTCAACGAGCCAAACAAAATCGTGAGTAAGAGCTTCCTCCAGCCTTTGGACACCATAAACCGAGCATAAACATTGAGCCGTTGGCCCGCTGCAGCAACACTCAAACGTAAATTACCACATCTGTATTAACATTTGAAGAATCTAACTTATCGATCGAGCAAACACAGCTCATTTGTTTCGCGGGTTTACCGCACAGAGGGGTGGAGACGAAGATGTGGTGCCTAACAAAGCCTCCGCCCCTGGAAGTTCAGCAGCTCAAGATACATATTAACAACAAAAGTACAAAGCATTACACAATTAAAATAACAAGTCAAAGCAACAAGGGACAGTAAACAACAATATATTCATTCACAAAAACCAACAAAAACTATAAATAAACGTTGGCAACTGCTAGTCATGTTACAACTAAAGGCAAAACAAAAAAAAAAAAAAATTAGCATGTAATCATACATGTCTCCAACATATTCCAACAAATTCAGATAAGACTGCAATGAAAACGCATCTTTGAAATTGACTAGTTCATCTGCTTCTTCTCTTTTCTTCCCCCCCCCCCCCCCCTTTTTTTGGGAAATATTTTCACATCCATTACAAATTTAACTGGTTTCCTTTGTGTTCTAACTCGTCAATACCAATACTCTTGCTGTTTTTAAGTCCTAAGAATATGTTAAATACCTCATTCTCATCAATTGGTTTCAGGAAAAGAAGTTCCGTCACTATGTCTAAAAAAACAGAGAGCTGTATCATTGTAGGCAGTGCTGCGCATATTTGAAAGGTGAGTGTTGAAATGTTCCGCAAGGCACGCACTCGACATAGTTTGATCGTCTATAGCAGTGGTCTCAAACTCCTTTGAGTGTGGGGGCCAGATAGCCCCCAACGGAAAGGTCCGAGGGCCACGACGGGGGGGTGTAAAAAAAAGAGACATTGTGCTCCATTTTTTTTTTTTTTAACTCGCAGTTTTCTTAGGGACATTTTTAGATTTCATTTATTTATATGACTACTCTGGGCCCTTACCTGATCTGATAGCAAGAATTAGAATGATACCGTCCTGCCAACGTGCTGGCATTTTTAATAGAACAAGAGAGCAAGTACAGTCCTTCCCGTTGTTCAACTCACTCGGGAATTAACCAAGCACAACGTGTCTGTAAGAAACAATCAGTTGACAGTTCTTGCTTCCCCGACGATATTGATTACAACACTCTGAACAAATACTTGTCTTTAAAAGGGGAACTCCGGCGATTTTTTCATGGTCGCTGATTTGCCTCAAAATTGGTTCAACGCACCGATAGACATGGCTGTACCAATTTCCCAAGTATTGAGTGAAATGAAAAACATTTTGCGAAGTTATTGAATTTTCGAATATCGTTTTCAATGTGTATTTCAAACCGGGAGCTCCTACTGGCAACATTGAAGTGTGACGACAGAAATGGTACAAAGTGGGCAGTAAGCCATGTTGCCAACTGATTAGGTACAAAACGTTTGATGGTGGGAAAATAATGTTTGGTAGCTGATTTGCCGAGAAGCATGCAGAAAACACTCGACACACTCTGTTTAACACTATCTGCACAACCTGAAAGTCTGTGCCATTTGTGACGTCGCACCACTGGAGAGCGCGCGGAAATTTGAATGCTGGTTTCGGCATCACATATATTTACAGTTTTCTCAATTGCTATTTTGAACTTCGAGAAAATAAATAACATACAGTGAAAACTGAAGTCCGAGTAGTCATAAAAAACAATTTGTTTGGGTAGCTAAAAAAACGGCCGGAGTTCCTATGCTAATACAGTCGAATCTCATTACCGTATTTGCACGAATATAACGCGAGTTTTTTTTCGAAATTATGTGCTCCAAAACGCACCTCGCGTTATATTCGGAATCGAGTTCAGCCACGAGGCGCGCGAGTCTGGAGAAAGCCATCCCTCCGGCTCAATGCAAAAGATCCGGTGGAAAAAGAAGTGGGGGTGTGGAAGGGAATTTATTAGCTATTGGGCCACGTGAAGGGGCGAAAAGAAAACATAAAAAAGCATTTTTATCGCTTTTGTGTGTTTATAACGCGCGCACGCCGCAGAAACTCGGCGCGGGCGCGCGCGCCATGCGGGAATGAGGGCACCGGCCAATTCGAGCCAAGCCAAGCCGGGCCAAGTCAAACACAAGCCAAGCCAAGACCACCGACCGTGTTTACGCAATCGTGCAACACGAGGCATTTGTTTATGCAGATGGACCAGAACAAGAAGTGTGATCGTGTATCGGGTTCAGCCGTCTTTTTTTTCTGCCTGCGCATTGTTTAGTTTCTGTTCCAGAGTGGTCTGGTGTTTGTGTGTTGGTGCTTCTGCTTCGTGCCTTGTTTGGATTGTGGGCTGCCGACTCGAGCTCGCACGGAAGAAAAAGGAACTACCAGACAAGCAGGTGCCGTGCTGCTGCTTATCTGCGTAGTCGCCAAGTGGATTGTAAACGGAAGGACCTGAGCAATGAGGATGAGTGCAGTCAAAACATAAACTGATATTTCTTCTATTTCCATTGACTTTTCACTTCTGCTATGCCCCGAGTGCGAGAAATTGACGCGGCCCCCGGCTCGCGTTATAATAGTAATAATATTTTTTTTCTTTTTGGGGGCATCAAAACCTGCCCTCGCGTTATATTCGTGGTCGCGTTATATTCGTGCAAATACGGTAATTCAAACTCGAGGGGGACCGAAAATTTGTTTGAATAAAGAGAAGCTTGAATTACCGGGAGCTTCCTCCCATAGAGACGCATAGGATGGGACCTGCATGTTAGTTTGAATTATCCGAAAGTTTGAATTAATGAGAGTAGACTGTAAATTGCCAACTCATTTCGTCTGCTGGTAAATCATTTCCAGATACATTTATATTTCCTATTAAGATCGCACTTTGCACTCTTCAGGTCAAAGTTGACTTTGTTTCTAAACCCTTTAAATTCAGCTAAAAGACAGGCATCCCAATTTTGGCAAAGGCGTGACACTTGCGTTTCTTTTCATTGATAGAGCGAGCAGGCGTTTCAAAATGCGTCTCAGACGCATCGGAACAGAAATAGGAGCATGCCAATCGAAGGAAAACATAGAAAATGCATAGAAAATGTGCGATGACGAGGTAGCTAAGCTTAGCCCGTTGTTGGTTGAGGCCGGGAGGAAAAAAACGCACGAAGTGCACAAGGAGCAGATAAACTTGCATGCCGTGTTCTTTTATACAGGTTGACAGATACCCACAGTTTTCTTATTCTTTTTTAGAGCGCAGCTCTTAGGGGCCCGTTCCCGGCTTGAGCGGCGTCGGCGTCGCCGTCGGCGTAACCAAGGTCATCCCAAGGTCACGTGACCCCTCCCAAGGTCATGTGACCCCACGTGACCCCCTGAAGGTCACGTGGGGTCATCTTGGGATCACGTGACCCCCAAGGTCACGTGACCCCTCGAGGTCACGTGACCCCTCGAGGTCAAGTGACCATTTCCAAGGTCATCTCAAGGTCACGTGACCCCAAGATGACCCCACGTGACCCTTTGAAGGTCACGTGACCCGCAAGTCACGTGACCCCTCTGAGGTCACGTGGTCTCCTACCCAAGGTCACGTGACCCCTTCCAAGGTCATCTCAAGGTCACGTGACCCCAAGGTGACCCCCCAGGTCACGTGACCCTCTGAGGTCACGTGACCCCTCTGAGGTCACGTGACTCCCCGGGGTCACGTGACCCCTCCAGGTCACGTGACCCCCAAGGTCACGTGGGGGTCACCTTGGGGGTCACATGACCTTGAGGTGACCCCCAGGTCACGCCTCCCTGAGGTCACGTGACCCCCTCCCCGAAGTCACGTGACACCCCCCCCCCAGGTCACGTGACCCCCCCCCCCCCCCGGAGCATATTAAAGAATGAGGGGAGGAGGAGGAGAAGGGGGAGGGGTCTACCCTCCCCTCAGTACCCTTCACTCCTCCTCTCAAGAGCTGCGCTCCAATTCGGCGTTACAGGGATTTGTAAACGGCTTTCACTTTTTACTTGTTTTTCTTCTGAAATAAGGCCAATTAAAGAATGTCCTTGATGGGAACAATAAACAAAAAAGATTTATAGAGAGAAATGCTTTCACTCACATGGTTTCCAGTGATGTGATAGTTGAAGGACTTGACATAAGTACCCAGAACCAGCATGGAACATTCCTTGTGGCTATAAAAAAATGAAGATAGAAAAAAATAGCAGTTATAAAAACTCCAGTACTCAGTGGAGGGAAAATTGTCAGTTTTATGGAAAACTTTTTCACTCAGTATACTTAACCATTGATGACCTGCTTTCAAAATATCTCCATAAATACAAAAAAAAAAAAGAATCCAACAACTTTACCTACCAACTGCATGGCAAGTGGAAAGAACAACTTGAAGAGGAATCTGAAATCCCCTCACGAGCCTTGTAATACAGTCTAAGCTCATTACAACAGACCTGGTTACCACAGACATTTGGATATAACATACCGATTTGTGAGGTTTGGTTGGTTTCCCTCTATGCACCATTGACTCTTCATATCTGCATACAAGGTATTCCTCTTACAACAGACCAAAATCTTGGTCAAAATCAAGGTCTGTTGTAACGAGCTTAGACTGTAGCAGTCAATATTTCGTCAGAATGCTCAGCATCTCGAATCCAAGTCTTTTTGCGGAACGTCGACTGCCAGCCACATTTCCCAAGATGTCGCTTTTCTGGGGGGGGGGTCGAAGAACAGAACTCACTTTGGTTGCGCTGCTTCCATGAGGCGGAGCACATGCAAGAAGTCCGGCGCCACATAGTGGTCCTCTTCGAGCAGAATGAACGGCCCGTAGTGGTTACGCGTAATGTTGAGCCCATCCATGATGCGGTTCATCTGCATGCACAGAGTAGAAGTACCGTAAAATATCGAGCAAGCACCCACTCGATTGACTCTGCACCGTCCAGTCTGTCACCAAAGCCGCTTCACCCATGCCATGCATTGGCTGGACCCGTGCTTTGAGCAAAGGAATGTATCCGAGCTTCCAGAAGCAATTTTTTTTTGTTTTGTCTGCTTGTAAAAAATTTTTTTTCCCCCTCAAAATTTTTATTTTGGGAGTGAATTCTAACTTTAAGTAAAGGTGTCACGCAAGGGCTGCCTATTTTCTCTAGACACAATTTGTTCGGAAAACAATGAACCAATGTCATGGCGGGGGGGGGGAGAAGGCCTAAAAAATGGGAGTGTTAAATGTACTATATTTGAGTGTCAGTGTCTTACAATGAACCAGCCGTCACAAGCTAAGCTCCCCCGAGGAAGGGGAAACTTTCGCATGGGGTTGCATATCGCCTTTTGATGGAACATGAGGTGTCAATACCCATCTCCTCGCCACACAGTTTTTATTTATTTATTTTAAAATACTATCCATTCCATCTAGAGCTATGATAGGAGATGGCATACTGTATACACTTTTTGTCCCCTCGTAAGACAAAACACAAAAACAACACACTTCAACAAGGAAAAGAACTACAAGATTTGACAACATTTTCTTCTCAGACGTGTTGGCCAAACGGCAAAAAAAAATGCAAACCTCCCTTCATCCAGCATATAACAGTGTGCAATGTTAAAACAGAAGTTCGGGCGAGTTGGTAGTTCATGACGCACGAGGACACAGCGCACCCGTAACAAACACTAGGACAACGTTCACAGTCACACCAAAAGAAAGGGACACTTACACAGCGCTGACTTCAACTCTTTGTATATTCCCGCCTTTTCTCTTCTTTCACGTCTAATGCATAACCTAGGCCTCATCTTTTTCTTTCTTTGCTAAAGGTTAACTGTAAAAGTTTTAAGCCAGAAATTGAAAATTAAAAATTAAATGGAAAAATTAAATGAAAAATTAAAATTGAAATTACTGTAGATCAATGATGCAAAGCTAAGTAATCCAGCTCTTTTTGTGACAGCGCTATAGATGGATTACTAATACACCTGCCGTTTTGCCTGGCAATGTTCTCCGCTTCTATTATTTCCCTTGTGAGCTGGTCTCGACTCCTTGCCAACACCACACACTTGTCTACTGCATGAGGATACCACTCTTTCTTCCAGCAGAAGAATATGGCAAACTTACGCCTCTTTAACGGAATGTACGACTGAGCATCTTTGGACACTCACGTTAAGGCATCTCCGGACCACCCGACCCAAGAAAGAAACGGCTTCAAGTAACCCAGTACACACGTTAGGGGACATTGATATACCAAGTTCTGTGAGGCACGTTCTAAGCTTGGGCCCCAAGTTTGCAGTGGAACCTAAGAAGACGGCACCGGAGCTACTCTCCATCATTAGACAAGTGTCGCGACGAGCTCCAGAGACCGAGATAGATCGATGCACCTCCGAGGGAGTGGACATGCTCGTTCGTTACAAGCCTTCAGCTACACCTCTGCCTATCAAGAGAGTAGAAGCATACCTCAAAGAACACTCACTGACACTTATGCCAGCTGACAAAGAAGGCGGTTTTGTGCTCATGCACAAGGACACGTTCGGAGAAAAAGCTTTAACAGCGGTCGAATCTGTCTTCAGCAGCCACGACGAGATCTCCCTGGAAAAAGTGAAACGGGTAGCAAAAACGTTTTGTCAGTCACAGAATTTGAATCAACTTTGCTCCAGAATTGAACGCAGCAAAAACTTGAGCCTTCAATTATTCTTCAGCGCCAAAACTCATAAACCGGAATGCCCTCTTAGAGTAATAATTTCAGAAAGGGAAACTTGGCAGAAGTCGGTAGGTGTATATTTGCAAGAAAGACTGAAGCTGCTAGTCATCGATGATCCTTACTTGATTCATAGCTCTTATGACGTCATCAGCTTCTTCGATCAAAATAGCGACCTAGATCTAAGAGCATTCTCCATCGATATAAAGGATCTCTACTATTCCTTGCCCCAACCCCATCTCCTAAGGTGTATCGAGGACTGCATAGACACATATGGCATTACCGCCTTTCAGAATGCGGCAGGCCTATCCCAAAGCAAATTCTAAAACTTAATTGACATCTATCTAAAATCTACCTTCGCCACCTGGGATGGACATACGTATCTACAGAAGAGAGGGGTGTGTATTGGTTCGTGCATTGCACCTATCCTCAGTGACCTGTATCTTGCACACCTTGACAGGAATTTAAACCAAACTCTCGACGGGTCAAAAGTTAAAAAAGTATTCAGATATGTCGATGATTATTTAATTGTCCTCGCCACCGATGACCAAAATTTGACAGCCTTGGTACCAGACATTCTCAACAGTTTCAAAAGGTGCATGAACCCATTGGAGATTACCCACGAACTTCCAAGTGAAAGAAGTTTGAGATTCTTAGATCTTCGTCTTTGTACGTCACCGTACCATACGTGCTGGACTTACGAGCCAAGGGGAAAGAAGCCACTTCTGCCATTCAACTCAGCGCATTCAAAACTCGTAAAGAGAGGCATAGCGCGGTTGTGCCTTAAGAACTCTCTAACGAAGTCATGCTTCCATTCCATCCAAAGGAGCTTTGATGGGCAAGTGTCGAGATTAAAACGCGCTGGATATCCACCATCCTTGTTAACATCAGTGGCGGAAGGCCTTTTCAGAGAATTTAAGCATGATGAGCGATTTAAGAAAAGTCATCGGGACAGGGCAAAAAGACCAGTGATTGTGCCATATCTCCAGCATTTTTCTCATGGCCTCAAGAAAATAGCAAACAAAGTAGGCACGGACGTTATTTTCTCCGCTCCGAACAAGCTCTACAGCCTCTGCAAGAGGGTAAACACTCCTTCAAGAACACCGACGTCCTGCACAACGAATCACAGAAATAAGTTTGTTCGATGCACTGAAAATGTGGTCTACTCCTTCCCCCTGTCCTGTGGAAGAACATATATCGGACAGACGGGTAGGTGTTTAAACCACCGCCTTAGAGAACACAACCTGTCCACCATCAACAAGAACTCTGGACATGTTGGCATACACATTCGGAACTGTGGGTGCACAGCGGAACTTGACAAGTGTGTGGTGTTGGCAAGGAGTCGAGACCAGCTCACAAGGGAAATAATTGAAGCGGAGAACATTGCCAGGCAAAACGGCAGGTGTATTAGTAATCCATCTATAGCGCTGTCACAAAAAGAGCTGGATTACTTAGCTTTGCATCATTGATCTACAGTAATTTCAATTTTAATTTTTCATTTAATTTTTCCATTTAATTTTTAATTTTCAATTTCTGGCTTAAAACTTTTACAGTTAACCTTTAGCAAAGAAAGAAAAAGATGAGGCCTAGGTTATGCATTAGACGTGAAAGAAGAGAAAAGGCGGGAATATACAAAGAGTTGAAGTCAGCGCTGTGTAAGTGTCCCTTTCTTTTGGTGTGACTGTGAACGTTGTCCTAGTGTTTGTTACGGGTGCGCTGTGTCCTCGTGCGTAGTGTGCAATGAAAGTTGCTGTTGACACCGCCGACACTCAAAACTTTGATACTATATTCGGCAATGCTTTGGCGGCCCCTAAAAGCTTCCTACATCACGACAAAAGGTGTTGGCAAGTCTTGCAAAGACAACATCACCTTCCACCACCAGTGATGTTTGGTCTGAGAGAACTTGGCTTCCCGATAGTGGCCAAAGGAGTCCGGATGTTCGGCGTTGTTGCAGCCAAGCTTCCTAGCCCTGCATCAACCGGGAAAGAACTTGCAAAAGTTTCTACTTGTGTCGACAGTAGAGTCACAATATCTTAGTCAAAATAACACATTCTAGACAAAAAAGAAAAAAAAAAAAGGTTGGTTATAAAGCTTTTACTGCACAATAATAATCCCCAGATAATGGTAACAACGTCATAAACGGAAAGTGCTGTACTCGTCGCCTCGAGAAAAACAAATACAAGTTTGGCGCAGGGTTTATAGGCTGCTGGGAAGGAGGGGTAGCCTCTGGAATGGTAGAGTGGTCACAATGTATACTAGTCACAGCTCACCACAACTCAACCACAATACTCCAGTCACACAATTCCAGTGAGGAAAGACTAATGATACCGTCGGACGGATAAAACCTGTTTGTCCAAGGAATCTATTCGAACCCAAGAGAAAAATAATAGAGATTAAAAAACAAATAAACATAAAAAGCTCCACACTTTTAATTTTTTATTTTTTTACATTTTTGTTTTGCAGGAAGTTGTGGCAGTTCAGAATGGTCTATGTCATTTCCGATACCGTGATTTTTGTCGTAACTCATGGCAACTTAAAAACAGTTAAAAACACAATGCCAGCTGTTGTTTAAAAAAAAATTCATTGTGAGCTTTTGTTTAAATTCAACAATGCGAAAAAAAAACTAAATAACCACACCTAAAATTAGATTAAAGACGCTAATGCCTCCTAGAGTCAACGACCACTGAAGAAAGGCGGGATGCGGCAAGTCTTGAGCATGCTATCATCTATTAGCGGTCAACGAGATTCTGGCATTAGTCGACATGAATGCCAAAGAATGCATTGCGAAGCAAGAAGCGTAAACACAATAAGCCGCACCCCGCACCTCTTAAGCTGGCAACGACCGTGATACAAAGCACATTAGATGACACCGAACTCACTCCTGTTTGCCAATGTTGCGAGGACAGTCCTTTGGGTCGGTCCCGGGAAACTCGAGGGGATAGAGCTGGATGGCACGCGGATAGAAGATCTGCATCATCTGCAATGCGGATGGGCGGCGACATTAACCACAATACCCCAGTGGCACTTGCACACCTAACCGCAGTTAAAGGGTAACTGCAAAGAAAAAAAAGTTTTTTTTTAAATAGCCTAATTGGGACAAGCATGTCAAAAAAAATTTTTCCGCGAGAAAAAACATTTTTTACAGCAATATTTATTGCGTGAGACTCATTTTAGTTTGCGGCTATTTCGTCCGTTTTAAATCGCACGCCACGAAGTTGTGATTATGTGACGTCAATCCCAAAAGGTTCTCATTGGCTAAGAGTTTGATTGACAGCTTAGATCCGGTTGTTAAACCTTTGTTATATGTTGCAATTTCCTTTTGAGCGGCACATTTTTACGTTTAAAGAATAACCCATGTGATGCGAGTTATTATTCTTTACAAAAGCTTTACAAGACGGGCACTTCCGTTTGGATTCATACAAACAAAAGCGCTTCGCCATTCTTTCATGGCCGCCGAAGTCTCTGCTCCCGCCTGTCTCGCCTACCTCGACTAATCGTTTCACCGAAGTGATCAGTGTTTCGTCGTTTCGTGCTGACCCAGGTGCTTGAGTGAGACTTCTTGAAGTGAAGTAGTGTGTGTTTAGCAGCTGTCGCAGGTGTTACTGATAGGAAGCGACGCGGGGTTTTGGCTTTCATAGCGCGGTTCTTTCGTTTTCCTCTTTGCTTGCCTAGCGTGTATTTTTTTTTTTTGTTGTTGGTTGCTTGTTTGCGCGTGCAAATGCTGACTTTTCGGAGATGTCAGATGTGTGATCCCGACAGTGAGCCTTCCAGCAGCCATGTCGCCCCGAAAGGAATGCTATTTGGCTGGAGGCAATCGGGCGTTCGCGTAGCGACCAACGTGTCAAGTTACGTTCTCGTCATATCGCTCTGGAGGCCGTCGAGATTCGCCCCGTGTGCACCTAACGTCCGCGACTAGACAGAAAATAAAAAATCACTATGTCCACTACGTAAAAATGGTCTCAGTTCATGCATCTGTAGGCAGGTACGAAATCGTGCCCAAATTTATTCACACCGCACGATGCAACACGTCGCTGTACAAACGCAGTCCAACACGAAGCATAAAAACGGCAGATTTAGGACAACAATTCGGAGTCTATTGTTCAATTAAAACGACGTAATTTTGTTGAAAACGCCCGCAGCTTTTTACTCACGGTATGCGTCGGGAAACTTCCACATTTTGAAACAGAACGAGGCAGATTTACTTTTGAAAACGCTCCCAGCGTCCTCCCGGACCAGTTTGACTGGATTAGCTGACGACGACGGGACTTAACTGGTTGAACGTCAACCCCACAACAACCAATTTGCGCTCCGTGTTAGCACCGCATTACACACACCACGAACGTTTCAGCTCTGTCGCATCGCTGTGTTGCACCAAACAGAACGAGATCGCCGAAACCAACGCAGCGCTGTCGTGAACCTTGGCTTGTGGTTGCGCACTCGTGGATTCTGTGACTCCCTTCGCTTTCAAAGCGCGCACGACGATTACGAACAATACTTTCCGTCTTCCGGGAACATCACAGGGGCACTTCTCCGGCCACGTCTTCGCTACATGTGCTCGCAAACCGCGTCAAACCAAAACAATACCGCGGTACCGGTACCGCGGCCTGGCGTAGTTGCCAGATCTTGCCGGAAGTCGAGACGCTGCGTCGTTCAACTCCGCAACGCAAGGAGAGTGGGGGGCGGGGCGTACTCCTCTTCCGCGGGGGTCGAAGGAGCGGGAGTTTCAAATGTGGAGAGGTTCTCACTCTACTAAATTACGTTCTGTGGCGTAAATATTGATAAAAAAAAATCATTTTTTTCGCGGAACATTTGTTTTGTGACATGCTTGTCCCAATTAGGCTGTTTAAAAAAAAACTTTTTTTTCTTTGCAGTTACCCTTTAAGTGTTACTGAGGTCAAACTTGACTGCCAGACAAAAAACGTAGCCACAGCCTCCTAACACAGAACGCCGAGAGGCGCAGGTCTCTTTTAAACACAGCATTCAAAGAGCTCTATGGAACAAGATTGCGGAGTAAAGAGGTAGGGTGCCACGTGATGCTACCTTAGCGAAATTAGTACAGCTCCCATCATTCCACAAGTCTTGCTGTATATATTTTGTTTTGTAATACTTCTGTCTAGAACCCTAATAACCCGTGTTGCTCACTTTGAGCCTCAAGTTAATTGTTTTAATGAATCCGACCTAGCCGAATGGCCATTATGGGTCCATCCGCATCTTCAGTAATGTGCATGTGCCTTTCTGCTAATAAAACAAATTGAATGGAATTACACTGCTGTAAACAGGTGAGGTGTCAGTTCAGCGCTGGTCTTGTCCCGGCGCTTAGTCTTGTCAGTCCTTGTTTCCTTGTCTGTCATGTCCTTTTGTGCCATTTTCTGCTACCTGTTCGCACTGACTAGCCCAACTTTGCATCCTACTGTTGGTTCAGAATCAAGGAGCAAGCTTCATCACATCTACACATTCACTCAATGTTTCGCTATTAAAACGTCGACGATTCCTTCTGTTTCTTAAAATACAAAGAAATGTTTCTATCTAGAGCACTATTCGCAAACTGCATTAAAACTAGCAGTATTCAAACGTTGCTTGCCCAACTTTTCTAGCCAATCTTTCCATCAACCCACCAAAGTAAAATCTTCGAGCATCTAATTGGCACGACCAATGCCTTCAATAACTCTGCCGTCCCACGGGGTATTCAAGATGGGAACAACTTCCCAGAATGAGTCGTTACCATAACCAAAATCTCATTCACCCAAAAAAGTTTGAATTCCCTCCTTTTCTCGCAGTGCTACATCTCTCTAACTGTGGCACAATATCGACCAGGTTTCTCTATCTTTGATGACGCTATTATATTCCGAATATATAAAAATGTCAAGTATGGGACGCATGCATTCTGCTTCACCGAACGCCGAACCGTCCTAACTGCGCTAAACCTTTTGTGTATCGTCGAACAAAATATGTTATATATATTTTTTTTGTCATCATCTATCCTTTCATTCCACTTACGCAATGCCCTACAAAGCCGCGACTACTATAACAACTTTTTTCTGAAAACGGCAGTTTATAGGTGGGTGCGACTTATACGGTAATACCTTGTTAACTAGACCACGCCTATCTCGAAATAGTGGTTAAGTATTACAATTTCCTTGTCATGAAATGAACTTCGCACAATGCGCTTTGTCCTTGCTTATATCGAAAGGTTTTCAGAACCGACTTGGAATATCTCAAGATCTCGACAGCAGAAATCTAAAAAAAGAAAAGACACAATGGACCCCAAAAACTTTAGAAAAAAAATCAAAAAAGAAATGTGCACGGAAAAAAAAAAAATGTGCAGGTGCAAAGGAAAACATATATATATATCGCCGAGTTTTTGCGCAGTGCAGTGCATGGAGGTGCAGAGAGACATACGGCAAGCGCCTTAAAAACACTTTCTGCCTTAGTTTTTATTTTTTTTTAATATTGTTTTAACGATTTTGGTGGGACAAGCCAATGCACGGAGCACAAGGTTCGGTATGCCCTCTCCCTTGTGCTCAGTGTTTTCTGCTGCTCTCAGTCTTTTGTTTTCTCTTCTTTCTTTCTGTGTTCTTCTGTTTCCCTTCCCAATCCGGTCGTCGTCTCGTCAGTCTCATGTCTCATTCGTTTCGAGCATGTTGCGCTGCTCTTTGTTGGTTGATCGCTATTTTATGGGGGCATTTCAATCGTCTCGCAGCGCCGTGCGAGCAAGGGTAGCCGTATTTACTCGCAGAATGAACACACTTTTTTTTCCGAAAAATCGATGCAAAGTTGGGGGGGCGCGTTCATTACGCGAAGTAAAATTTTTGCGTTGGTCGTCCCTACTCGCATAATGAAAAAAATTGGCTTGCTCTTTATGTTTATACAGCCTTGATGGAGATGCGCCTCAATGGGTAATCGGTCTCTTAGCTGTAGATGAGAAATTTAGCCAGTGCGGTACAACCGCTAACCTGGGATTTTTAACGTGCATCACGCAGTAGTGATCACACGAACGCGTGCCGGTACGAAACTCATCCAGATCGAAACGGGCGGGGGCGGCGGGGATCGAACCCAGGAGGTTCCCAGCGGAAGCTTTCGCTCCACGCTCCGAGCTGAGGCGCGTTAGCCCACTCGGCCACTTCCTCCCTTACTCGCATAATGAATAATGAACGACCTTTTATCCTGAAAAATCTAAGTAACTTCTTACCTCTTTGCGCGCGCGCACCCGACCCCGTTACCAAACTAAGCTGTGCAAAAAAAAAAAACAGAAAAAACTCTTCTTTGTTTTCTTTTTCTCTTAATTCCTTAATTGTTGTTGTTTTTTTTTGTTTTTTTTTTGCGCCTTTTGCAAGCTGTTTTGTTTGCTTAGGCGAGGGCTCTCCGCTTATCTTTCTTATCACCTTGCGGGCGACTCACGACCCCGTAACCAAACTGCGCTGTGCAAAAAAAAAAAAAATAATAAAAAGCTCTTTTTCTTTTGCTTTTTTTTCTCAGTTCAGTGTTGTTGTTTTTTTTGTTTGTTTTTTTTCTTTTTGTTGTCTTTCGCAAGCTGTTTGGTTTGGTTAGTGGGCTTCTCCGCTCCTCTTTCTTACCTCCTTGCGCGCGCGGCGCGCGACCCAGGTGTTGGCGACCCCCGTAACCAAACTGCACTGTGCCAAAAAAAAAAAAAAAAAAAAAAAAAAAAAGGAAAAAAAAACTTTTCTTTGTTTATGTTTTCTTTTAGTTCCATGGTTGTTTTTTTTTTTTTTTGCCGTTTTTTGCAAGCTGTTTCGTTCGCTTAGAGCGCTTCTCCGCTTCTCTTTCTTACCTCCTTGCGCGCGGCGGCGCGCAAAACCAAAGTCCAGACTGCGCTGTGCAAATAAATAAAAAAAAAAAAAAGCTCCTTTCCATGTTTTTTTTTTTTTTTTTTGCTTCCGTTGGATTTTTGCGAATATTTTTAACGCTTTTTGTAAGGCGTTTTGTTCGCCCACGCTGCCCACGCATTCGCGACCTCGCTGCACCAGGATAGAAAAGTGCGTTCATTTCGCGCGCGTGGAGGGAGGGGGTCAAAATTTTGACGTCGGAGTTGGGGGTGCGTTTATTACGCGAGTGAAAAAAAAAAGTCGAAATTTTGAGAGCCGACTTGGGGGGTGCGTTCATTACGCGAGTGCGTTCATTGTGCAAGTAAATACGGTACGTTGTGAACTCTTCTACATTATTGGCGCGACTCGATTGACCATGAAGATGGCGCAGCCCAAACAGTGCAAATCATTGACGCGCGAGAGGAAAGTTGCTCTCGTCAAAGTAGCTGAGAAATAAGTTGAGAAAGGAGGAAGAACAACGTCTAGCATAGCAATGGGATTTGGTATCCTTTCATCGACGCTCTCAACAATACTGAAAAACAAGAATTAAGTCCTTGAGGGCTTTGAGCAAAGCTTTTCAAGCAAGAGGAAAAGGGTCCGGCATTCCAAGTTTCTGGACGTTGAGGCAGCGCTTCTGCAGTATATGAAGCAAAACCCAACCTTCCAGTGACCACTGCGTTGATGATAGATGAGGCTGACACTCCCTTGCCAATGGGGTACAAACACTTCAGTTGCAGCAGCGGCTGGTTTGACCGTTTCAAGAACAGAACAACGTTATATCAAAGCCTTTACGCGGCAAAAGTGGTACAGTGGATGAAGCAGCTATGGACCTCTTGTGCAACCACCGACTCGCCACGCTTCAGAAAACCTATACCGTGAGAAAGATATCTTCAACCTGGGTGAGGCGGCGCCCTTCTACATCCTGCTGCCCAGTCGCACTTTCACTCCAAAAGGAGAACCGTGCACCAGAGCGAAAAAGTGTAAGGACAGAGTAACAATCCTTTTGGTGATCTAGTGATCGGCAAAGTGCAGAAGCCACTGTGCTTTTGCAATGCACGGCTGCCACAGTACATGATCTACAGGGCGAACAAGAAGCGTGAATGACGGCAGTATGCTTTGAAGAGTATGTTCACACACTGGATCAAAAGCTGGATAAAGAAAATTGAAAAGTTATCTTCATCGTGGATAACTACCCGGGACATGGAAAGATGGACAACGCGAAAGCAATTACGATAGAGTTCCTTCCCCCAAACGTGACGTCCGTACTCCAGCCGATGGACCGAGTCATCGAAATCACCCTGAAGCTCTACAGGAAACGTCTCCTCCGGCAGGTTTTGTTGTCATACGACAATGAAAAAGGATACTAGGTCATGCTCCGCCTGCTCAAGAACAAGGTTGAATGCGACGGTGGCAAGGAACGGCTGATCCGATGCCTCAGGCAGCTTGAAGATGTTTCTCTAAGACCAAGCATAAATGCCAAGTAAGTGAGCATCACTGTGCTCTTTGGCACCGAGTGACTGCAATAAATTGAAAGTAAACCCCCTACTCTGTTTTGAAAAGCAGAGCAGGGCCGTATGACGCACCTGTTGCGAGCGAAGTTCGTTCCAGGTATGCTTGTACTTCCATTTTTCCTTTCTTTAAATAGAGCCTCTGCTGTTGCAGCAATCGTTAGAAGTTTTAAGTGGCAAAAAGCGCGATCGGAGTGAAAATTTTCATACTTTGTTTATCTCGAAGTTTTGCTTCTATAGAATTTTTTCAGTTTTTATGATTTCGAGTTAACGAGCTATTACTGTACCAAGGTCTGACTTAAACTGGAAAATATGGTACTATGAATAAAGAAATGAACACGTGCTCCGAGCGTAGCTCCCGAGCAATGGCAGCCCCGTACCTTGCAGAAGTTCGCCTTGATGGGCAGGCTCTCGACAACTGGGCTGTGCTCGTCGTGGCTGAAGATGAGGAGCGTCCGGTTGATTCCCGCGGCACCGCGCAGAGAGTCGAGCAGTGACAACAGGTAGTGCCACCTGTTGTGCACTTGCACCACCACCACGGGGTCCCCAGGCAGCAGGGGCCCATACTCGTCCAGGTTGTGCACAAACTGCGGAGAGAACACGCTTGCAAACAGCCGTCACGTTTCGACTAGAGCTGTGCGAATGTTCGAAGCTTTGAAAAGCTTTCAAATAGTGCTTGCCATTCGATTCAATTTGCTGCACACTTTTTCCGTTCGAAGTACGGACCAATCTCACCAGCCCGTTTGATGCACCGAGAAAACTTTACCGTAAGATTCCAAGAAGTACTAGACAGCCCACCTAAGATCGAGAGCAAATCGGATGAAAATAATGAGTTGGTTAACTTTCAGTGTACAGACAAGAAAAGATGGAAAAAAAGCTATTTTCAGATCATGTTTTCCTGCCAAACTTGTCAAAAGAGAATGAAGCAAAGATGACTACTTCCCAGTCAGTAATGTTTGCTTATATCCCGCCATAATTAACTAGCTGCAATTACGCCAATGTCATCATTGATCTGAGCACTACGGTTACTAGCAGTGGGCTCTCTTTCGGTGTTTAAAAGAAAATAGCAAATGAAGCCAAAAATGGGGGTAGGTTATCACCCGGGATATTACGGTAGTCTTGCTGCACGTGCCACAACCTCCCTGGAGCTCTCTGCATGCAGAGCATGAGAGGGCAAGAACAGCCTCGTGCAATGCCGCCCGCCAACCATAAAATAAGGTTCAGGTGGCTTCGCGCATACGCGCAACACTTGGTGAGATTAATCTATTGGAAATATTTTTAAATCTTCGAAAATTGCAAATGTTTTTGGAATCCTCAGGGCTGTTTCCACGTCGGATCGTACAATGATGGTCCGGGTCATATTTTTTTATATTTATGAAAAATATGTGTGAAAGGCATGCTCTTGTGGGGAGCATTCAGCTATTATATGAACACCGTAGCTAATTTGTTTACGGATATATAAAATTTCTAAGCTAGAGGTGTGGAGATTGTCAAGGTTTTTGCTACGATACTTTGCACAGCCGTCAATTTCACACCGAAGCATGCGCGTAGCAATAATTTTTCCTGCTTATTTTAAGAAAGGTTTACAACATTTACACAGAATATGAAAAAGCAAAAATTAAAACTTTCCATGCCAAAAAAAAAAAAAAAAAAGCTGCAAGACATGTTAGGTTAAAACATTTTACAGACATTCACCAAATTATTTACTCACAAACTACTTTACATAAAAAGTGGTGCAAAATGCATCAAAAAGAGCATCTTTAAATGCATTTTACAAACCTTATAAAAAAAGATATGCTTAGCCATTACTGTAGTTGCGTTATTAATGCAGAAATGCAGCCAATCTATCAATGTGTGGCAAAATTGCATGCCAATATTGAAAAAAATTTGCCTTTTTTTATTTTAAACTTTTCCAAGTCGTCTGCCGTCTTGAACTAACTTGTAATAGCATCACATTTAGTAACGTATGACCCCTAAAAGGGAAAACAACTACAAACCTCTTAATTATCATGCAATTAAATGCAAAGGTGCAAGCGAGCTGGACAATGACGAAAATAATCCCTGGAGAAGGGGAACAAGAGGGAGTTTTATGTTTGTCCTTTGTCCCTCTTGTTCCCCTTCTCCAGGGATTATTTTCTACAAACCTTCACTGAAACAGAGCTAGCTTGTCTTCGTTATAGGGGCTTTGCCATACGACGTCGGCTCCAGAGACACTTTCTAGAACAGATAAAGGCTGTACAGCAGTGCTGCTCTATCATAGGGAGTAGAAAGTTGTGCTGTCACTTGCTTAGCTTTATATTTTTGTTTCATCATTTCATACGCCCTCTATGACTGTAGAGGGTAGCACAGCGATGTGATTGGCCTAAGCCGCTTTGGAGCACCTTCTGGAGCAGCCAAAACAGAATTTTGGAGCAGCAAAAATGGCTTTTGGAGCAGCTAAAACAGTGTTTCGGAGCAGCGAAAGTTGCTTTTGGAGCAGATGTTCTTAGAAAAAAAAAAAGATATTCATTTCAAGTGGTGTACAAACGAAGGACACATTGCTCGCCGCAATCAACTAATTATTGTCAAGATAGACAACCTGGGAGTCTGTCAACATGTAACTGAAATGCCAATGACATGACACATTTGCAATGCTTCAGTTAAATGATACAAATATATCGGACCAAACTGCACATATTAAAATTTATTTGAAAATAACCAGCTTAGTAATAAATATCACATCATTAGGTTGACTAGTAATATAATAAATGGAAGCAGTCTCCAACTGTTGAAACACGTAACTACTGCCGTGCAATGCGAAATTGTTGCGCGAGCCGAGATGGCTGTCCGATCAAAACCATGCCACTCCGCTCCGTCTCCAACTAATTCCCAAAATTGTACGCAAAATGTAGCTGTCCAACATACAACAACAAAAAAAAAAAAAAAAACGTTTAGCGGCATGTGCTTGCCAGGAGTGCAGGCAAGGAGCAAGTTAAACACAGAAAGAAAAAGAACCTGAGCGCATCGATGCAAGACAACGCGAGCCAGGATCAAAAAGTTCTTGGAGAGCTTTGTGCAACGACTGAACTCGAGACAAATAATCACGCTGTGTGGGTTCAGCATGCGGGCATTGCCTTCTTCGCTTCAGCTCACTTCCCTTCACCAACATCTTTTGCGGCCGATTTTTCACGTACCTGAGTATGTCTCGATAGCAAGCCCACCGAGAGAAACCTAGGTAATCAATACTTCGACACAGCAGTCTTTGAGCTAAAGGGACATTTGTAGTAGCGTATTAAACAAGAACAGGATTGTTGATGAACACGCGGCAGTCCTTACGTTTTAGTTTAGAAAGTGCCATAACTGCAGTGACGTGGGTATGGCAACTTCCGACGTCGCGCGATTATGGTGACTGGCAGGCATAGACCAAATATAGTTTGGCCACGGCCGTTGCTTTTAGGAGCGAGTGCTTCAGCCCATAAAGTAACCCCCGCCGCGCAAAAGCATGGTTTCGTTTCACAGCATGACGGCACGGCTGGTACCCAGCACGCTAGCGTCGGAGCGTCCGCACACGCCCAGGTTTATCATTGAAATGTTTATTTTATTTTTTTTTAAAGACGCGAGAGGAGAGACGGGGAAAAAGCCATGCAAGACCAAATGAACGATTGATGCAGGGTACCTTGTATCGGACGGCTGCTTGCACCACCTAGCTCATGTGTGCTCAATTACGGTACTCAGTTTAGTTTCCGTTTTCAAAGGCGACCAAAATTAGTTCTTTGGCGCAGGCTTGGCACAGATTACCCATATTTTGGCGAAATGTAGCAGGATGTAGCCAGGTTAGCCCAATGGTGCAATTTGGTGCAATTGGCACAGCAATCACATCACTGGCAGCATGTAGTTAATAGCACCCTCTACACCCCCGGAGATGCTCTGTGGAATCCCCCCCTGCCCGAGACATAGCAACCATCTCTGAAGTCACCTATTTCAAGGAACACATACGCCAACGACTGATGTGTTACAAACACTCCTCTCTGTACAGCCTCTGGGCCCGAGAGTATGAAAACTAAATAAGTAAAGAATATTAGAATAAGCCGAGTCCAGGAACTAGAACAGGACCCCAAAATGGCGGCCCTTACTGACCTGCGCGTCGTTGAGCTGTCCGACGTACTCCCGCAGGATCTCCTGCTCCCGGCTGGCGTTCTGGAGTAGCCCCGCCCACGACTGGTTGCCGAGGGAGGCGGAGCCGTCCTCAACAACGCCGGCCCCACCCCCGAGGTCGGACACGCGCGTCTGGAGCCAGACGAAGGAGCCGAAGGAGAGGAGCGCCAGGCACTTGACCGCCGCAGAGGCCCCGGGAGTCCTTCGCAGCCACCGTGGTGTCAGCCCCCCCATGCAGCCGTGCCGCCAGCGGCCACCCTTGAAGACACCTGCGTGCGGTGGCACCCTTTTTAACGTGGAGTCCCACGAGGAAGAGCGGCAAGCTCAAAAAAGCGTCACGAGAACAGTCATGCAGTCACTAAATCTAGCAGACTTCAGGCTGGTTCCTTGGGGCACTTTTATGGCCGAGTGCAGTAAAGGTGCCCCGAAGACTGAGATCGCCTAAATATAGCGACAACTCGCTCTGCGGGCTCCGAGCATCCTAGAAATTCCCAAATCTCGAACACGCGTGACGGATTTCCCTATTAAAAAAGCGTTCAAGGATCGCAACACGCCGAGGTCATCTCAGGCGATGGGAGGAGCATGTTTCCAGGACAACATGCAACCAATGAAAAAGCGACATTTCGTAGAGATTTGTCTCATTCTCTTATTTGCTCTTACCATCTACAAAAGCATAATAACAAAGTTTGCAATCTCCACGAAATGTAGCATCTTCATTGGTCGCACATTGTCCTGGTTGCCAGAACGTGCTCAAGTCAAGGATTAGCTTCCAATGCTAGAATATTAAAGTGCAAAACGACAAGGAAGGAAAAAAGAGGGAGACAGGAAAGAGTGTTAACTGACAACTGACATTTACTGCTCCCTAAAGAGAAGGAGAACGGTGTTTCAAGTGTTATAAAATGAAAAAAAAAAAAAAGAAGAGAATAATTCTACAAAAACATACGTTATACGTAAAGTAAATCCCATTTACACCATTAAAGGGGAAATTACGGAGGGTACTGATCTTTTAGTAATGCATTCCCAAAATAAATAAAGAAATAATCAAGTTATTCTTTTTGAAAAAGAAAAAAAAAATAATAATTTGATTATTTCTTTATTTAATTTTGGAAATGCATTACTAAAAAATAAGTACCCCAAGTAATTTCCTCTTCACAAGTGGAACTCATGAAATGTACTTGGGAGCAGCCATGGGAGCAGATGGAACAGCTGTTTTGGAGCAGGTTGGGAGCAGCTAAAACTACGTTCTGGAGCAGGCAAGGAGCAGCTCAGATCAGTTTACATTGCACTTCAGCTTGTGTCTTAGACAAGCACGAGAGCAATTTCAATTGTGCTTAGCAGCACAGATGAACATGAGTGGTTAGGAACCTAGGGAGATGGGATAACAGTGCAACAGATGCGAAAACTGTGAGCTTTAGTGAGAACCAAAAAGCAAGTACCATATGCTTCTGAAGATAGTGTCCTTGATACTTTCCGAGTGGCTTTCAGCTGTTTAAAATGCAAACCAGCACTGCTTATTGCACCACCCACACATGCTCAACATAGTAATTATATGTGCGAACCATGTGACGTGCGTAAGAAACGGACGTGCAGGAACAGAGCAACAAATTTTGAGTTTGCTATTGTGTAACTCAATATCGAAGCAGCAGACACAATTAACGGAGTCATCGTATTCGGAGCGATAAGTAGGAGCAAGGTCAAAGTACGCCGAGCAGATCTACCGCTCGTGTGAGGGCTGCTGGCCGGCAAGGTTTCGGATCGGACCGCGTTTCAGTTCTATCAAATCACTATTTATCATGCGGGAATGCGGTTCCAACTTCTAACGATGAAGTAGTACTAAAAGGAATCTTTTGCTCATTTGTTTTCAACTGGCTGACGTCAGGATCCTGGGCCGCAGAGCCTCAGGCAATCTCGGCCGACTTGCTCAACCGCATATGGTTGAAGATTAAGAATCCAGTCGCAGGTGGTGTAGTGCTTGGAATCCGACCGCCGAGTTTTTTTGCACGCTTCCAAGTCGGGATACACAGGAAGAATAAACAGAACAAAAGATTGCAAGGCTGACCAAGCTAAACGCACTCATTGTTGTCAATCGTGTCGCTACAACTTAAACCAAGACAAATTTTGGAGCACGTTTTGCGATTTGGTGCATAATGGTGCGAGGTATTGGCTGTGGTGCAGTTTCCGCAAAATGGCGCAAGATGGCGCAGACAAATGCATCTGGCGCAAAAAGGCGGAAATGGCGCAGCCGTTCCACCCCTGCTCTTTAATGGTGCAAATGGGATTCACTTTACGTATAACGTATGCCTTTGTAGAATTATTATCCTTTTTTTTTTTTTTTGCATTTTGATAACACCTTGAACATCGTTCTTCCCCTCTTTAGGAACTAGTAAATGTCAGTTGTCAGTTAGCGCTCTTTCCTGTTCCCCTCTTTTTTCCTTCTTCATCTTTTTGCGCTTTAATGTTCCAATATGTACAACCAACTAACCCGCCAGATGATTTTAGCCTCCAATGGCCTATTCTTGATCAGTAGTCTTCAAACAGAAAGTCTAACTTTTAGCTGCAAATATTGTCAGTCTTTACAGCTGGGCCTTTGTAGGCCATTTGATGGCAGGCATTTAGGCTAGGCATAGCCAGCATGTCAGGGGCCCTATAATTTATGCACCACGAGTTGCTGAAAAGTCAGGTTAATTTCGACCACATGTGGATTCTTTTATGAGCAACCGAAAGCCCGGTTACACGGCACCTGATCTCCACAGTAAGCGTTCGTCAGATTGCGGGCATCTTGGCTGGGATTCGAACCCACCACCTAGGGATCTGTAGGCCGGCGCCTTGCCTTGGAGCCACCGAGGCGGCCAAACACACAAGTTACTGAGTATCCTTCCTTCAATGTCAGTCCAAAGCTGTTCAGCACGAATGGTCTGGCATATGCAACGAATGCGCAAATGCTTTTATATGCAGATGACATCAAACTTTTTATGAAAATTCAATCAGAAGATGACTGTGCTCTTTTACAGGATGACATATTACGCATTTCCGAATAGTGTTCTGATAATTTTTTGCTTGTTAACCCAGTTAAAACCAATGTACTCACTGTGTGTAGAAAATGCAAAAACATTTCTTACCCGTACAAACTTGGCAATTGTACTATTCGACGGGTTGAACAAGTATGTGACCTTGGCGTTTATTTTGATAGCAACCTTTCCTTTTCAAATCATGCTAGCCAGATTGCTGCTTCAGCTTTTCGAGTGATGGGAATGATATCACGCGTGACGTGTAACTTTTCCAATTCTTTATGAGTTGTCTGCTTGTTTTGCTCCTTGGTGAGAGTTAGACTTGAGTTTTGCAGTACTGTAAGGAATTCACTGACTGCAGCTGACACAGAGCGAATTGAAAGGGTTCAAAAACGATTTGTTTGAATTGCTTATGATACTGTCGAGACCAGTTATAACGAAGTCGGTTATAACAAAATAGCGGTTTCTGTAAAATAAATTTTTACAGAAAGAGGGCTACACCATGTAATTTTACAAGGTAAAACTCACCTGTGAAGTACATCTTTGACAAAAAGGTTAGATTGCTACGTGCAGGAGCCAATTTTTATGGCCCATTTTAGATCCAGCCTCGGTATTTCATGCAAACACCCTATATATTCAAACTGTACACTCCTAAGAGTGGGCATATTAGTTTGTTTTGGAAAGTAATACCGAAAAGAAAGCAAGCATTTCACACATATTTTAGACAAAACATTGCCCAGCAAAACACTTCTGGGGCCCTAAACTCGTCAAACACAAAGTTGGAGCCGAAAGTTCGCGGAGCGCGCCGGTTGGACGTCGGCGAAAAAAGCGCGAAGTCATCATCGTGACAGGCCAATCGGTGCGCTCCGTTAACTTCGGCCCCAACTTCGTGTTTGACGAGTTTAGCGACCCAGTAGTGCTAAACTTCTTAAACCAAAGATCACAAGTTCTGGGATGTTCGTAGCCCTGCGAGTACAATATACAAATTCCAGCACAAGGCAAGAATGAAGAACAAGAAGCACAAAAAACACATGGAAGTGCAAACCTACAGAGTGAAAATAGAAATAACATTAATATAGAAGGAACATTTGTCATATCTATGTACAACCTTTTGCTACAAAGCCAGAGATCTTAATGAAGCCCAAACAAAAGAGGGTTCTTCAGAGTAGCAAAGATCACACGGCTTAACTCCCTTTTGGACATGCACCAGGGGAAAACACTTTTTCTTATTGTTTATAATTAATTATATATTTAACTAAATAAAATTTTCACAGTTTATAGTCCTTCATCTATTTATATATCTGGTGTTACATTTGATATAGCTTGCTTTCTATGCTCTGGGTACAATGCAGATGTGGAAAAAACCACGTCCGTGCCTGCCAAGTTTGGAGAAATCAAATCCGGGAGAATTTGTAAGCGGAGGGGAGGGGGGGGTAGCAGTTTTTTTTAAAAAGAAATACTGACAACAAATGTACATGAAGACAACTTCATTACATTTATATTGCACTGCTCATGCTAGCGAGAAACACGAGAAACAGCTGGGCCTTGCTATCATTGCAGTTGTTTGTTGTGACGGCAAGAACTACTTATTTAAAGGGCCCATGAAATGAATTTTGGGCTTGAATAAATCAATTTATATTGGGATTTTACTAATAGCACATCGTTCAGTGAGCCAAAAGAAAAAAGATAGAAAGTCAGAAGGCTGACTTTCGGTACGAAAATTAGAAAACACAGCGGACTATTTCGTACCTCCTTCCCTTCGTAAGCTCTCTGCCTTTTCACTGCGATGCATCCGCTGACCTCGCAGCGCGTCATCGGGCCCAAGCGAACGTCACACAACACCGGAGCTCACTTATTCCCTTCACCCCTAAGCTGACATTGTAGTAGAAGCTACGCGTTTGCCGGACCAATCAGCCACCTCCCTTTCATCACCTGACTTCTTTCTCTGCACGTGGGTATGTGCGAGAGAGCATGATCATGTGGCAAAAGTGTTGCTGGACCAAGGAGCACGTAGCTTCCACAGCACTGTCAGCTTCGGGGTGAATGGGGTGGGGAAAGCAACTTTTGTCTGAATTTTAAGCGACAGGCTAATCTTCTAGGGGGACAGTGGCTGTGTCCGGATTACACAAACGAGATTCCGAGCAAGAGGGGCCTCCCCTTTTTTTTGTCTTCTTGAACTGTATAGTGGAATGCACGATTTATGAGTTGAGGAGGAAAGCTAAACAGGAAAAGGTTGGAAAAGCGTTTCATGACTCCTTTAA